GACCCCCGACGAGGCAGGACGTTTGCCAACCGTGTCTAATATTTACTAGTTCTAGATGCTTGTGACTCTTCCCGTGTGAGCGAAGTAAAATGGGAGATAGTAAAATAGGAATGGCCAAAACTCAGGTTGAAAGTTTGGCGGTTATCTGTCCACGATGACGGGCTTAATGAAGGGAAAGCCAAACGATGATCGACCCTGTGAACAGGGTCACTCAGGGTAGATAGTATCTACTGTCTACTCTGTACTATCAACTGCTGACAGGAAGAGCATAAAAGATGAATGGTCGACTTGGTTACTGATTCTGCACAGCTGGCGGCTGTTGGCTGGGCAGGGCAGGGCCAAGTCACAGACGGCCCTCTTTACTTCCCACAACCCCCACCACGCAGCTTACCCATTCAAGACTGATTGACGGTGTGTAGGCGAGATGGTACGTCTGGAGTAGAATGAAGTAATTATACCAGGGCCATCCTTGCAATTTTATTTCGGGAAACAGGGAGATGAGAATAGTAACTCGAATAATCAACACGGACGGGAAGGTTGAAGGTCAAGCTTCTATCGGCTGGTAACTAGACCACTGACTAGTTGTTAGTTAAGAAAGGTCATTTCCCCCTTCCCTCGACCCATAATCTTTTGACTTTGAAATCTTCACTAGGCAGGCCACTCCAGGCTGAATAGTGTAATACGAAAAGAAAAGGTAAAAAAAAAAAAATAGTATTAAACAAAAAGTTAGGGCAAAGAGAAAGACAATCAGCTAGCCTATATTAGTACAAGATATTCATCGTGTCTTCGCTATGAATAGTCGAATCTCCATTTTCAGGTTTCACAACAGGAGTGACTTCTTGTATCGTGACTGGGTTTTGTGCCACGACGGTGGCGCCAGGGAAACAAAAAAAAAAATTAAAAAAACGATCGAGCCCAGAAATAAGACGACTAGCTCCATTAGCGGCAAGTCCAGACTGGCCCCAGCCGCCCGTTCCTGACCAACCCGGTCCTCTCCTGGGGCGGGGACCTGAATACACGCCCAATGAGAAGCTCGCATGGGGCGAGTTTCGAGACACTCAGGGGCAACTTAGTACTCCCAGTTTGTGTATGGTCAGAGTCTCGAACCACCTGCCGGGCCAATGGTCGTTAGCCAACAATAATACCCAATAACATTACCTGGTACCTGAGAGTAAGTAGTGAGTAGTGGTGGTGGTACGAAGAGTCCTCGGGCTGTAAGTCGCAGGTAACTTTAGTAGAGAGAAACAGAGAGGCAGAGACGAGCGAGAGACAGTGAGACAGGCAGCTACTCACTCTATCCATCTCATCTTTCCTTTCACTCATCACTCCCCCCTCCCTCTTCTCTTCCTCCCCCCCTCCCCTCCCCCCATCTTCCTTGAGTCTGGTTGTCTCCATCCAACATTCGTTCTCTGCATGGTTCTTTCTTTCTCTTCCCTTGTCGTCGCTCATCCATCAGTTTGAATCTGTTAGCCAGCATCTGTCCCTTTCGCGCGTTTCCACTCCTTACTCACACCACCCTAACACTCACTTTCTCTGCCTAGCCGCGCGCTCTCCTCAACCCACCCCCCCTTTTCTTCAGTCTTTAGAGTCGAGCAACTATTCTCTTCTCTCGTGCAGGCAATCAATTGTTTGCCCGCAAGACTCTCTTTCCTCAATCCTCTCTGCCCCCTCCATGTATCGCGCTCTCCTGCCTTCACTCCCTTGACGTTTGCGACGGACAGTGAGTGACACAAGTCAGTGAGCGGGTGTGGGTGCGGTCCTCCCACTCTTTGGAACAGCATCCCCTCTCGTGGCTTGCTTGGATATCTTGTATTGCGGTTCTGCACACTCTTTCGAGCATCTGTTTGCAGCTCCAACAGTTTGATTCACCCTCTTTAAGCGTTTTCATTCTACACAGGTTGATCCTGTCAACAATCTCCGTATCATCAGGCGAGCCTAGTTGCTGCGATCTTGATCGGCGATTCAAATATACTCGCGCCAAATATACCCTTATAATCGTCGCCAATCTCTCGGAAAGAAAAGCTTTCTTGTCTGCATAAGCTCTGTGAAGATTTTCTTGATGCTGGCACCTTGAATCTTCACAGCCTTGAGTAACATCACCCATCAATTGTCAATATGCGGCTCATTCCTTCTTTTTCGACCCTTACGGCGCTGGGTCTCCTGGCCACTCGAGCCCTCGCTGCCGATACCCTCAGCACCAATGGTCTGACAACTTGTATGTCAGACTCTGCTATCCAAGTCGACAAACTATCCGTCACCTATACCCGTTCTACTAGAGAAATCGTCTTCGATGTTTCCGGCACCAATGGGGTAGAACAGAATGTCACGGCAATCTTGACCATCTATGCCTACGGCAGTCAACTCTACTCCGAAACGTTCGACCCGTGCAGCAGCAAATACTACGTGGAGCAACTCTGTCCCGTGGCTGCCGGTAGCTTCTCCGCGACTGGCACGCAGACCCTACCTGAATCGATCGCTAGTGAAATCCCCTCCATCGCCTTCGCCATCCCAGACTTGGATGGCCAAGTGAAGCTTCAATTGCTGTCCAAGACCGACAATGACGAGCTGGCATGCATCCAATCGGAACTGACCAACGGCAATACTATGCAGATCGCGGGTGTATCCTATGCTGCTGCTGGTGTGGCTGGTGCGGCATTGGCCGTGAGCGGGCTGTCAGCTCTGGGTGCTGTTGGCCACCCTGGTGCCGTCTCCTCTAGTCCCAGCTTTGGTGATGTCGTGAGTTGGTTTCACACTATGGCCACTAATGGAATGCTCAGTGTCAGCTACCCGACGGTGTACCGCAGCTTTTCGAAGAACTTTGCCTTCAGCACGGGTTTGATTCCTTGGGGTCAAATGCAGGAGTCCATCGATAACTTCCGGAAGTCGACCGGCGGCAATCTCACCGACAACAGCTACCAGTATCTTCTCAATGCCACGCTCGTGTACTCTGACGGCACGAATTCTAGCTCAAAGTCGAAGCGAGGACTGGATCTGGTCACAGGCATGGCTAACCTAGCTGCGCGCGAGGTCTCGACTTCGTATAGCAGCAATACTACTTCGTCGTCTAACAGCACCAGTGACGACAGCAGTAGTTTCGAACATTTCGTCTCCGGAATTGAGGCCTATGCCGAACAGTTGACCATCCCTCAAGCCAACACCTTCATGACCGTTCTGCTCATTTTCGCTATCCTAATTGCCGCTATTGCCGTTGGTATCTTGTTGCTCAAGGTCATCCTCGAAGTTTGGGCTCTCTACGGCTCTTTCCCGGACAAACTCACCAACTTCCGCAAAGACTACTGGGGTCTCCTGGGTCGCACAATTACCAACTTGATTCTGCTGCTGTACGGCGTTTGGGTGATTTGGTGTGTCTATCAACTCAGCAGTGGGGATTCGTGGGCGGCGAAGCTCTTGGCTGCTGTGGCGCTTACAGTTTTCACGGCTGTGTTATTGTACTTTGGTCTCAAGATCATGTTCGTGGCTCGGAAGTACAAGAAGACCGAAGGTGATGCGTCCCATTTGTACGACAACGACGAAACCTGGCGCAAGTACAGTCTTTTCTACGACAACTACAAAAAGGACTACTGGTGGGCATTCGTCCCTGCCATTGTATACATGTTTGCCAAGGGTTGCGTCATTGCTGCTGGAGATGGTCATGGGCTTGCCCAAAGCGCTGGTCAACTCATCGTGGAGGCTCTCATGCTCACCCTTTTGCTGTGGAACCGTCCGTACGTTGCCAAGTCTAGCCAGTGGATCAACATTTCAGTCCAGGTGGTTCGTGTCTTGTCAATCGCGTGTGTGTTGATCTTCGTCGACGAGTTGGGGCTCTCGGAGACGACCAAAACTGTTACCGGCATTGTCCTCATTGCTATTCAGTCGGGACTGAGTGGTATCTTGGCCATTCTTATTGCCACCAACGCCATTATCCTGTGCATTCGCGAGAACCCTCATGCTAAACGGAAGAGGGAAGCTAGTAAGTGACTTGGCCACTGTGTTCGACACTCTTTGGGTTGCTGACTATTGTGTTACCAGACAAAATGAATCGTGATCTCGATGATTTGACCCCTCTTGACGCCCGTGAATCTCTGCTCATGGAGCATCCTCCTCGCAAGGATTACGCTGAAATGAGCAAGTTCAACTTTACCGGTCCTTACGAACCTTACCGGGATCAACATGATTCGAAATCGCGACACAGCCCTACAGGTAGCACGGATCGGCTGGTTGATTCAAGCTACCCTCTTGAAGACATCAATGGTCGAAGTATAAGTCGAGAAAGCCGCCGAAGCCATGATAGTCATGGCAGCCATGAAAACCCTGAAAAGCACCATGCCACGACCCCGGGTTATGGGTTCGCTTACTGAAGCCCGTTTGCGCTGGATGGCACTTGACGACGTACCAATATTTTCTTTTCTCGACCCCACATTCATCTTAAATATTGAACATAGAATTTTTGTGTCAGGTAAATTTGACGAATTTAGCGTACTTGATTTGGTTGATGGTGGATCTTGGTATTTATTGTGTTTTTGTTACGCCGCTCCTTTCTCCCTCTCTGACTCTCTTACTACCCTTTGTTTACTCTTCTGTTCTTGTCCTATTTGATTCCCATCATGCCATTACCATACATACCTAGTTTTAGGCTTTCAGGCTTTCTTGTAAATCGGCGCTCATAGGGGGTTGCTCCTACGCATTATCTTGACTCCGTTATTGTGGATGGGCTGCGGGGAAAGAATCCATTGACAGGACGCGCAAGCTGCATTCTTTGCTCACACACTCAGCCGGATTTGAGGGTGCTGAGACCTATATCTTGTACTAGAAAGATAGAAGTTCGAATGAAAGCATTCAATCTACTTATACCCATCCCCAGTTACGATCATAGCAATTACAAAACCCGAACTGGATGGTTTAAGGTCATCAGTTTATTTGGGCAGATCCGGATTTTACTACGGAAATCCTGCAGCTACTCTGCCTGGAGCGCAGGATTCGGCTGGAGTAATAAAAAACAAGAACAGTGATTTTGTTTTCAAACTGAAAAATTGACATAAGAAGTACTGAGGGTAACGCCAATTTGGATTATATGCAACACACCGACTCTTGGTTTTTCTTGTTCGACTCGAAACCTTCCTCCGAGGAGACTCCAGACTTCGACAGGAGGTAAAAAGCAGCCATGAGAGGGGGAAATGAATGAAAGCATCACTCGGAAAGTTACATTAGACATCATCAATGATGGCAGGCCGTCGCCTCCCCTCAACAACCATTGTAGTGGTCATACAATGAGTATGAGATAAGATAGATCCCCCATGATACGAAAGGCAGCAGCAGTTGCAATAGGGGAGGCAGGACGGCTTGATGGGAAAAGGACCAAAACCATGACAGTAACAAGAGAACGGAAAGAGACCACAGCAGAACGATACACCTATTCGCACACACAAAATAAGGGAACCGGCCTATCCCCGGGAATAGGGATGGAAGCCTCGGTGTCCTCCTCGTCCTCCTCCACGATAGTTGGCGCCTGGTTTGCCGGCGTTCTTGGGTCCTGTGGGAGCGTTTGCCGGGGCAGCGCTTTGAGGTTGGGGAGTGGGTCCTGCACCTGGGGTCAGCTAGCTGAAAGGCAGACATCAATAATCATTACATACCGCGTCCCATGCTTCCAGCACGATTCATGGCCTGGGGTCCAGTAGGGATGTTAGGCTGGGGCACTTCATCGTACATGCCTTCCCACGAAGTGGGCCCGCCCTGCTGGTACGGCGAAAAGGCCCGGTTCTCCATGGCTCGGCGTACCTGCTGCTGCTCATACTTTTGCTGTTCAAAAGCAATTTGTTCCTGGGCGTTATAACCAGGCCCCCCTCGAGGACCAGTAAAGCTCCCATTTCCATTAGCACTGCCTGGTGTTCCTCCACCACCACTACTACCACCGCCACCACCACCGCCTCCTCCTGCACCCATAGCATTTCCCATTTGAGCCGGCATGGCCCCGACGTTGTTGCCCTGCCCCTGACTCTGCATCTGCTGCATTTGTTGCATCTGCTGCATCATAGCGGGGTTCATCATGTTCGGCATGGCTTGAGGAGTTGCACTCTGCGAAGGAGGACTGAGACTGCCTTGAGGCTGATTGTTGCCCATCTGCATCTGTTGCATCTGTTTCATTTGTTGCATCTGCTGCATCATAGCAGGGTTCATTCCACCCATTCCCATTCCGCCCATTCCCTGACCCTGAGCGGCAGCGACAGCCATTTGCTGTTGCATCAGAGCAAAATACTGCTGCATCCTTTGCCAGTACTGTGCCATCATTTGCGGTGTTAATCCACCAGCCATGTTGGCCTGTCCCGGTGCACCCGCTTGCTGCTGGGAGCCATCACCCCCCATTTGACCACCCTCTCGGAAAGCGTCCCTGCCGCGGCGGAACCTGCGGTCTTCTTCATCACGCAAGTTACCTCTTGGCTGAGCTTTCTTGACCTCTATGGGCTTTCCGCAAATCTCCAAGGGGCCCGAGAGAGCGGCCTCGACGGCAGCCTCGCTATCGAAGGTCACAAATCCGAAGCCACGGGGACGACCAGTATCTTTGTCGATCATCAGGGTGGCATCGATGACGCGGCCAAATTGAGCGAAAAACTCTTTGAAATCATGTTCGTTGGCCTCTTGGCTGACACCACCAACAAAGATCTTGCTAGTCTTCTCTTGCTCGTCACGGGGGATCGCACGCTTAGGATCGATCTGTCATACCAACATGAGCTTATAATTCGACGATGGTCTGCATTTTATGAATGAGCATGAAAGAGGTTCTTACAATCTTCCCATCTAGGTAGTGCTCCTTGACCATGACAGTGTTCACTGTCTTGGGATCTCTGAAAGTCAAGAAACCGAAACCTCTAGAGCGACCAGTAGCACTGTCTCGCATCACAGTGCATTCCTGTACCTCTCCAAACTGAGAAAAGTAGTCCTTCAGAGATTCTATGTCATTATGTTAGACACGCTGTACTTGGCTTGAATAGAACTGGTAGTGTTTGGGATATACATACGATCCGTAGTCTCCCAGTTCAAACCCCCGATGAACATTTTCCTAACCCAAGAGTATATCAGCAAAGGAGGCCATGCCACGAGGGCTTTGAAAAAAGCAGACAACGGGGAAAACAAAAAAGGAACGAAGAACGAGAGATTAAGCTTGACATCAAAGGCGGGCATAAACAAGGTGGACAGGAGCTGAAGCTTTGCTGCTGAGAGGTGGGGGGCCTGATGGCCCATGCTTTTGGAAGAAACAGGCACTTGTTTGGGGAGGCTAATTGTGAATGGGATTAAGCTGATCCTGTAGTTCGGGTCTCCCGAATATGGGGGTATCTAACTCCCTGCGCTGATCAAGTAGTGTGTCTGTTGCGCGAAGGGCATAGGTTGCGCTTGAGCAAAGTCGACCATCGGGCTGATTGTAATGGCAGCCCATGCATGAACTTCAGGTCTTTGAAACGGGCCAATTTCTGAGTCTTGTATACACCGACAGGGGTGGCCAGAGGGCGACTGGCTAATGAGGACAGAGATATCTCTAGTCATTCGACCACTGGTTTACGGGGCGACCCAGTGGATAATAAGAGGCCAGGCGATATGTATCCCACGACAGAAGATGTGCGCGTGGGTGACAAAGAACCACGAGTTGGAGCATGGCAGGCGAATTAAGTCAACTTTCTTTTCTTTTTGTTCTTGTTTCCCTGGACCAAGGATCCTCTGCCTGTCTGTCTAATCATGTCCGAAGCTAGGTAATCTGATCGACATTGCCCAACCAGACAGCCAAGGCCGTTATTCCTTGCTGTGCACTATCAAGCTATATCGACAAGAAGCTATATAGTATCGGCTGTACTATAGTCGCTCGCGACAAGGAATCGCAGTGTCAGGAATCCGAAGTAGATCTCACCGCGAGTCATACCGACGGTTGATTGCTGAGATATAAACAAATCGAGCATTGCACGGCCGAGCTGAATTTGCCTTCGCCCGATTGATTTTGATATTCATACTCATGGAAGAGCCTGAAAGCTGCATGTCCAAGGCTGCCCGAGAATTCGTCCATCTAGCAACAACGATGACCCAACCGGATAAGACCTCGACTTAGATAAAGAACCTCATCCTTCTGCCCATGACGCCAAGCCATTATATCTCAGTAGAGCCCACCCCAGGAACCATTGGTCCAGCCGCTGAAGATTCTTGATGTGCAGCTTCCAGCGCCCAACTCACTAGTTACGTTCACGGTGCACAGCAAGAAAGCCGGTATGCGTGCGAATATCATCGGTATCCCCAACCTACCATGGGCCATCCCCCCCCAAGAGGATAGAAAGAACCAAGAATAAGTGCAAAACGGGGTTGATTTATATCGCACATGGACACTCACATGTCCAGTTGCAATCAAGGTACAAGCAAGGAAAAAATCGCACGAAGTCTCTAACAGAGTAGCACTTACCCGTCTTCTTTAATACCAGTGCCTCGGGGCTCGGACTCACCACCACCAGACATGGCATGATGTGCACGCCCACTACCTACATTATCCGTGCCATTCTGGTGGACTCCTTGATACGCGTGATGGTATGCAGCGTCTGTCTCGAACTCGATCGGGCCAGTTTCAACAGATTGAATAGGGATTTGGGAGGGATTGATAGGTGGAGCTGAGGGCACAGGATCGACGGATTTTGAAGTTTCCGTACTGGGAATGGTATGGCTTGTATTGTCGTCGGCTTCATACCTAATAAGAACACATACAGTTTAGAAGCTGCCTAGGCAATTTGGGTAAATTGGAGCACCCTACAGATCCGCGAAAAGATCTTCCTCAACGTCCTCAGGTTCAGCCATGGTGATCTTGTGACAAAGAAATTCAGGTAAGAATCAGGTCGCACTGAGGACAGGAACAAAATGTGATCAAGGTGACCAACTCTGAGATGGAGGCAACCGAGCCACTCAAATCCGACCTAGAGAGGTATCAACGAACCGATGGCGACGAACTATTATCGCCAGAATATCGCCTCGGTAGAGATGGTGAGAAAAAGAACTAAAGAAAAAAGGAAAAGAGGAAGAAGAGCGACAATAGTAAGGGTGAAGTGGGTTAGTTGTAGAGACAAGGAGTACAGAGAGAGGGAGAGGGAGAAAGAGGTGGAGGAGAGGAGAGGAGAAGCAGCTACACGGCGGAGGTTGAGGCGAGAGCGACGGGGAGAGAGAGAGAGACAAGAGTGACGGGACTGGCTGACTGGGCAAGTACGCTTTGCTTTGCTGTAACTGTAAGAATCCTGTCGGTAATATGTATTGTACCGTATTCGACTGAGGCCATCGGTAAGGAACCTAAGTACTAAGTAGTTATATTATGTTTAACCTGCAAGAACATATTGGTGCGTGTTTCCTTTTTTATTATTTTTTTCTCCAAATTTTTAAAGTATGCATTATTATTGAATAGACGTGACCCCTGGTACATAGATCTGTCTTCTAATTATAATATATAGCCAATATAACCTAACGGGATCTCTACCCTCTCGGAGGTTACTGCTCCCTCGCAGTACCTGACGAAAGCTACCAGGTGGGTATCGTCCGTAAGGGCTAGTATCAGTAGTCAGTAGACCTTACGCAAGACCTTATCAACTGTTATCCCCCGACCAGCAAAACATCATCAGAAGAATACTGAATATTGTGGCATGACAGGCCACCATCTCCAATTACACTTACCCTGCTTCCCCCCGTGTGGAGATCTGTAAGCCAAAAGTAGATCAAACCGACGTTGTTTTCGGGGTGTTGTTGCTAGGAAACCTTGCCAGCTCTGGACGCAGCACCGAATCCACGTGCCGCAGCCCTCCCCGCACTCGGCTTCTGTGCTCTCTCCATGTTATTCGGTCCCCAAGACCTGCCAATTGATGCTATCGTTGCCTCCGCACTCCTCAAAAACGCAATGGCTGCGAGGAAGGGCCAACAGGTGAGTCTTAAACCCCAGCCCCATTATATTCTGTACGCAATAGCTGGCTAATCCAATCGCTTTTGATTCTCTGAAGGAGATGGTCCAGGTTGGTTCGTACCTCTCACACCCCCGTCTTTTGGGTTCCAGATCCAGTGGCTGATATAGCTCCCCCACTTCCAATGAACAGACCGTGCTGAGTATGTTTCACTCCCCATCGTTCGATTTCTTTTCATGAGCCATTGAGGGCATTTCATTGCAATGACTTTTGAGTTTCTCGCGCTAACCCTCCCCTGAAAGGCGGGTGAATTCGCCGTTTTGGAAGGGAAGATCAGTATCCCATAATCAAGCGGCCTCGACGCAACATGAGCAAAACACGGTTGTTGGCGCCTCATACTCGCACGCTGACATACTAAAGTTAGTACATTGCATGCCATTGGGTGTTTATCTCTCTTCGTGCTTGGCTCTTTCATTTCACTGACCTGTGCGCCTCCCCCAATAGAGGGATCTCGCAGCAGCATGCGCGCCCGCGGACACCGCCTCGGTCATCCTCTGCCAATATCCAACACACGTCTCTTTCACCCCTACGATCGGGCGGGTGGTCCACGTCCCCTCATACTACTTCCTACTCTGACATAATGAACGGCGGGATCGAATCCTGGGGTTCTGACCGATTGGGAGAAGATTACGAAGATGACGACGAGGAGGAAGACATCGTCTATGATGATGATGAGGACGAGTTCGGTCTCCCTAGTATTACCAGCATGCGGAAGAAACAGTCGCAGCGAGTTGGCAGTTCTCAGCTTAAGCCTGCTGATCCAGGTGGGGGGCTTGCTAGTACCGCCTCATCACTCGGGGTTGGCTTGGGAACCAATCGGCAACGGGCCAATAGTTCGGATATCGCTGAGGAGCGCGGTGTACCTATGTATCCTACGGCTGGAACTGGAGAGGGTAAGATACTGCGACCTCAGTATAAAGAAATCCTGAAAGGTATGAAGTGTCCTTATAATGCTGGAACGTGCTGACCTCTTTCCAGACCCCGCCAACGCCTTGAACCTCATTAACCACGCGCCTCCTCCCAAAAATGCATCGCCTAAAGAGATGGATATGTACAACAGCCGCATTTCGAGAATTAACAAGTTTAAACGTCTTCTCCAGACAAGCACCGTTCCTTTGTCGGAGCTGAGGAACCTGGCCTGGTCAGGGGTCCCCGATGAAGTTCGCGCGATGACCTGGCAACTGCTCCTTGGATACCTCCCCACAAATAGTGAAAGGCGCATTCCTACCCTCGAAAGAAAGCGCAAGGAATATTTGGACGGGGTTCGACAAGCCTTTGAACGTGGGAGTGCGGCTGGTTCTGGAAATCCACCTTCGTCGAGCGCTGGGCGTGGCAGGGGCTTGGATGAGGCAATATGGCATCAAATCAGCATTGATGTTCCTCGGACTAGCCCTCACATTCAACTTTACAGCTACGAAGCTACTCAACGATCGTTGGAAAAGATCCTCTACGTTTGGGCTATCCGACACCCGGCGAGCGGATACGTGCAAGGTATCAATGACCTCGTCACACCGTTCTGGCAGGTCTTTTTGGGCACGTACGTAACTGATCTCAATGTTGAGAGGGGCATGGATCCTGGCCAGTTGCCCAGGAGTGTGCTGGATGCTGTGGAGGCAGATACATTTTGGTGTCTTACCAAGCTACTCGACGGTATCCAGGACAATTATATTTATGCTCAACCGGGTATTCACCGACAAGTTAGGGCATTGCGTGACTTGACAATGCGCATTGACTCTACACTGGCCAAGCATTTGGAGCAGGAGGGAGTAGAGTTCATGCAGTTCAGTTTTCGGTGGATGAACTGTCTTCTTATGCGGGAGATGAGTGTACAGAATACTATACGGATGTGGGACACGTATATGGTGAGGCAAACCAACTATCCCTATTGCGCCAGATGTAGATCAGGTATACTGACCGTTCCATTAGGCAGAGGAGCAAGGTTTCTCAAGGTTTCATCTATACGTTTGTGCAGCCTTCCTTGTGAAATGGTCAGACCAGCTGGTGAAGATGGATTTCCAGGTGGGTATAATTCTAAGGCTCTGGATACCGTACAGTAAATGCTAAACGACAATAGGAGATAATGATGTTTCTGCAAGCACTTCCCACAAAGGATTGGACGGATAAAGATGTGGAACTCTTGCTGAGCGAAGCATTCATCTGGCAAAGTCTCTTCCAGGACTCTAGGGCTCATCTTCGTCCGGCTGGAGAACGAACTCCAGAGGATGACCTGCAGTGACGACAGTCATGAGTCATTAATAATATCACCTGTTTCATTAGTATATGGCGTTCCCAAAGGGAGACGTAATCTCCGATTCCCGGGCTTATTAGCCTCAGCTGAAATGGAAGCCCTTCTGGTTGAAGGCCCACAATAACTTCAGGAAGTCGTTCTCATCGCACATCCTTGCACGCTTGTCCGCAAGGCGTGTTTCATCTTCCAACACCTGCCGTACCTTCTCCCGGACGAGCTCTGCTACCTTTCCCTTCTTCTTACGACTAGGCCGATTCTTAAGAGCCTCTTGAATACGCGCGTTCGTCTGTTCCTTGAAGAAGTCGGGTACGTCATCTTCATCGTCCACGTCCATGCCCTCGTCAGGCTCGTCTTCACCCTCATCATCATCCTCATCTTGCGCGTTGCCAATGTCCATCGCATCAGATTCGGCGCCTTCCGCCGGCCCATCCTCAACTGGGATATCGTTTTGCGCACACCATGTTCGATAGTTGGCTTCCAACATATCCATGACCGTGGACTTGCCAAGGAAACTTGACCGGATTGTCTTGTTCTTCCGGACGAATAAAATTCTCAGAAGCCCGTCCCACTCATCGTAGTTGATCTGTGGCCTGGGGTTCTTAGGTACCAGACGGACAACGCTCGACTCGACCAGCGGTGGGGGCTTGAAATTGTTCTTGCCCACCTTCATGATGTGGTCGATCTTAGCCCACATCTGAGCATTGACGGAGAGTCGACTGTAGAGCTTATCGCCCGGCTTCGCGAATAACCTTAGAGCAAATTCTCGTTGAAACATGAGAACACAAATGCGGGGCGCCGGAGACGTCGCGAGAAGTTTGAATGTGAGGGGAGAAGAGATCTAGCGGGCGAATAATTAGCCTTTCTTCCACTTTGAAGAGATAGATAGTTTATAGAGCGTACCTGATACGGCGTGTTGCTGATGCAAACATCGAAATATGGAAGGTCTGTTTTGATCACATCTCCAAGGATAACGTCTAAGCGTTTCTGGGCAGGCGTGCCTTGAACACGCTTGGTGACTTCGGCAGCCATTCGAGGGTCGAGCTCAACGGCGATAACTTTTTTCGCCTGTTCGAGGATCTTCACGGTCAAGTTACCGGTACCAGGACCAATTTCCAGAACAACCTATTAAAAAAAAAAGCCCCTCCAGGTTAGGCAAATCTGTAAGGTACATGGGCCAAGTTTGTGGACGACTCACATCGCTCTGTTTCAACTCGGCTTTGTCAACAATTCGTTGAGCCACGCCAGGGTTTTTCAGAATGTGCTGGCCGAGATCGGTATTCATCTTGAAGACGGTGTTGGCGGCCTTCGTCTTTGCCGCCGCATCGGCATAGGGACTGGCCTTCGAAGCGCTATTGCGCTTCTGCTGTTTGACCTTGGGCATCCTGGCAGATTGAGTCGCGAGGCCTCTGAGTGAGCAGTCCGAATCCTGACAAGACAACCTTTTAGAGGGGTGAATTCTATATGGGTTCTCTCTTCTCTCACACAAACACACACTCTCACTCTCTCTGTCTTTTGGCTCGAACAAAAAAAAGTGCGGAGGGTTTCTGATAAGATTAGCGGCCCGGAACTACATTTCTGCGGCTGCCCGGCGTTTCGCTCATCGTCGGAGGGCTCTTGCCATCCGCATTGCTCTTGCGAACAGGTTTCCCAGCTCTTCCTCAGTCACACCCCCGGTTCCCTTGTCCGTACACCTTGTCCGCCATGGCGTCTGGGCGTAAGGACTTTTTGAGCCAAGCGGCTCCCGAGAACTATGTCGCCGGTCTTGGTCGCGGTGCCACTGGCTTCACCACCCGTTCAGATCTCGGACCCGCGCGAGAAGGCCCCACGCCAGAACAGATCCAGGCAGCACTGGCGAAGCGAGCCCAGCTGCTTGGAGCTGCTCCTCCCACAGCTTATGGCGCAGGGCGAGAGAAGGGTGGTAAAGATGAGAAGGCGGATGAAGAGGAAGATGACGAGCGATTTCAAGACCCGGACAATGAAGTCGGGCTATTCGCATATGGTCAGTTCGACCAAGAGGATGATGAGGCGGACCGCATCTACAGAGAGGTGGATGAAAAGATGGACAAGCGCCGGAAGATGAGAAGGTTAGTTCCCCGCCCCTTTGCCTCCCCTTCTGCTATTTCTATGAAGCGATTTGTTCATCCGCTTCTCCATATGCGGTTTGCCTGGACAGATTACCGACGTAATTCCTCCACCATTCACAGGGAAGCTCGCGAACAGCAAGAACGAGAAGACTACGAACGCAAGAACCCTAAGATTCAGCAGCAATTTGCAGATCTAAAACGATCCTTAGCCTCTGTCTCCGAGGACGAGTGGGCAAACCTCCCGGAGGTGGGAGATCTCACCGGAAAGAACCGACGCGCAAAGCAGAACCTTCGGCAGAGATTCTACGCAGTACCGGACAGTGTGATCGCGAGCGCAAGAGACTCGACCCAGTTTGAGACAACGATTGCAGAGGACGGGACCCAGACCGCAGCCAATGGAGCGGAGGCAGCTGATGGGACAATCACCAATTTTGCAGACATCAGTGCTGCACGTGATAAAGTCTTGAAAGTTAGGCTCGACCAAGCGGCGATGGGATCATCTGGGGATTCTGCGTCTGGAAGCGCTACCAACATCGATCCAAAGGGCTACCTTACAAGTCTCACGCAGTCTGAGCTGAAAGCTGGAGAAGTAGAAATTGGAGACATTAAGCGGGTCCGCGTTTTGTTGGAATCTGTAACGAAAACGAATCCCAAGCATGCGCCGGGATGGATTGCGCTGGCGCGTCTAGAAGAATTAGCCGGTAAAATCGTGACTGCCAGGAATGTAATCGCCAAGGGTTGCGAGTTGTGCCCGAAAAGTGAAGATGCCTGGCTTGAAAACATTCGCCTTAACGAGGGCCATAATGCCAAGGTGATTGCGGCTAATGCCATCAAGAACAATGACCGTTCTACAAGACTATGGATCGAAGCCATGCGATTGGAGACAGAGCCTCGTGCGAAGAAGAACGTTCTTAGACAGGCGATCCTTCACATACCTCAGTCTGTTACGATCTGGAAAGAAGCCGTCAACCTGGAGGACGACCCTGCCGATGCACGTCTGCTTCTGGCGAAGGCAGTTGAGATGATCCCCCTTTCCGTTGAGCTCTGGCTGGCTCTGGCTCGCCTAGAATCACCGGAGAATGCACAGAAGGTTCTCAATGCCGCCCGCAAAGCGGTTCCCACAAGCCACGAAGTCTGGGTCGCTGCTGCCCGCCTGCAGGAGCAGATGGGTACGTTCGAGAAGGTGAATGTGATGAAGAGAGCTGTCCAAGCCCTCGCGAGAGAAAACGCCATGCTCAAACGGGAGGAGTGGGTAGCGGAGGCTGAGAAGTGCGAAGAGGAAGGTGCTATTCTCACCTGTGGCGCCATCATTCGTGAGACACTCGGATGGGGCTTGGATGAGGATGACGATCGCAAGGACATCTGGATGGATGACGCAAAGGCTAGTATTGCCAGGGGGAAGTACGAAACTGCCAGGGCTATCTATGCCTACGCGCTGCGTGTTTTCGTCAACCGTCGTTCAATCTGGATTGCGGCAGCCGAGTTGGAGCGCAACCACGGTAGTAAAGAAGCGCTGTGGCAAGTCCTTGAAAAGGCCGTTGAGGCGTGCCCGCAAAGTGAGGAACTATGGCTGCAGCTTGCGAAAGAAAAGTGGCAGTCCGGCGAGATCGACGATGCCCGGAGAGTGCTCGGCCGTGCCTTCAACCAGAACCCCAACAACGAGGATATCTGGCTGGCTGCTGTCAAGCTGGAGGCCGATGCCAACCAAACATCCGAAGCCAGAGAACTTCTTGCAACTGCTCGACGCGAAGCGGGTACGGACCGCGTTTGGATAAAGAGCGTCGCGTTCGAGCGACAGCTCGGCAACATCGACGAGGCGCTCGATCTGGTGAACCAAGGACTTCAAATCTATCCCAAGGCGGACAAACTCTGGATGATGAAGGGACAGATCTACGAAGCCCAGAACAAATACCCACAGGCTCGGGAAGCTTACGGGACCGGAACCAGAGCCTGCAACAAGTCCATCCCACTCTGGCTGTTGGCCTCAAGACTTGAAGAAAAGGCCGGTGCGGTCGTAAAGGCTCGTTCAGTGCTCGACCGTGCCCGGCTTGCGGTCCCCAAGAGTCCAGAGCTCTGGACCGAAAGTGTGCGCGTAGAGCGGCGAGCAAACAACATTGCCCAGGCCAAGGTCCTAATGGCCAAGGCACTGCAAGAAGTCCCTACCTCCGGATTACTATGGAGCGAAAGCATTTGGCACCTGGAGCCGCGCGCGCAACGGAAAGCTCGGAGTCTGGAAGCGATCAAGAAGGCTGATAACGATCCGATTCTCTTTATTACCGTGGCGCGGATTTTCTGGGGCGAGCGCCGATTGGAAAAAGCACTCACCTGGTTCGAGAAAGCCATTGTCTCGGATAGTGATATGGGCGACGCATGGGCTTGGTACTACAAATTCTTGTTGCAGCATGGCACAGAGGTATGTCTTTTATTCATGACAAAAAAGAATAATCTGTCTAGGATGTACGTGACTAACGGCAATTCCCAGGAAAAACGCGCCGATGTAATATCCAAGTGTATTTCGACCGAGCCCAAGCACGGAGAAATCTGGCAATCCGTGGCCAAAGACCCCGCCAACGCGCTCAAGTCGACAGAAGAGATTTTGAAGATGGTTGCAGACCGTCTGACCTAATTGATTTCATGATGCCTTGCTTTCTTGACCTCGCATGTTCATCATTCCTTACGATATCCAGTTCATTGCCCTAGAGGATACGTTGGCGTTTCCGGCGAAGTGAAACAGGGTTCACCAGCCAACCGCTCTCCGCTTGGTTGGTTTGGCTACATCTTTACAAAACGATTACCACTATAAGGAGAAACCCCTGAAAAATGCATACAGGTAATATCGGCCTAATTAGCCTTTGCATTAAGAGCGGTGCAGTTGCAGATTAAACCAACCATACAACCAAGTGGTCCTGTGCGCGGTGCGGGTGCTGAGACATTTCTCTTGAGAAGTCTCATGAGGTCACTCTTTCTCTCTATCATGATCAGCTAGTAAAATGGTTTCCACCAAGCATATGCAAGCCAAGAATGGAAGGCAAGATAATGTACAGTAAACAGCAAACACACACAACACGATTCTTCTTCTTCTTATTTCTCTTCCGCATGGTTATGCACCACTAGATTGCGCCAACAAGCAGAATCCTTCACGTTTTTCCAGATATATAGGTAGTAAAGAGTGGGCGAACAAACTGTTGATCCTGATCGATACCCGAGTTCGGGTTATAGGTAACGTCTTCCTCCAGTCGAGGAGACGGTGGGCCATGCACATCCGCAGATATGTCCAGCTCATGTTGTTTCGGGGTTCAGATGGGTACCCTTGTACTCTCCTGGTTCTCATCCATTGTGGGGGGCGGTTACATCCCTGGTTTGAGATGGAAATTAATCCAGCATGTCAAGGATTACGTACCAGAGGTACAAAGTTCCCGCATTGGATGACGTCCAAGGAACTTGACTATGGCTGCATAGGTGTGACCGCCCGCTGGGCTGAGGTAATAAGAAAGAGAGGGAGAGAAAAGAGAGATGGAGGGTAACATAACTCGGACAGAAGGAAACAAAGAGCGGAAGTCAGAGAGATTTAAGGAGAAAAGAGGTATAAGATAGAAGAAGAAGAAAAGAGAAAATTGATACTCTTCGAACTCCGCGCCAGATGCAAAAATTGACGATAATGGCTTTCCCCCGATGACTCCCAAGACGCCTGTTTCACCTCCTCTGCTCGACCGAGATGTTGCAATGGTTGGTCCTGTTTGGATCAAATAAGCAAGGAACCGGGGTAGCAGTGGAGGGGGATGGAAAAGACAGAAGGACAGAAAGAGAACTTGTAGAGAAATGAGGCCAACCAGGGCTGGAGAGGAGCGGCCAATGGCTCTCACGAGGCCATCGACAAACATTCATCCAGCAAGGCACCCAATTGCTCCCGATCCGTGACTGTCCCGCCTTCCCAGTCGAATTCCGCCTCGTCCACGTCCATTTCGTCCATGAAACTGTCGGGCTTTGCGTCGGGGACGTCGACCACCTCCTCGACCCGGTCCTGTTTGTCTGTTTCTAACTCATCCTCGAGATACCCACCCATGATTTGATCCACGAGTAGAGGCATATGATTCAGGACACCGCCGCCGAGTTCCAAGGATAATCGGAGATCTCGCACGCCCAAGGGTTTTCGGGTGCTTGCCTCCTTGGCCTCGACTGGGAGAAGACCGGTCGCGCTATCCTTGACGATCTCTCCTCGCGTGAAAGCCAGTTCCTCACTTTCGAGCTGCTGTCGGTACTTGCGCATCATCATGCCGTTTATTGTCCCTGAAGGGCCGTTCGATCTCGTCCGTGAGAACACTACGGATAGAACTTCCTTGACAAAAGTCTCCGTTGCGATCGCCATGAACTCGGCACAGGGAAGGCTTGCACCACTGACAATGGATTCTTCGTAGCAGATGGGAACCATACGTGCGTGGATAGATTCGGCGTCCGGGAATTCGCCGGACTCTGACGCCAGAGGTTGTGCATATCGTTTTCGAATTTCGAGTTCCCAGTCTACCAAGATCCAGGATGATTAGCATCATTCGGTCGAGCAGACGAAAAACAGACGAGATCTCTGGCATGAACCTACTTGTCTTATTCAACCCGCCCGCACTAGCTGGTACTTGACTTGGCAACTTGATCTGTTTCGCCAGATGATATTCCTCCAGTTCGTTCGGCGACAGTTCATGGGGGTCACGCTTTGTATAGATCCATGGTCAGCCTTGTACGCGCACATCTCAGGGGGGAGGCTGTCGCATCTCTGGAGCACGTCGCATACCTCGGGAATAGCTTTGATTCGTCGACGATCCCGGGGAGGGAGTTGCATAACCTCCGTCTTGAGCCTTTGTTCAGCGGCATCGCCCGATGTCGGCTTTGACACGACGGACGGCTTGTCGTTCGCCGACACCCAACTTGCGACACCATGATCCGGAAGATCCCGTGTAAGATTGCCAATGATTGCGCATACGAAATTGTTATGTAGATGCTCGGTTTTTTGATCGGCGCATATTATATGATCGACTCGCGACGACAATTCGCTTTGGTTCAGTTGTCCTGTTCGTTGGGGGAGAAGGGCGGCGTCAGCATACGCATTCAGGTTAAAAGTGGGACCGAGGCTTATTGTAAGATAAGAGACAGAAACTCAAGAACAATGATATAGATAGGTCCTCGCAAGAAGATGGGGATAGACGTGACAATGCACAGACATACCTAGAAGAAAGAGGGAAGTAGCTTCCTTGTAGTCAGCCCAATTGTCGCCGATGGCGGCCTTCAGCTCGGTGTAGATGGGCTCAAGATCCAGGCGCGGCACGGAAATGAGGGCTTTGGTAGACTTCTGCGTTGGCGGAGCATTTGGAGCAGTGCTTTTAGACGAGGCTATTGTATTGGAGGCCGAGTCTGTCCGACTCAGAGCAGCCGGATCGATCTGCATGGTTTGCGAGGGCTCGCCGAAGCGCGACGGGCTGCGCGAAGCCGGGGGTGGGGAGAACTACGCCTTCATGAAGCGCGAGTCATACCAGATCCAGGAAACCGGAGGCGCGAACGATCGGAGCAAAGCGTGTCAAAAGGTGTGGTCGACACGCGAGACGGATAGGCAATGACAAGCGGATTGATGGGCGATGGGGGTTGAAGGAGAAGGGGAAAGGCAGGCCAGACGGAGGAGGACGTTCGAGGTGGAAGTGGAAGTTGGGAAGTCTGGGGAAGATGGATTGGATTGAATCCCGCCGTCCATCCACTACTGACTTACTTACACTCAAGCTCTCACCCCACCAGCTCTATTTTATTTTGATTCACGGATCACTCTCTGTCATGCACTTGGGAATTTTGTCTCACTTGACAAGGATATTTCCTTTCGTTATCTCTACGCTGGCTGTTTTCTACGGCACTCTCCGCGCGCACTTTCGAAGACGACCACCGCGCGACTCTCTATACCTCTCACCGCCTTGTCTCTTTGAATTATAGTAGAAGTGTTGTACTCTGTACATTTAGGCTTGAGGAGACTACACTGAATGCTATACGTAAATCATGCACATCCTGACGCTAACATATCAAATGCGACAAAATACAAAATTCGTTGATCGTTACCCTTCCAGACTGAGTGCGTAGCACTGATACGCTTCGTGGTTTCTGCCAGACTTACAGACTACCACCACCGCCCTCCGTGGATTTCAACGGATGATGATTTCGATTACCACCTTATACATCAGATCTTGAGGAAGAACTGGGAAAGCTGTGACGGTTCAAGTTCCAAATTGGTGAATCTGGACTTATTTTCGCCAAATGACTCTCACCATTGCCCACTGTTCCACCCCCGAGTATGTTTAGAGACCAGAACGACCGTCCGAGTATCACGGCACATACACCCATCAAGGATTCAGATGGAGGGTTTTTACAGGCAACAGAATTGATCCCCAATAATCTCCTCGCTAGGAATACAGCTTCACTGCATCCTCATGTAATACCCCGAAGAGCCGGCTGATTTCACCCATGATCGCTTCAATCTCGACCGATAATTGCCCCGTCACCAGAACTACATCGCGTTCGCAGTTAGCCATGTTTCCCTTCCTTACTTTAACCAAACAAGGGGCTCGTAACATACTATAAGCGTAAAGCAGGGCATAGTCTTCGTCCGTTGATAGTCGTGACATTTCAGTGTCCTTGCGATAATGAAAGAGCCGCGCGAGGAGCCGATCTCGAGCATGCTCCACGCTGGGGAGGACGTCGCTCAATGGATACTCCAGCTTCATCGAGGAGGCCATAACTATCTCAAGCGTCAATTACTAGTAACAAATGGCTACATTCGTGGGACTCACCAGATAACAGATGACTGATGCGGGAGGATAACTGTTGCCTTTCTTTGACCGTGTACCGAAGTATAGCGAGTTCCCCTTCCGATGCGGTCATGTTCTTAACCAACTCCAAGTTGATGGCGACAAATGCATCCACCAGGCTCCGGGTGCGCCGCAGAATATTGCCATAGCTTGCATCCTGGAAGGCGCTTTTCAACTCAAACTCAGATCGCGCAGAGGCTTGAAGGGACTCCAGATGCGACAGGAACCGCTCCACCTCCAACTTCTCCCGAGGACTCATGAAGCCTGCAGTCTCCTTGGGGAAGGCCATTGTGGACAAAGGGCCGCGCTTCCAGATCAGACTCATCCGGAGCCATAACAGGCTCAGGCCCTCTTTCAATCTCTCCCGGGCGCTGATCGGCCATATGACTCGCGTGATGATGATACCCCACACGCAGCCTGACAAGACAGCCGCGACTCGATGAAGGGCGATTTCAGTAATGACCGGGCTATCGCCCCCTTCGTCTTGGTCGTTCCTGCCTTCCTTCTGAGTAAGTGAATAGGCATACAGCACTGAGAGGTTGTAGGTGAGCATGATAAATCGGCCCATTGGACCTTGGCCGCGGACGATGATGAGGTAAAAGTTCCAAGTCGCCATAAGCAACCCCAGAAAGGCGAGCGCGAACACGTTTCCTGCACTCACGTACCATGAAAGAATGGCACACAGTGCTCCCAGGCATGTACCCAAGAACCGTGCATACCCCGTAGTATTGGAGGCACCAATCGTCATGGAACATACCAACATGTAGGACAAGAGCCCCCATTCACCTCGCCAATGGGAATAGAAGGGCCGAGTAGATTGGAGGAATGATGGCAAGGCATATAGTGCAGCACCTGCCCCGACTTTGATCGCGAACTTTGTATCATCGCGGCGGAAGAACCCCAGTGACCTCCAAAGACGATAGCCGAGACGCTTTTCGGCAGAGGTGACTCTTTCAATCTTGGCCGTTGACGGGCTAAGGGATGACTCTGGTGAGCTAGCCATATCTCGCTGAGGTGCTACACCTGCGTCATCGGCCGTTGAAGCTAACGGCTGCTCTACATCTGGGTTATTCTTATTCCTCGCTCCAGAACCTCCCCATCGCCAAAACTTAAGCCAGCTCCAAGATCTCCCTGTCGGTCTTTCCTCACTTTCCAGCTGTAGTTCATCCAAGATAGCTAAAAGCTCTTTCAATTGCTCACCAAACTCGAGTAAGGAGAAACTGAAGTGTCCACAGCTTGCAGAAACCTCTTCCAAATCAGCTTCGACTTCTAGCTCCTGTACCCCTGTGAGCTCACGTTGTCTATAGATAGTCTTGAGTGCTTCTTCGCGCGACTCTCTATAGAGCTCAAGCGCACGATCTAGACTCGTCCGGTATCGACTGTTGACGGAAACTCTAAATTCAGGTGCGGGAGTAAACGGGATGTCTCGGAATATTTCTTTGAGGGTAAACGCAAGCGAGCGCTATTGATTATTAGCATTCTCAGATCCCCATCTCATCTATTGACATGATAGCTCACCATAGAAGGCCCGAGATGGCTGATAAAGAGGGCAAATATATCTGCCGGATGCAGGGGATTCGTTGGATTACCATTGGTGGCATTCATATCAGTAGCCCCAAGTCTGTCTTCTTCGTCTGGTTGCTCATCGATTCGTTCCAGGAACGGCCCGTCTTCATGAAGGGACCACGGACTTATCAACGGCATAGTGCCGGTTTCGGGGCCGTGGCTCTGTAGCTTTGCAAGTTCCGTTGGTTTAAGCAATTGAAATTGCAGATGGGCTGCACTGCGTAGACCACCCATATTATGAGTAATGTCCTGCACCCAACGAACTAACTTCTTCTCCAGCCGGTACTCCTTCTCCGTGCCTGCCACGAAATGCTCAAGCTTGGCCTCCCTTACAAGCTTGTCCAGCTGCGCATATGCTTTCTTATGGCGCGCAGCCGTGCTGGTGAACTCTTCAGTCTGGAGTTCCTCCTCGGAGCCACTAAGAAAGCTTTCAGTTATTAGAGCCAACATTGTCGCCAAGCTTTCAGTGACAGTAGTCAAGTTAGACCGGAGCTTTTTGCGTGCGGATATGGGGAAGATCAGGAAAGACACGGCCATGGTGATGGTTACGCCCATTACGACCATTTTCAGTACCTGAGAGATCTTCGCAAACGATAGATCCCCACTTTGGACTGCACCCTCCTTCGTTAAGACGGTTATTGTCGACAACGAAGCTAGCGAGCATGCTACGTTAACAAGCGGATCGCCGAGTCTCTGTTTCGTCCATCCGATAAAGCCTAACCCGCCGCCACAGAATACAATGAGCACGAGGGCATGTCCCACAGGGAGCATATGCAAAGTGTCCTGAAAGAACATGGAGACACACATGCTGGTGAGAGAAATGAAGGCAGCATAGAGGAAGGCGAGAAAGGCACATATCAAAGCCTTGTACATGCTGCCCTGCGATCTCGCTGGATGGAAGTAGACCGTAACGGTAGCAACCATATGTTTGCCATCTTGATGGCCCAGGAACGACGCAATGGCCGGAACGAAAGTTGCGAGTGATCCAAGCAGGTAAGCTAGACTGCACTTCAAGACGCCGATTCCTAGCTCCGACGAAACGAACTCATGCATCCAAGACCATATATGTTGAAGTCCATACCAGAACCGTGCTGGAAGGCTCTTGGGGCACTCGATGACATTTCTGGGTAGAAGTGGCCGTCGCTCATCATTGTCGTTACTCCCATGTGGGTCAGGATACGGGTTTCGTAAATTAACGAGGCCTTTGAGTCGCTGGCCTGTTCTCGGCAGGACGAAGGTTGCGTAGCGTAACTGTGAGAAAAGCAGTATGAATCAGCAACGCGACATAAGTTAACTAAACTTCTTTTCCTGGACCGATGAGCATATTGGCAGGGTCGGGGTGCGCCGTCAACCCGTAGTGGTTGAGGCAAGGGGAGGAAGTCTAGGCCAAGTAACCCAGCTAGCTAGATAGTAATGCTAGCTAAGTAGTGGTTGGAGATAGCTAACTATGCAGCTTACCTTCTTCGGACGCAGAAAGCGCCGGGCACCGCTGCTCGATGAGTCGCCCGGCAGAGACATGATCTATTTACCTCATTTTCCTTTCCCGGTTTCCACTCGAACGTATAGAAGAGACTGCCGGAACTGGCGACACTGGAACAGGAACAGGAACAAGGCCTTGTTCCACCATGATCTTGTGCGCTGGTGGAGAGCTTGGGAGGTCCGGTGACCAATGCGAGCCGGCATTTGCGAGAGAATCACGCACGGGTCACGCCCGCGTCATCCCAGCCCGCTTGAGCTTCTACGTGCTCCTTACACTATGAGATGGCTCCCTACAAACTGATAACATCGGAATAATGACTTGAACTCAAAAAGCCAGGAAAAGCAAATACATTGTGGACCAGCCAAAACCTCAACGTTCACTATACACTTGGCATATACTCTCTATAAGTCGGCCCCCATCTCTAATTGAGACCTTCCACTTTCCACACCTTAACTGCCGCATCAGCACCGGCTGAGGCAATCTTAGATCCCCCGGCGATCCAGGCAACACCGTTCACGCCTTCTTTGTGAGCGTTAGACACCTGAAGCCAGTCGCCGGGCTTGGACAAGCTCCAGACGAAGATGTTGGTATCCAATGACCCGCTGGCCAGGTGGTCATTGTCTTCGTTCCAGGCAAGTGAAGTAATTCGAGAGGTGTGCGCCGTCCAACGATCCGTAACAAGGCTACCGTCTGCGACCTTGTAAACAAGGATGCGACCCCGAGAGTCGCCCACAGCCAGGAGAGATCCGTCGGATGAGAAAGACAAGGCAGACACCGCATTCCGCGTAGCCTTGATGGTAGTCTTGGGGGAAAGGCTCGAGGCCGCAATATCCAAGATCTGTACGGTCGCGTTCTCACCTCCGACAGCTGCAACGTTGCCATGAGCCGCAACCGCAGTGACGGGGAAGTCAGGCTTGAAGTCGCCAGTCTTCTGTCCGTCCTTGTAGATCTCAACGCTCTCCGACGCTCCCACTAACACCAAGTCATTTGCGGCTGCAACGCCCTTGGGCTGTCCCGACAGCTTAGAAGAGATTCCGGTATAGGTCTTGGCACCAATATCCACGGAGCGAATGGTATCGTCCCAGGCGACGCTGTAGATCCGACCATTGCCTTCCTGTGTAGGTGCGAGACCTGCAATATAGGTCGTGTGGCTGTCGCCTTCCATTTCTTCCGCAGCCCCCGTGGGAACATCCCAGCTGCAGACCCGGCCGTCAAAACTTCCAGTCCACAGGGTCTCAGCATCGCTGCCAGAGCGAGACTGGGTCAAGGACGTGATGTTCTTCTGGTGTCCCTGGACGACCTGTCTGGGCTTCGGGGTGCCTTCAACTAGGTAATTAAGGTCGCCGCTCAACGAAAGACTGATCAGCAGGCCATCGCTTCTTCCCTGAGGCCAGACCACTCCGACCTGCTGGTCCTTAACATTCGCAGCTCCTTCCTCTCCCATATTCCAACTCTGGGTAACCTTGCCCGCTTCCACGTCCCAAATCTTGACAGTCTTGTCTGCGCTGGCTGTCGCAAACTTCCGCGAGTCCTTAGACCACGAAAGGCCGAAAATGCTGCCGTTGTGCTCTCCTTCGCCAATCTGGCCTCTGACTTCTCCCGTCTTGCCATCGTACAGCCAGATCTTGCGGTCCGCGCCAACACTGACCAATGTCGAGCCGTCCGGGCTGAAGCCGACTCCATAGATATAGTTGGTGTGCTTATCCCGAATTCCCGTGTTGAACTTGAATGGTGCACCGTGGTAGAAGACTAGGTTCTTGTCGTCACCGGCAGCAGCGGCCCGCAATGGCCTTTGCTGCCTGATCGAAACGGAATTGATCTGTTGGGTGTGGCCATAGATCTCTCCGACAGTATTACCACTGTCCCAAGTAATGCAGTGGCCGTACCGCTGCTTTCCATCACCGACGGCAATGATGCGCTGGGAATCGCCATCCCAGGCAAGATCATTGATCCGGCCATTCACAATGCTGTATTCGCCCTTGGTGATACCCTCTCCAACACAGTCCCAGACTCTCACTATACCACTGGCATCACCACTGGCAACATAGAAGCCCGAGGGTGAGAAGCGGGCAACAGTGGTCTGCGTCTTATGTTCGGTGTACTGCCTGGCGATGGCGGGGTTGTCAATCGAGCGGAGGAAAACCGATTTGTTTGCCTGAAGATTTCGAGAAAGGAACAGTAAGCATTGACGAGTATTTTTATTTGCATGGATGCCAGCAAATTTAATGCCATACCGCATATGCAATCCGTTCGCCCTTGGCGTCCGCAGAAAGCTGAGTGGGCTGACCCCTGGTGGTGGAGGGGCTGGCAGCCCAGATGGACTCTAGGTGGTCTTGTTAGCAGTGGTGATAGTAAAGCAAGCGGGTAAGGGGTGCTAGCAGACCATTTATGATAGACATGATTTTATTTACATGCAATGTCCGTCGCTAAATAAATAAAGACACAAGTAGGATTCAATCAGGGCTAGAAGAGGGAGGGAAACAGGAGAAGGGGAGAAGAAGCACGGCGATGTTTAGGCTGTTGACGTATGGGTGGGGGTGCCGCCGAAACACATGGGCCGCGGATGCTGCCGTGGTTGACTGGACAGGTACTTATATAACTATCGTCTTCTTATCAGAGTCAATGCTCATTCAGTGTCTAAGTTGCTGCCTGAAATCCCCCTTCCGCCCCTATCATTGCACAATGTCATATGTATTGGTTGGATTGAAATGAGAATGGTGGTGGTAAATAGTCGTAGTTGTACATAGGCCATCCCGTCAAGGCTGTCTGGCTAGCAATAAAATAAAATAAAAGAAAAACACCAAGGAGTTCAAAAGCTGAGGAAGAAAAGAACTATCATATCGAAAGCAACCCGAGTCCAGTCCGTGACCCTATACCGATGTTATACAGAGGAACTCTATTCAGTAGCCACTTCCTCCCTCCATCCGCGACCTTGCTTCGGCCGCCAGAACTTCCGGGTGTCGGTGAACACTGGGCATGAGACCGAGACCAACAGCTCTCCGGATGGCCTTGGAAATCTTGCGCTGGTTGACGGGCCGCAGACCCGTCATGTTTCTGTGCTTTATCCGACCCATCGAGGTGATATATTCCGACATAACAGAGAAGTTCTGCGAAGCACGAATTATCAGCGATCAGCATGGATTGCGAGACAGAACCATCTTCTTTCTTTCCCAAAAGTCCATGATACGTTGGCTTACCTTATACAGATCCAGGGGGTTCAGGTTCAGGGCGTCAAAGGCATCAGTCGAGGGACTGTAACGCTTCCTCCATTTCTTCATCTCTGCCGGGCTGAGATCATGAGGGGCATAGAGATCACCGGCTTTCCATTCACGCGTCTGAAACCTCTCCAAAGCCCTGCTCTCACTCTGAGCCCGCTGCTCCTCGAGAAATCGGCGGCGGTCCACTGGTCCACGGCGGCGGTTGTACACTTTGGGAGCTGCGTTGAAGCCACCGATTAGCGAAAAGTCAATAGAAGGGGATGTGGTTGAAATAGGTTCCCCCCAGGTTCGGTCTATGAAACGGGTAGAAAGTCAGACTGAATAGTACAATCACTTACACCGAGATCTGGGGCCACGCTGAGGAGCGGGATTCGGAGCAGCGGTCGAATTCCAGCGACAAGCAACACTAGCAGCAGCAGACACCGACCCAAAGGCTGAGCTAACGGTGCGCAAAGGCGACCACGAAAAGAGATGAAGAGCCATACTGAGACAGCGAGATGGCCAAAGAGTGGGGAGGAGAACGACAATCCGGAGAGAAAAGGCTCGGGGTGATGAAGCTGGCCGGCGATGCGATCGATTTTCTTTTTTCGGCACGCGCCAAGAGCCGCCTGGGCTTCCGCCCGCAACTCCGTCTCCTCCATTCCCATTCCCACCTCTCGATCCAAGGAACACACCTCGGTGCCATTGCGTCAATTGGCCTGACTCTGCTATCGGTCTCTGCATCGCTTTACCTTGTGGATAGACCGTGCTTCATGGTGTCTGGCAAAACATTTGCTTATACTTCCATACCTTTCTGCTGAAAAGGGAACCAAACAAGAATCAAGATACTCGACTTCCCTGCGCCAAACAGCTTCTCACATTGAAACGTCTTGATCAATATGCAGTTCCACCTAACTAAAAGGGTCTTTCGGGCCATCTTGAATAATGAGCCTCTTTCATCATCATGCTGTCACTATCGCTTCCTGCATACTGCTCGTTGCCATCGATCCCGCAAACTAGGTCCTCTCTGTTCATACCATGTCCAGCGACGCGGGCTCTTCGCCTTTGCGGCCCCAACTGCCGAACCTCAGCCTGCGATCTTGCCCTCTGAAACTGGATTGAAGCCAATGCGAGACTTGTTGAGATCACTCAGTGACCAGAGCAGAGGCCCCGCCAACGGAATCCTGGCAAAAGCTTTCCAGGACTTTGTCGTTGCCCGCGCGGAAACTCCTGGAATCATTACGAACTACCATGCGAAGTTGCTTGTTACCACCTGGAAGTATCTCAGAGCCCGCGAGGGGGAACTGGAACGCATGGAATGGCAGAAGGTCTTTTCAACCGAGAACCTCGAGAATCTTCTCTACGTCTTATCGGAAGCAAAATGTTTGCCAGAGGCGCACGAAACCGTGCGAAAGATGGCTCGGCTAGCCTTCTTGGAGCTCTGTGCAGACCATGGATTTGGGAACAATCACATCAGCCGTCCTGCCCTCCTATCTTACATCTATATCCAGGCTATGCTTGGTAACCCGGATGAAGCGCGGCATGTGGTCGAGAACTTCTGGAACCGACTGAGCAAGACCAGCCCTTCCCCTTGGCTCACAGTCATGAAAGGCTATGCCATCATCAACGACAGGAATCAACTCAGGCGTACCACGGAAAAGCTGAACGAGCACGGCATTGTGTTTGATCGAACTGCCCATGAAGAGCTGGTCAACATCCTCGTTGAGCAGGATCTTCTAGCGGCATTAAAAATGGTATATGAGAGTCTCTCGCCTTCCGGAGAAGAACCTTCTGTCCTCGCCAAGGAAGCCGTCATTCGCTATGCGATCATGAAGGCCGAGACAGCTTGGGCAACTTCTATCTTTGAGTCGCTTTCGCACGCGCCAGTTGCGGAGACCATAGGTATCACGCTTCTCTGGGAAGCTGTCCAAACCAAGAGTGCTGCTGCCGTCCAGGAGAAGGCCAGAATATTGACGGCCGGTAACCAAGAAGTCAGCGAATCACTCACCATCACATGCGTGAACGATCTGATGGAATACGCCAATTCCATCAAGAATCCCGAATTGGCCACAGAGTTCGCATCTCTGGCCTCCCAGTGGGGCCTGGAACCGGACCTACAAACTTACCTACTGCGACTGGAAGCGTACATTCTAGCAGGGGATGTGAAGACTGCATTGAGCTCCATGGAAGACCTGCACGACCCAGAGACCATCATGCTTGAGAACTTGCCATTGATGAACAAGCTGATCACCGTCCTCTGCTTTTCAAGTCAGGAGGATGCCGTGGTTGAGAAAGTGGGCTCCCTCACTGATCCGTTGTTCGAAAATAACGTGCGGTTGGAGGCAGACACTCTGGCAGCGTTGACGCACATGCTATTGTACCGTCGTGAGTGGGAGGCTGTCTCCGAGCTCCTTCGTCCCCGTCTGGGGCTCTACGACTCAGAAGAAAGAACCAAAGTCCGCAATACTCTCACCAACTTCATCACTGACCTGACCCAAGAAACCGATGACGCTTGGGAAATGTACAACCTACTTCAACTCGCGTTTCCCGAATCCGGCGTCAGCCTGCGAACCGAGATCATGACCTCATTCTTCAAGCGAGACCGTAGCGACCTCGCCTTCCTAGTCTTCGGACACATGCGACAAGCAGAAGATTTCGCACGGCGACCCAAACCCGACACCTATGCGCGATGCTTCCAAGGCCTCGCGCGAACTCAGGACGCCAAGAACCTCGAACTCGTCCACAACATGCTTAAGCTCGACGTGGAAGTGGACCTCAACACGCGTCTTCTGAACGGCCTCATGCTCGCATACGCCGCCTGCGATATGCCCGAAAAAGCGCTGGACGTATTCCGCGACATCCTGCAATCGGACGAAGGCCCCTCCCACAAAACCATCACCATCTTCTTCAAGACGTGCGAAAAACACCACAACGGAATCCAGGAGGCCATGCGAATGATGAGCAAGGTCAAGCGCCTCGAAATCACCGTTGATCGCCAACTATACATGGCATACGTTGAGGCCCTGGCCGCACAGTGCGAGTTTGACCTCGCCACTGAAGCGCTGGACAAGATGCAGGCTGAAACTGGATACCTACCGACCCGCAACTCGTACGTTCAATTCCTTTCACCTTTCAGGTCTATAAACATGTACTAACGTATTACGCAACAACAGGATCGGATTACTCTACAATGCCATCCCGTATCAGTACTGGAAGGATGAAGTTGAGAAGTGGGCCAAGGATAAATACCCCGATCTGTGGGCGCAGTTGGAACAGATCGAGCGGACCGAGTATGAAGAGGGGCCGAAGTTCAACATCAAGGACAATGAGGTTGTCGTCTAGTATTTAGTTGCGTGTAATTTAGGCTGGTGACAGATGTACTTTACTTTACTACGCATATAGCATTGTATGAGCCTGCAGCGTTACATATCATTGATGTCGAATATACTCTTTCCATATATTCTGTCAACTACGCCTTGTAATTACTTGGGGTACAAGAGAGCTTAACTCAGATGTGGACAGGAACTTGTTTGGCTGAATTCGGTGGGTATAGAATCTTAGAACTTTTAACAGTCCTGCAAGGTGTATGTTGTGCAACAGCGTGGTAGCAGTAAAATACAGAGTAGCTAGTTGCAAATGTATTCAAGTTCAATAAACAGAGCAGACTACTTAGATGCGAAAAGGGATTGCAAAAACAAAGTGCTGTATTAGGTCTGTAGTATTCATGTCTTTTTTGTATCCCATGCAATGGACATCGTCATAATTAAAGTATCCGTAACACTGCTGATGTGCAGTCAGGTATGTATTTCCCGGAAAATGCATATCACCAAACAAAAACAATCATAAGAAAACAGGTATATCCGTCTAAGAATCGTGGTTCGCGTTGAGCTGCGCAATTCGCTTGGTCATGCTATAGTCATCATTAGAAGGGTGCATCACGATTTCGGGGGCCGGAAATGAACCACTTACAAGTCAAAGAAGGAGAACTGGCTCGGGCTGCTACCATACTCATACACGAAGCGGCTGGCAAGGTAGCTGCCAAAGATGGCTCTCAGATAGTTCTCGGGCACCTATTAGATTGTCAGCATCACGTTAATGAAATCTGTTGGGCTGTAAGACTAACCCGCTGAAGGATGGTGTCGAGACCAATCTTCTGCAGAAGGAGGTTCGGCAGAGCATCGTGGAGGACGGAGCGGCGAAGCTCAACATTATCCCACAATTCTGTCTTCTGAAGTTCCTCATCCAGCTGGGTGATGGCAACACTGAGACGATCGCTCAGGACGCTGCGAAGCAATCCTGTCTTCTCATGTTCGCGCCAAATGGCTTCAAACTCGAGAGTAGCATTCGACTTGATAACCTCCTGCACCTGCTTGACATATTCACTGTAGAAAGTGGGCACGGTACCATCCTCACGGATGCACATGTTTTCCACAAACTCTTCGTCGTCGAAAGACAGGGAAGCCAGGACCTCCAATGAGGAGGATGTCACACCTCCCTTGTTGGCAGATGCGTCCTTGAACAGGATGCAACCAGCCCTTTCGAGGCGAAGCTTGCTGTCTTGTGTAATGAACAGGTTTGCACCCTCGACAATGTACGGGATGGTGGCCTTTCCGTCCTTGATGAGTTTTCCAACAGTGGAAAGATCAATCGACTCCGGTCGTCCACCGCAAGGCACGAATGTATCATATTGCTGGTCACGACGCAGATGGAACAGGTTGCGGAAAATCATACCATTGTGGACCAGCTCGCCGCTTGGCAAATGAACGTTGCTTTCATCGACCAGAACCCGGTAACCCTTGGGTGAGAGCTTCGACAGATCGAACTCAGAGATGGTCGCCCGCTTCTTGGCGAGTCTGACAAGCTCCTCATGATCCAGGCCCTGGGGATCAACAATCACTCCGGACCCGTCGACAATGGCGGTATACTTCTCATTGGACAGGAGGATCTCATTGGAGCCCAGATCGCCGTCAGGCCCACCGGTCTGCAGCTTTCGGATGGTGCTCGGGTCGATCTTCAGCTTGCGATAGATACCAAGCACATACTGCCGGACCGACAGGGTCGTCATGCCATAGGTATCATGTGGGATACCGCCAAGCCTGGGGCTCTTGCCCGTAAAGAACGACTTCCACCAGGGGGCACCGCGGTTGCGGGCATGCTCCGTGGCCCAGTCGACCAATTCGGCCGTGTTCTCGTCGGGACCCATGAACAAAATCTCGTCTTTACCATGCAAGTCCACAATCGGGTCCTTGATTCCCGGGCTGACAGGAGGCAGCAGCAGGTCCAAGATACTGTCGATGTACTTCTCGAAAGCGACGCGGGCCTTATCCTGGTGGTTGACGTCAAGCAGGATCACACCCTTTGCGCCACCTTCGGGGATATCCTTGTTCTTGCGTTGCTGAGTATTGGCAAGGTTGTAGTTCTCGTCGAACAGTGAGCGGGCATTGATACTGTAGGCCTCCTTGTTCCGACTCTTGACAATACGGATGCCACCACGAGCAATATCCCGGAATCGCAGGTGGAATCCACGGAACTCGGAGCTGATCACCAAGAACATGCCATATAGGCGCTGGGGATACTCGTGTTCCGGCAGGAAGTCAGGGTTGAGTCGGAAGCTGAGAGCAACCTTGGTCGGGGTGAAGAAGTTGGTCTTGAGGATGGAGGCGTTGAACACGCGGAAGGCGCTCATGACCATTTCATCATGTTCATTGGCCGCAGTACTCGAGATGAGCTGCTTCAGCTTGGGGCCGTCCAACACCTCGTCAACCTGCAGACGCAGGTAACTCAGGGTTGGGAGGAAGTCATCCTCGGCAGGACCCCGCGTTTGCACGTAATGCGTGTTGGCGAAGTCCAAGTAAAGCTTATGGATGAGTTCCGGGTACTTGTTGACGATCTCCAGGATGTAGTCCGATGTGAACGTCTCGGTACGCAACCTCTTCTTGATCTTCGCCAGCAGCTCCGCATGGACGCTGTTGTTCGAATCCAAAAGATCCGTCAAGGAGATGTATTCGGAGCCCAGTCGGTTCAGGAACTGCTGCACGAACACCCAGGCGCAGTGGGCATAGATCGTTTCCTGCAAGCTAAGGCGGCCACTGGCGAAATGGTGCTGGAATTTGTTCTGAGGAATACAGTACAAAAGGGAGACTTCCTTGATGATTTGGTGAATGGCAGCCTCGATTGGGGGATACTTGGCGGCAATTTCCTTGTTGGGCAGAGGACGCAGGTAAAGCGAAATCACCGTGATGCCGTTGGAGAAGTTCTCCAGGTACTTCCGTGAGCTGGTCAGGCGGTAGTAGTGGTATAGATCGGAGAGCGCACTGAAAAGACCCATGGCAGAGCCTTGGCGGTAGGCAATGACCAGTCTCTTTTCGCGGCTCTTTTCAATTTCAAACAGCTCAATAACCGGACCGGAGCGGCTCACGGCATTACTGATGATTTCCTGGTAGATAGCCTTGGTGTTGGGGGTGGCTTTCTGCAGGAACCTCTTTTCGCCGATGATATCGATGTTGGTCTCGTTCGGATCGGGAGTGGGATTGGCAAACTGGCACTTGTACACGAAGTAACAACGAAGCTGTTGCCCATCATCACCGGGAATAGGTGTGGGGGAACGGAAGGTCTCAACGCGATAGCTGTTGCCTTGGGACGAGGGGTTGATATACTTCTTATCAATCCGCTGTTCATACCCGGGGCCTTCGACTGTTGCGATACCGGGTTTGCTGGTATCAATGTAGACAGCATGATCTTCTGCTTCCTTATCCAAGCGGATTTCGAGCTTCTTGTCGTCACGGGCATAGGCGGCGACCTTGGCAGCATACAGCGAGAGAATTTGCGTGACGATAGCGTCCACAGACTCGGTCTGGAAGTATGTGTCGTCAATGCCGAGCTGGTTGTAGAACCACTCGGTCTCCCCGACGACAAACTCAATGGGAATGAAGCCTTTCTTCTCCAGCTGATCCATCACTAGCGAACGAGAGAAAATAGTCAGAAGAGTCGCCACCGATAAAAGTAGACGGGATATCAGTTTCAAACTCACCTTGCTCCATTTGCTTTTCCTTCCCTTCGAATTTGGCCGCCACATAGCCGGGGTCTTCCTCTGACAGAATGCGATGCTGGCCACCACCGGGAATAGCCAGATGCGTGGGTTGCGGCGACGGTTGGCGCACGCTGGAGCCAGCTACATTGTCCAGGATCTTGTTGTGGGGGTGTCTTTGGAAACCAAGAGGAGTTCCAGCTCCTGACTGGGAACCATCGTTGCTCCCGTAGAGTTTCGGCCCCGTCCGCATGGGAAGGGTGTTGTTGCCATTGAGGTGGCCGTCGGAAAGAGGCGACGACGACGGCGCGCGAGAGACCATGATGGGAGTGGAGTGGCAAGAGGAGTTGAGAGGCTCAATTGAACTCAGAAAAGAGGCGGCACTAGTGGGTTTATATCTGTTACTTGGTGAGCCATGCATGAGTAACAAGGCAGGAGCCAAGCTGCTAGCAATAAAAGAAACTGGTTCGTGCGCGAGAATGGAGGGGGGAAGAGGATGGGAAGCTGAAGCTGGGAAAGATAAGGCAGCCACACAGCTGCATGAAGATGTGCAGGAGATGGCGCCGGCGCAGGGAGATATAGAAGGAAGCCAGAAAAGAAAGTATGGGAATTCTAGACCACTAGCGACAAACCTACCTCAATGGAAGCGTCGATTGATGCAAAGGAAAATTGGTGATCTGGCGTTGCTACGGACCAGGGCAATGACGAAAGCTCGAAGCTTATCGGGGAGAGCAAGAGAAACGAGCCAAATAGACTGAAACGGGGTTCACTTGTCGGTACCAGCCATCAACCGACACGTCACCAATGGAATGCACAAAGAGGCTAGTTTGGGAGAGTTTGGGATTCAAAGATGGAAGAAACACAGATGAAGAGGGGAAGGTGGGAGAGAAGAGGGAAAAATAGCGGAGAGAATCCCAATTTTTTATTCAAGAAGGAAAGAAGGATGCGAATTCAAATCAGATCAGGTCAAATTAAATCACAGGGAGGATATTCAATGTGATGGACACGAACAAAGCAGTGGAATCAGGTGCAAATCCACCCGGGAGATGCTGGCTCTTTATACAAACTGGAGCTGAAGCCAGACGAGGAATCGTATTTCCCCAAAGGTAAAACAAATAATAATAATTGAATAATAAACATTTCTTATTATCACATCGAAGGGGAAAAAAAATAAAAATGAAAAATAAAAATCGAAATTTCCCAAAATGAGATTAATCCGAATGGCACAGCCATTATTAAGTCATACCTGCAATACTACTTCTTTGGGAGGCCAAATACTATCGGCCAGCCAGCCAAACCCAGAAAGCCGGTGCTATGCGATCGGCCAGGAACGGGGCCCGGTCCGGGGCAAGTCGTTGGACGGCCTGGCTGTTTCTGCCTGAGGATCATGGATGGCCCGCCCTTGTGCATGGGTCTCCACGTTGCCGTTGTTGTCTCCAACTGTCAAGTTGATGTTTTGTTCCTACACAAGATACCACGGTGGCTAGATACTACGTAGTACAGCTTCGATGCGGCTTGTACGAGGGGTGATCAAACTGTGTATATAAAGTGCTACCTTTGATCCATGAAAAATCTATTTTCTCCTTGCCTGATTCCCATGTATGTTCCCTTCTTTTCCCTCTTTTTCCCTTTCCCTTTCCCTCATTGATACTGGCCCGCCTGTGCAACGGCTCCACGGCGGATGACTCGATTCACGATGCCAAGTTGAGTGGGTCTCAGTTTCCTTTTTCGGCATCGCGGACCATCTTAGTGCGAATGAGGCAAGTGTGAAAAATACCGCATGAAACCAACGTGATTGGTGGTCAAGGGCTAAAATTGGAAAAATTGCCTCAAATGCTTTGGAACGGGAGCTGGAGTCATTGTGGCTGGTTTGCCGGTTCACAGTTCACTGACTAACAAGGTATGGAGTAAAGGGAGTGTCACCTGAGTTGAGTCCAGGGGCGGCGTCCAGGCACAAATTTAGAAAGAAAAGTGAGTACTGTCGCGTGAGACTTCGACGGGGATAGATCCAAATTGAGATCTATTGCTCACTATGAATAGATAGTGTGATGGATTGAGATGGCCGGTAAGGCCTTTGACCACCTGCATGCAGTGAGGTCAGTACGTACTCTTAGTAGATAGTAAGGAAGTAGGAACCGTAAGATACTCCGTTACAACATCCATACTTTGTTACTGTTGCCTCTAAATTCCCGGTTTAGTCAGCTGACCGGACCGGCTGGAAGGGGGGCCAACACTCCACTTAGTAGGGCTGTAGGTTTCGAAAGGGGGTTTTGGTGTGTCATGGTGGCCAGTGAGCTGCAAATCATCGCCGACGATGCTGATTTTTGCAGGTTTCTCTGCGTAATGGCGAGCATCAACGGAGGGGAAAATGCCGCACTTGATTGCTCTCCTCGGCTTATCATATTACCAACCGGGGTTTCTTATCGGTTTTGTGGCAGATAGATAGCAACCAGAATTCGACTACTTTATCATGAATAATGGTGATCAGTTGAGGGTTTCTTTGATGCCACTACTAGGAGCAGTACTAGATACAGAGAGTATCTTGTTTAGGGATAGATCTATCAACTTGGCCCGGATTCATTGGGCTCGGTCTTGTCCAGCCTGATAAACTGGCTGATAACTAAACCTACTTAGTATCGGACCGCAGTGAGGAAGGATGGATCATACACACATACACATACACACACACACCGCCATTACATACCACTTTTGGGAGATGTGCACTGTCGGTGATTTAATTAAGATTGGGTAAGTAAGTAGTTGGTTACTAGCACGCAATTTCCATTTTTTTTTTCGATGTGAAGTCATATTGTCCGTCGAAGTTTCCTCACGCATCTAGACTTGCGGGGAGGGATGGTCGATCGGTACCTGGAAGATGGCCCGTGGCTGCTACTAGGTACTATTCTCAATCCATTCCTAGTCAACTTGCGGGGAGGGCTTGAGAAATCTGCTCTAGTCTCCAACAGTCCAACTCCCCCCAGTCAAATGAAATGCTTCGGAATCCCCAGCCGGAATTCCCATTATTAAAATGGCTCAAGCCTACCCCGTGCTATTACCCCATAGAAAGTCCGTCCGCGTATCCTCCCCCATGTCTCTTTTCCCCAAAGTTCCAAACTCCCAGCATTCCCCTCCTCTTCCAGAGGCGGGGGTGGATATTCCTCTCTCACTCTCACTCTCTTTCTTCTCTCTTTCGCCCCCTCTTGGCGGTGGAACGGATGGGGTTCAGACTTCCAAACATGAGTGGTTTTGCTTTAACCCACCGGAGGCTCCACTTACTCGTCGTCTCGAATGGTCCATATGAAGTAATGAGAACTCCAGCACTGGAAGACAAAAGAATACTTCCGGACCATGCGCCATCCCCGGCGGCTCCCATTCGCTGTCGGCTGCTTCGTTCGGTTGCCGTGATTCCTTGATGCAATGACGTACAACCGGCCCTTTGCTGCCATGCCATGCACCGCAAGACTAATCCAGACATGCCAACATCCAACGGGAAGAGGCACGCACAAGCGGTGTCGCGCATCCCGCATCTTGTGACTCCCGAGTATTTTCACCGTCTTTGCAGCTTGATTGCTCGAGCTCTGCTACTTGTCGCCGATAGGTGCTCGGCCTTTAGACTTGTATCAAAAGATGCTCAGCTGAATAGGCTCTCGGACAGCTTTGCATGAAGACACGGCTGCTGCTGGGAGGAATTTTATCCCGGCAACATATCATCAGCAAGTCCGATCCCGACAGGTCACATACCAAGGCCAACTCTGTCACCTGCATTTCAGAGTTTCGACAAAAGGGTTGAATGCAGTCGATGGCTGCGGACAAGCTGCCATTGCCCTCGTGCACTGGAGACGATTAGGGAGCAGTATAATGGCTGATGAGCTGCAGACATCTATCAATTACACTCTGCAGCATCTGCATGCAAACCACGTTGATCAGCTTTTGCTTGGTTTGCTCTCACACCTGCATGGTGTAAGCTGCAACAGCCGGCTTGAGAAGTTGATGGTCGTCTTAGCTAGCAATTATCAGGCGCTCCGATAAGATCCTACTGGACCGGATACAGTTCAGCTATCTATATTGCATCGGGTGAACCTATCCATAATGCGCTCAGCGCCCTGCTTGGTGAACTAGTCTACACCTGCTATGATAGTCGTCTCGAAAGTATCCGAAGTTGATACGGTGAAATTCTGCTCTACGATGGGTATAGCCAATCGAACAGGCAACTGGTGCAGTGGACTGAAATGGAGTTGTAGAGAATCCTGAAAGCTGATGGTGGGTATCCGTCACAACCAACTTTGCACTTCGTCTTCGTCTTTGCTGTTCAAATTTCTGTAAGCCGCTTCCAAGCTCCTCTATAATGCAAGGTACCCAGAAACAAACACATGAGTGTCCATTCCATGCACCGTCGGGTCCCACTGATTTGGCCATCCTTAGCAGACCCAGATATAGAACGTTGGATTAACATACAACAGAGACTAATCCCCTTTGGATTGCCAAACTTTCAGGCTAGAGATGCCTAGTATGTCAGGTGACGCTGACAACCGATAACCCACTTACTACCTGGTGCAAAGACCACTCTGCATCAGACTGTCTCCATATTATTCAAGGAGGGAATCATTCGAAATCACACTAGCAAAACTCTAGTCGTCTACAAACAGCTACTATTGAATTCTGTCTGTCTGTCTGGCTGGTATAACTGAAACAATATGATACAACCTCCATCTACCGCTTCTTAATACTCACGTCAATATTTCCAATCGCCCACGCGGCAACAAACACGGTGAACAGCCCCGCCGTGATGGTCACGGGCTTGCGCAATCCATCCCACAGAGAGTAGTCGTAAGTGACCTATATCCAAAAATGAGCTGCACTATTCCCGATATTTATCCGGCGTATGGAGGTAGTTACTTACCACTATCTGCGAGTCACGGGCCTCATCCGTCAACTCCTCCACGGTCAAAGTCAGCGCCGTGCGTCCTAGGGTATCCATGAAAGTCTTGTGGCTGGTGAGCTCAGTCTGGATCTGGTTCGCACCGGGGAGACCATTGCTAGTCGCCTTCTCGAGGAGCTCGTAGCGGACGTTCCGGGCACCCTCGGGGAGGATGATGCGCACGACGGCCTTCTCATACTGAATACCCTCGGAAACCTTGGGGCCCTCGATGAAGGGGACCTTGAGGACGTAGGAATCAGCGCCGGTGACAGCCTTGCGAAGGAAGGCAGAGAGGTCGTTGTTCCAGCCAATGCGGAAGCTGTAGTTCCATCCGCCGAAGATGGGGAACCGGGGACGAAGCTCCAGGGAGGCGTCACGGTTCGGGACCTTTCCGGGACGGTAGCGGCTCGTGGAAACGTTGCCAATGTCGTCGGTGAAGTAGGGGTCCACGGAGCCGGGCTTGAGGGGGATCTTCAGCTCGCGGATAGCGGAGGACGGCAGCTGCTGGTAGCTGCTGATGGTCCATTCGACGCGGTTGAAGTTGTCGGTGAGCTTGGAGCCGTTGTTGCGCAGCCAGTAGCGCTCTTCCGTCGCCAGGTTGCCGCCCCAGTGGGATACTTCCAGGTCACGCTCCAGAAGAGTGGCAGTGATGACGGGCTTGGTGAACTCGTACCGGACACTGGCCGGGTAGGTGGTCTCGGGAGCGACGTCGGCGTAGGGTCCGTAGGTGTAGGTGGCACCCTGGCGCTCTGGATCCGCGCCCGACGTCAGGTCCGTGGAGGTGTAGTCGGGAACATTGGTGCTGGGGAACTTGATCTTGGTCTTCTGGGTCGTTGTCGTGTAAGCCGAGGGAGCGTAGGCAGAGAAGGCATAGGCGAGGTACTGGCGATCATTCTGGCTGATGGCCGCAGGACGGGGCTTCAGGATATTGAGGGCGGAGTAGGAGATGCCCAGGGTGATCTGCGACGAAGGGGCGAGAGGCTTGGGGAGGTGAACAACGAAGTACTGGAAGTCCCTGCGTAAAGAAAGAGAGGAGATCAGCAAACTGTCCGGGATACACCCACCATGCATAGATCAAGCAACCGTGGCTTCGTGCTACACCAACCAGCCATTGGCCGCCATTGTGGTCGACTTACCTGCTTGAGTCGAACTCGGTAGCTTCCACTTCGAAGCGTCCCTGTTCAGGAGCCGATTTATCACGGACTTCTAGGGCACCGACCTTGTCGTAAAGGTCGGATGGGAAGGACAAGTAGTAGTCGGATTGCGGCTTCTTGTCCACATTCTCAACGACAACATTGACGGTCTCACGTAGGTATCCCTTCTCCAAATTGGTGTTGCGGACAAGATTGGCGTTCTTAAACACTTGGGGAGGCTTGAAATCGCGAGGGAGAGCTACAGGGGAGCTCGAGGGAGCCGAGTCGGCATAGACCAAGCTGTTGCTGGACAGGAACAAGCCGCACAGCGCAGCAAGTGCGGTAAACGGCCTCATAGTGGGCAGATGGGCGGTCTCTCAACGACCGCGCCTAGGACCTATACACTCACCAGGAGATAGTCCCAAGGAGAAAGAAATGAGCGAGAGGATGGACGGAAGGTGGAAGAATTGGCGATAGTCGAGGGGGAGAAAGACGCGCGGAGATGCTGAGGTGTCCCGATGCGGGATTACGAATTACGTACGGCGACCGCCGCGGCCAAAACTTCCTGCTTTTATCGCCGATAACCGCGATTCTTCATTGCACCCCCATTCCCCCCGCCTAGCTACAGTAGCTCTCTTTTTTTCCTTATTTCCGTATCATTTCGGTCCGAATCGTCGTGGCCTCCATGCTCGCTTCTCGAGCTGCTGCTCGTTCATGCTGCCGGTCAGCTAGAGCCCCGGCGCGAGCCGCGGTAGCAGCCCGGCGCTATCACGGTCTCGCTCAGAGCAAGCTCTTCAAGGTGTCCGAGGAAGTCCGAGATGCAGTTGCTACTGGGAAGCCTGTGGTGGCTCTTGAGTCGACCATCTATACTCATGGTATGATTTCTACCTGGTTGGGTAATTGGTTGAGTATAGCTGACAGTTGCAGGCTTCCCGTACCCTGAGAGCGTTGCTCTGGCAAAGTTACTAGAGTCGGTTGTCCGGTCCAATGGCGCTGTGCCTGCTACAATTGGAATCCTCGGTGGCGAAGCACGCGTCGGACTAAGTGCCGACGAGCTCGTTGAGCTAGCATCGACTGCGGAGAAGAAGAATGCGCTGAAAGTATCCCGGCGAGACCTTGGTTACATCTGTGGCTTGGTAGGTGGCACGCCTCCGTCCTTTGATACAAGTCTGACAATAGTAGGGTCTGGCTGGGAAACGTCTTCATGGTGTTACAACGGTATCTGGCACGATGGTGCTTGCGCACTTGGCCGGGATTAAGATATTTGGCACTGGTGGACTCGGTGGTGTGCATCGCGGCGGCGAAAACTCCATGGACATTTCTGGTACGTGAAGATAGGGGTAGGACGAGACTCTGGCTAACTGTAGCAGCCGATCTTACTGAACTGGGACGCACACCGGTGGCGGTTGTCAGCTCTGGGTGCAAGAGCTTTCTGGACATCCCGCGGACGCTTGAACACCTCGAGACGGAGGGCGTCTGTGTAGGAACTTTTGCAGATGGTCGCCAAGGCTCTGTGGACTTTCCTGCATTCTACACCCGAGACAGCGGGCTGAAGAGTCCAAAGGTCATTCAGAACGAGGCCGAGGCCGCGGCTATTGTCTGTAAGTCTTGCTGCATTGCTCAATGACGTATATTGGATACTGATGAATGCAGATGCCCAGTCGCAAATCCCCGTCTCGTCAGGCATCCTTCTCGCCAACCCTGTACCACTTGAGCACTCTATTGCAAAGAGTGATATGGACCATATCATCGACGAAGCTCTTCGCCTCGCAGACGTCGAGGGTCACCATGGAAGTGACAACACGCCATTTGTGTTGGCAAAGATTAAGGAACTCAGCGGCGGGAAGAGCGTGATCGCCAATCGAGCTCTGGTGGAGGCGAACGTGAAGCGCGCAGCGAAGGTGGCCGTGGAACTCTCAAAACTGGAGCAGTCTGGAGGGTCGCTCAATGAACGGTGAGCTGCCACTCGTGCGTTCAGACTCGGGATATCCTAATTGAGATGGTGTGCGCAGACACATGCCAGCTATCTCCGGGACCAGTAGGGCTGACCAAGCGACTGAAACAGAGCTGGAGCATGCGACTAAGACTCCACTGGAGACTGTTACGAAGGCGGATGTCCTTGTGGCCGGCTCCTTGGCTATCGATCTTTCCTGCGACTTTGCCCCGGCCGAAGCAAACAGCACGACACCCGCTTTGCAGACATCGAATCGCGCTGTCATCGGACAGAGCCTAGGGGGAGTCGGACACAATGTGGCCATTGCCGCAAGATATCTGGACAGCTCGGTGCTGTTCTGCAGCGTTGTGGGTGACGATCTAAGCGGCCAAGCTGCACTGTCTAGTCTCCGACAGGAGGGTCTCTCCACAACCGGTATCAAGGTGCTCCCTCCGTCGTCCGGAGCACGCACGGCCCAATACATCGCCGTCAACGACGCGAAGAAAGACCTAGTAGTAGCCATGGCCGACATGGCAATCATGGAACTACCAGAGCAGGCACTGGACTTTGACAACTTTTGGGAACCGATGATGTCCCGCGCACAGCCTCAATGGGCAGTAGTTGACGCCAACTGGAACGGCGAAGTCCTGAGCAAATGGGTAGCACTAGCCAAGAAACACAAGGCACGGGTAGCCTTTGAGCCCGTGTCAACGGCGAAAAGCCGTCGTCTATTCGGATCTGCCATCAAGCCGTCTGACTGCGTTCCCAACAACACCGTCAGCCTGGCCGCGCCGAACCAATTCGAGCTAGCAGCCATGTACCAGGCCGCGCGGGAGAGCGGGCACCTGGACTCAGAGGAGTGGTGGCGCATCATCGACGCCATGGGCATGACGGGAGCAGGGTCGCGCGAGCGACTAGTGGCCATGACTTCGGCAACGCTGGTCGATCAGGGGATTCCACAGCAGAGCATTCAGCTGCTTCCGTTCATTCCATGCATGCTCACGAAGCTAGGACGGGAAGGCGTACTCCTGACGCAGCTGCTGCGGCCAGGTGATACACGACTGACGAGTCCAGACTCGGCGCCGTATATCCTCTCGCGGGCATTGACGTCGGACGGGCTGATCGGGGGCGTGTACCTGCGGCTGTTCCCAGCAGCAGCAAAACTAGAAGAGCAAGACATTGTGAGCGTCAACGGAGCGGGCGATACGCTGCTAGGAGCAGTAGTCACAGGACTGGCGCGGGGAGGAGCGGTGGAGGAGGTGATTCCACGGGCACAAGAAGCGAGCGTGTTGACATTGCAGCAGGAGGGGGGAGTAAGTAAAGAGATAGCCAGACTGGCTAGAAGTATATAGTGCTGCATACACATACTATATACATGATCCATGATTGAACAAGCATACTAATACTAATATACTGACACATACTGTAGACCAAAGAAAGAAATATATATCTATCCTAAGAAACAACCATATCCACCCCCTCGGCCCCAACAACCGGCAAATGATCTCTATTCAAAACCCCCACCTGCACCAACACACTGGCCTGATCCCAATAAGCATGCACGCGGGCGACCTTTCCCGCCGTGAAACTGGCCACCAGCACCAACGCCACTTTAACCTCCTTCCCCGTTGGGGGCAAATTCGGCAGTAACCAGGGAATGGCACGATCATGCGTGAAGGTTAGGAGGAGTTCATCGACGATGCGATCAGGCCCTGTAGTACGGGAGAGGAGACGGATGGCTTGGTTAGAGGGAGAGGGAGAGAGGAAGTGGCTGTTGGTGTAGAATTTTGTTATGGTGGATGGTGTTGTTCCTGTCCAGTATTTATTAATTACCTCACTCATATGGTGTATGATATAGGGAGACAATGAGGGTGGGGGGAGGGGGAATATATACATACCACCAGCACAAGTAGGCACACACACCACGACCGGCGACTCTTCAATCGTGCATGTCTCTGTCTCCGTCCCTGCACCCCGGGTATATATAGGGGATGAAGAACTCCCACTACTACTATGCACACTCTCCAACTGCACACCCATTCCACTCCCCACCATTAACCCTACTAGTTCTGCGGCGCGGTGGCTGCGCTCGTCTTCTTCATCTCTCTCACTACTACCACCACCACTGCCGCCCCCTTCTCCAGAAGCAGATAAGCATCGCCAATACTCCTCCCACACGCTCTCCACATCCGGGACTCGCCATTTAGTCGCGGGCCATCCGAAGCCGCGCTTTAGGGTCTCGAGGGCGCGGGACCATGCTAGTCGTGCGGAGAGCTTGTCATAGTTCGATGAAGAAGGCTCGGCAAACCGGGGAGAGGACTCGGGGTAGGTGAAGACGTGGCAGCGATGGCGTTTCCGGGGGTGGTTGTTGGTGTTGTTGAGGAGGTTATCTGCTATTGAAGAGGTGGTTGTGGAAGGACCGGCGAGGTGGATCTGGATACAGAGGAGAGGGATGGAGGGGGGGTAGGTTGTAGGTGTCGTTGTTGAGGATGTACTTCCTGTTCCACGAGCAGTGTCTGGGGATGTACTGATGAGGTTATTGTTGGTGTTGGTGGTGGTGGTGATGGGTCCATCAGGGTAATAAGCCACCAGGGCACAAAGTCTTGGGAATGGATTTGTGGCTGTTAATGGTTGGTGATGGGATTCGAGGAGGAGGTGAGCGGGTTTGTTGAATGCTTTTCATATACCATACATCAGTTACTATTCAATATATATACCTCGGAACATGCAGAGTAAGATGGATAATGGGAAGGGTGGTGTACCAACGACAGCATATCTTTCCCCGGGCTCGAGATCATCTTCCCTCTCATGCAACAGATTCTCCAATTCCTTGCGATCTTTATCTACATCCCCACAGCCATCTGCATTCTGACATCCCCGGAAGGGGATATACTCGACGTCGAATCCCTCAGCGCGGTAGCGCGATAGGATCCCCGCGTCGAAGTCGGGAGTATCGGAGGTCAGGTACAGTCTGCGCGGGGGAGAGGCTTCTGCTTCGCGACGACGACTGTGCCTGTCATTGGCTGATGGGGGAGATTGTAGTGGTGTACCGTGACTGTTGGAAGGGGTTGTTCCGGCGGAGCTGCTTCGACGACGACGGAGGTGTTGGCGGAGACGGTCCATTCTAATAATTTCTAGAGTATTCAAGGTATCTATGTGGTAGAGATGTACTAAGTAGAAGCCACAGGGTATCCATGGTGCGGACTCCGAGCATCCCGATTTATATACTGTATGCTGCTTATGCTTTTGGTGGACATGCTGAGTGACGTCGACGATTCCAGCGTGTAGTTGTTCTCATCTCACAAGGGCGAGCGACGTGGATCCATTCAGCCAGGGACAGGTTGAGTAATAACTTTGTGTGTGTACACCGTAGGTTAGTAGTAGTAGTTGGGTTGTAAATCTACCCGATCCATTGCATACATATATGATACAATGTATGCGTGACAATTCTATCGCATTATCGTATCTATCGTGAGTCAGTGACGTCGATCTATATACAAAATCTCATCCCTCGCATAGCGCCACCATCAATGGCGTCAACAACTATACCACAATCCTGCACAGCAGCAGCAGCAGCATCTACTTAGAAACTGGTCAACCAGCGAATCGCCTCCCTTACATCTCCCCCGCAAGCCGGATCCTCCACCGCCCTAGCATCGAGATAACACCGATACGCCGGGCGCTGCAAACTCCGCCTGGCGACCTCACAATCCACGCGAATATCCTCAATCAGCGCCTCCGACGAAATATAATCATACTCCGGACGGATATACCCCAGAATCAGCAAGTTGAGCGGTGTGCCATAAAAATCGGGTAGTTTGTGGAAAGTGACCTGTCCGTCGGTGGAGGTGGTGGCGGTCGGCGAGGGGGCGGAGAGGGGCGGCATGATGTGAATTTCCTGCATTGCAGATAATTTATTATTATTAATATATTGCATGTAATGATTAATATGAAAAAGGGAGAGGAGGGATAGAAGGTACAATTGACTTGGATTCGTTCTTGTAGAAAGGATTGTATCCGATGCTCAGCACGGCGGGGAGGACGGTCTCTCCCGTTGAGAATCGCGCTGGATCTAGTGCTACGACGCCGTAGTAGACGCCCACGGATAGCTCGGGATGCTGGGAGAGCTCATCGGCGGGGATGTTTGCTGTTGGGATGCCCAGCTGTGATTCTTTTCGTCAGCTGGAGCTGCTTTGCTTTCCGGGTTGGAGGGTGAGAGAGGTACCTCTTTGCTGCCCCGCCCGAAGCCTTTGATGACAGGACCGCTCATGCGGATGGGATACGGGGACTCGGGGCCCTCGTCGGGGCCGGTGACGGGGTCGCGAGGCCGGTCGGGGCGCATTTTAGCAGCTGAGATGTGTAGATGATGTTGAAGCAGTGGTAGGTTGAAAGAAGAGAGAGAGCGAGAGAATAAGATGGAAGAGAGATCGGCGATAAGACAGGTGGGGCTATGGACTATCAAAACGACGCGATTGTGGAGTTCGGCCTCATGTCACCCACCAACTGGCCAATTGTCTACTCCGCTTTACACTTTACAGCTTACAGAGTTCACTCTTATTCGCAGATAGATAAATGGTATATTTCAGGATTATCTACGTTCATCCCGTTTTGCCGTAACTCCGTTCCTCTAATGGATGATATAACTAGTACTATCAGTTTGGTCGTAACTGCTTTACTCCATCTCAATCGTCGCCGGAGGCTTGCTGGAGATGTCATACAGAACACGGGACACTACACGAGTTAGCAGATATTCCTAGAGCCAGAAGAAGGTGTAACCTACCGCCGTGAACCTCGTTGATGATCCGGGTCGAGCACTGGCTCAGGAACTCGTTGTCGAAGGGGAATGCGCGCGCAGTCATGACTGCTATCTGTTAGTCCATCATCACCAAAAACATAATCCGCTCAACTTACAGTCGGTCGTCTCAACAGCACGCAGGATGATGATCTCGGCGTACACGCGCTTATCACCCATGACACCCACCGCCTTGCTGGGGTCCAGGGCAGCGTAGGCCTGCGCAATCTGGTCGTACAGACCAGCCTCGCGGATCATCGAGATGAAGATGTGGTCGGCCCGGCGGGCAATCTCCACGCGCTCGGGGGTAACCTCGCCGAGAACACGGATGGCAATACCGGGGCCAGGGAAGGGGTGGCGCATGACCAGCTCGTGAGCAATGCCCAGCTGGCGACCCAGAGCGCGAACCTCATCCTTGAACAGCTCACGGAGCGGCTCGATGAGCCTCATACCCTGGCCGTCAATCATGCGCTCTGTGATTAATTAGCGAATTGCCAAAAATCTTCCACATCTGAAAAATACTCACGGGGCAGACCACCAACGTTGTGGTGGGTCTTGATGGTCGCCGAGGGACCCTTGAAGGAGATACTCTCGATGACATCGGGGTAAAGAGTACCCTGGAGGAACCACTTGACCTTGGCACCCTGGTGCTCGGCCTCGGCCTCGATCTTCTGGGCCTCCTCCTCGAAGACGTCAATGAAGGTGTTGCCAATGAACTTGCGCTTCTTCTCGGGTTCAGTGACGCCCTTGAGACCGTCCAAGAAGCGCTTGGAGGCGTCAACGACAGTCAGGTTGATACCGAGGTGCTTGTTCAGGGTCTCCTCGACAATGTCGCACTCGTTCAGACGCATGCAGCCGTTGTTGACGAGCACGGCGTGGAAGCGGTCGCCGATGGCCTCCTTCATGAGCTTGGCAGCACTACTCTAATTAGAACGATGGTCTAGCCATTCAAGCGAATGCAGTGATTGACTTACACAGTGGAGTCGACACCACCGCTGACAGCACCCAGAACGTGGTCAGTCTCACCGACCAGCTTGCGAATGCGGGCAATCTCCTGGTCGACGAAGCGTGACATGGTCCAGTTCTGTTGAGCACCGCAGATATCGACGGCAAAGTTCTTCAAGATAGTAGCACCCAGAGGGGTGTGGGTGACCTCGGGGTGGAACTGCACACCGTAGAGGGGCTTGGTCTGGTGGGCAATACCGGCATAAGGAGAGTTGGAGGTGGTGGCAATGGTGTGGAAGCCGGTGGGGAGCTTGACGAGCTTGTCACCGTGGCTCATCCAGACCTTGATCTGGCCCTCGAGGCCGGCGAACAGCTTGTCGACGTGGCCCTGGTCGTCGAGGCGCTTGGCGTGGAGGTCGGCGTGGCCATACTCACGCTCGGTACCGGCGTCGACGTTCTCCTTGTCCAGACGGTAGGCGATTTCCTGCAGACCGTAGCAGATACCGAGAATGGGGACACCGAGGTCGAAGACGGCGGGGTCAGCGTGGGGGGCTACAGTTCAGATAGATGAGTATCATGTATGACTCTTGAAAGTGGTTCCGCGGGGAGGGTTCCGCTTACCGCCGTCCTCGTAGACACTGTAGGGACCACCGGACAGGATGATACCCTTGGGCTTGAAGGGCAGATCGGCGATCTTCTGAGTGCATGGCAGCATCTCACTGTAGACATTGATCTCGCGCAGTCTCCTGGTCAGGAGATGCGTCTAGGGGGGAGGATTAGTATGTGAGTCATGGGGATGGCGGGGTAATTGATGCACTGGGTGCGGCCGAGAGTGTGTGGCATCAAGGGAGAGCGTACGTATTGAGAACCAAAGTCAAGGATGAGGATGGTGTCAAAGGTGGCATGGGGAACCTCCTGGTCGGCCATTGTGACGGTGGGCAGTCTATCAGACCAATTGATGAACTTTCGACTTGCAGCTGAACCCGACAAGAAGAAGATCGTCCCATCTTTCTTTGCCGCTCGAGAATTTTTTTTTTCCCTCCCGGGCGGTGAGCACCGAATGCGGAGGTGATAATACCATCCAATGGGAAGACATCAAGGGAAGGCGGTCAAATTGATAACGAGCTACTGATGTTATCAGTCACGTGCTAATTACATAATACACATAATATAACTTAGTTAACATATAGCTGTATATGCATGCCAGCCCTAAACACAGGACTGACAACCAAAACTGGCAACATCCTCGACGAGTCCAGCATATGAAACCACTCGAGAGTATGTGATTAATGAAAACGTAGATCACTCGTATCCCCCACCAACATGCTCAGAGTTCCCATCCTCGCTAGAATTACTCCCAAGGAACTCTGAAAAACTAAGAGCAACCGAAAGAACCCCACTAAGCCCGATATACACTAAAGCTGCGGCTCCTGCATCCCAAATACGAGCAGGACAAGAGATTTCCACCCTGAGTTTGGTTTAGCGGCGGACTCTGCCGCCTATTTTAGGTAGAAGGGTCTTGTGCTTCGGGGGACTTTTCTGCGCCGAGTCTAAACGGGGAGGGCACTACGACACTCTATTTGCTGAGAAGGGTGATTAGAGGACGAGGCTACGCTAAGAACCTTGAGAAATGAGGGTCTCGTAAACACGGAATGGAAGGGTTCTGGTCGTCAGGGGTCAAAGTGTAGAATGATTGTGAGACAGAAGTAGTACAAATTGGGCTGTTCCTGTCTGATTCTTTCTTGGTGGTATCACACATCTCTCTGCATCCTATCTATCTTTTCTTTCCTCCTATACAGTCTTTACTCCTACTCCTAATAACTTCTTCTCTTCTTTCTCTTACTGTCTCTACATCTCTACCATATACATATACACAAATAATTCAAAAGAAAAGAAACAGAAAGCAACCATCAAAATGCATTTCACCACCAGCACCCTCCTCACCCTCCTCCCACTCCTCTCCCTCACTACCGCCTCCGATGTATCAACCGTCTCCCTCTTCACCTACCACGCAACGACCACCGCCGCGGCCGGTATTCCTCAATTCACCAGCATCCCTCTCGGCGCGTCCATCATCTCCGCCAACCCGACAGCCACTACCATGGCCGTCTCATGCCTCAACGACGATAACTGCATCCTGCCCAGCCCCATCACCGTCACCGCAGGACCCTCCACATACACCCTCTCGGCCGTGTACAGCACCAGCGTGGAGGGCGTGCAGGAGGTGCTCACCATGGTCGAGGACTGCAAGATCACGGGCGTGACGCAGGGCGCGTCCTGCAGTGTGAGCTATGGGATCGAGGCGACGTATAAGGGGGTTAGTACGAGTACGGAGGTCAATACGGAGATTAGTGTCGCCAGTGCGGAGATCGGGTATGAGACTCTTAGTGTTACGGCGGGTGCTGATAAGTTGAGTGGTGCTACTGGAACTTCTACTGCGACTGCTAGTGGAAGTGGAAGTACGGAGACGGGCATGGCTGGACGGAATGTTGTCGGGGCTGGGGCCTTGGCTGTTGGTGTGGCTGTCGCTGGATTGGGGATGTTGTAGATTATATGATGCGTAATTATGATTGATTGATTGATTGATTGGTTGCAAGGGGAGATGTGAGGGGGGATCTTGTTGGAGGATATAATGTTTATCTGGTTATTACGTTCATCTATGCTTATATGGTTGCTCATCACGCTCAGTTGCAACTACATGGCTAGCTACCATAGCCACTTCCAATATGTACAACGCCTCTATGTCAGCCTGGGAATCATACACAGTAGCAATATGTACCAATACAAGACCAGATGCATCTGGTCAGTGCCAAAAACTAACAGTAAAAATAATCAGAAATCATCCTTTTTGATATCCGGCCCGGGTATGAACATGAAACAATTATGATCATAAATCAAATGCACGGTAAGAACTATACCCTCATTAGCATCATCATCCTCATCCTTATCATCACAGCACGGGAACGCTGGTATTACTCACATTCATCACAATCAACATCGGTATGTCGAATACATCTCGCTTCACTGTCCAGCAGTACGCACATTCGACCTTGCCGTCCTTGAACCCTAGCTGGTTCATCCCTGCCTCGCTGGCAATCCCTCCCTTGCGCAGGTGGTTGTTCCAGCGCTGGCTATCCTCCGCTGCTGCGCCCTCCATGTCCTCCTTCGTCTTGTACTTCAACAGCTTGCACGTTGTCATCACGCTACCGCGCGAGTCGCCAAACGCCAGCCGTGCAAAATCCTCGTAGAACTGCACCACGCTGTCATCGTCCAACAACTCTGCCAGGAACACTGGCTGCGGGCGCCCGGGCGTGTTGTCCACTGTCGACCGGGGGGTGAAGCTGCGTGATGACGCCCCGGAGTTCGGCATTGACGAGCCACCCGTGTTGACATTGAGATTCGGCTCTTTGCCGAGCAGTACATCCTTCTTCCATCCCGTCAAGATACTGAACTCCTTGCCCACCGCAGCAATCTCACCCGTCCGACGGCACACGATGGTCGGCGTGCCGCACGCGTTGATAAAGTCCTCGTATTCCCACAACGTCCGCTGGAAGCACTTCTCCATGAAGATCAGGTCGTCCCGATTGAGCGTCTTAGTCGTCGCGATGAACGACGGCCGGATCGACGCCAGCGCCTTGGCGATCTGAAGCGTCTTCTGCGGCGGGAACCGTCGTTGGATGAATGCCGTGAGGCCATGGAAGCGGCTGGTGTATGCGTACGGCTCCTTGACGCTGTCGTAGATGGCCGACGGGTTACGTTGTCGTCGCCGCACGCCGACCTGCAGGTTCTGATGCTTCAAGCTCGGTGTTGTAATCATCGGTCGTTGTCCGTGCGGGGCTAACCCGTTCGACTTGCTTGCCACCGCACTGTGAAACGGGGTCTCTTCGAGTCCAGTCGTCATCTGCGGACTAGTCGTCGCACCAGGGCTATTGAAACTGGCCGGTCCGCTTTCGATGGCAAATGCATGCGGCGCATCCGCTTTGCTCAGATGACCAGGAATCGCGCTGCCTTGCCCGGACTGCGGATAAACCCCCGGCAGATGCGGTTGTCCCGGGGCCTGCCCGCTGGGCCATTCGTTGAGAAGCGGGTCCCCGAACATAAATGGCTGCTGGTTGCCCGGGCTTTCCCCAAAGCCTGGTGCCCCAGTGATGGGAGTTGAAGCATATTGTGCCGAGCCACTGCGTCCCATAGACCCGCGCTGCGTGGCCGAATCACTCGGTGAATCGCCCGCGCCCGTCGCCATATGTCCCAGCATGCCAAACTCTAACGCACCGTATCGGTTCTCAAAGTTCATGCTGGAAAGGTCAAAATTGAAGAGAGCGGGGTCGCTGGGGTCAAAGAAGGGACCGGCGAACGGGTTTTGACCCTGGCCTGGGGGTCCGGAGACGCTCGTGGACGGTGGTTGCGGGTTGACGGAGGAGAGGCTGTTGGTTCGAGCCGTAGGCGTGGCCTTGAGGTTGAATGTCGGCGACACAGGCGATTGCGAAGGAAAAGAGCCCTGATTGATGGAATTCTCTTGGTAGACATAGGTAGTCGACTGGGGAGTAGGATAGAAGTTTGCGCCAGCGCTCTGCTGACCGGTCGCGTTCACGGCATTGGCGCCATTCCGAGAGAGGGGCAAGCTGTTGCGCATGGGGTTGTTGTAAAACGTCCCGCCAATCCCCGGCATCAACGCTCCATCCGGCGCGTCGTGGAGGTACTTGGCCTTCTTCCGGACCCCGTCGTGACACGCATCCTGGAGCCCGCGCTTAATGCACCGCTGACACGGTCGCTCATCACCTATGCGAAACCTCGATTAGTTTGCAAGTTCAGTCAGACGCGCAGAAGACATGCGCCGCTAGAGTGCGCATGTATGGGCGCTAAACGCATGTGTAATTGGAGAGTAAAAGGTTGAAGGCAAGCAACGCTGGAAGTAAGGTCAGTCGTACCGCAAGTCAAGTGTGCGCGCTGGCAAGCAAAACACGCCCGTCTCGCCTTCTTCCTCCGGGGTCTCGATGGGTCTTTCGGGTTAGGCTTCTGGCCGTTCGCGGAGGCACCATTTGCAGTCCCGTCGCCGTTGGCCTCGGTCTTCGGCTTGTCGGCCTGTGCTCCGGCGGCACTAATCTCCTGACTGGTTTCCGTGCGCTCAGCCGACGGAGCTGGGGAATCTTGCTCCTTCGGTTCCGCGTTCATATCGGCAAACAATTGTAACCGAGGTGTATGTGTGTGCGATACGGCCGTTATCAATCCGTCTAACCGGGTAGTACTCCGCGTCGTGAATCGAGGCGATCAGCGACAGGGTGAGTGAAGCAGCTGCAAGGCGGGCGAGCGCGTGGGGTTGCCACCGTAAATTTTGAGCAAGACTGACTGCCTTTTGTCGCGTTGCGAACCAGCGCACAACAGAAGGAGATCTTTGTCGAGAGTCCACTGATCAACCTCACCAGGCCTTACTCTGGGAGTCGCAAAGAAATCGGGCGTTGGCCGGTCGGGCGCATAGAATCCACACGACGACGGCTAGGAATCGGCTGGCGTAGTGGTGGTGGTAGATAGATAGTAGGAGGGTCGGCGACCACGAAGGACCTTGCGTGTGCTCAGTCAGCAGCAGTCAGAAAGTGAGACTGACTGTTGCAATGCGCCGAAGTGTTTTCCTATGGGGTGGAGTGAAAAGTGTTCAGGAGAACAATGGTAAAGTAAGATTCCCTTTTACTTTTTTTTAGTCTCTTCCTTGTATCCTTTCTTTTTCTTCCCTTTTTTCTTTTTTCTTTTTCTTTTTCCCGAAATTCTATGTCACGCGGCAGGTAGTGCAATGAGTAGCGTCGGTGGAGCGAACGACTTGCCGGGGCTGCGGGGAAAACCTGTTGTATCCAAAGGGTCGAGATGGAGCGGATCCGATGAGCAGCGGCGCAATGCGAGTGACGCTGTCAAGAGGAGGGGAGATGATATATACGAAAGAGGGGAGAGACTAACAGGAGGGGTATGAGAAGAGGAGGGGAGAGGAGGGAAAATCGAATGTAAGTGGTTAGGAAAACGCGGGGAAGGATTGGAGGAGAGGAAAGACGAGAGAAGGAGGAGAGAAGAGTCACTTCAGTATCGTAGTCAGAAAGTGAGAGAGTGCGACCGACGGACTAAAGGACAAGGCAGAAAAAAATTCATGACGAGCGAACGAACTCGCAGCCAATTCAAGAGTTTCAACACGAGCTGCTTCTTCTTGCATGTCTTGTCAGGTATCGTCCCGGTTGAGCCCAGTACGTTACCATACCGAGTGAGTGAGTGAGTCGCGTGTCTGTCTGTTCGCAATGGCTGGGAGCTGACTCCCCGCGCATCAAGCTGCTAGTCAAACAGATACCTGTCTATCTCTATAGCCATGTTCCATCTAATGGTTCTATATAACAGAATCAACAACAGCGAGCTGCTCTGATGTTCTTACTTCCGAGGCTAGAACCAAATTTGGAGTCCTCAAATCCAAGGCACTTCGGTACTGGAAATAACCACGGATACCATACATGAGCTGAGCTTACATGTGCTTCCACGGCCTCTCCGCATGTGACGGCAGAGAAACATTGCATCGGTTTCACTTGACCCGAGTATATCTCAGGTCAAGAAGTCTATCTATCTACCTCCTCAGAGACGATTCGCTGGTCATAATTTGTAGTCTTACCGTAAATAAGTCATTATTCAAACAAAACGAATACTAGCAGCAACTCAAATAAATGGCAAATCCCCCCAGACCCGACAGACTTGCCCTCTGCCTCTAAGTAGTCTATACCCGTTGGGTACATACATACATACCAAAGCATCGGCGAGGACGATGGCGACCATTATGCACATCGGCATACCTACTGACTGGTGTTCGGCCCGTGCCGATAATAAAAAAGCAATTGTCTATAGTAATCTCGGGGACATGCAGTCAGTCTGATTGATGTAGATTCCAGAATTCGGAGAAGAAGAGCCTAGATACTTGACAGGAATCCACTGGCCACGCGAGATTCACGACCTACTAGACTACTTAGAGACACCGAGCGACCACCTTAATCATGTATGTACTATGGTAGTTAGACAGAGCACGAACCATGACAGCATGTCTAGCCCAAAGTATCGCTCGCAAATAGCCAATGCAGGTCTAATTTAGTATTACCCAAACCCACACCATGACTTTGCATACTATGTAGTCAACTACATCCCCTCACACCCCATTGCAAGTAACAAGCAGTAAAGAAAATCAAAACCCACATGGTCATTACAATACGGTCACTATGCCCATTTACTACTACTAATCTAGACTTGCTTCAAACACAAACAAATCCCTCAACTATCACCCGACTCACCAATCACAGCTTTTGTCTTCCAGCCTCTTCCAAATCGAAACAATCTAAAAGTCATAAAATCAAATCCTCCAATGGATTTTCATTGCGTGCTTTGAAGTGAGCCATTTCTTGCCTTTTCTGTTCCGGGCGGGCCCGATTAGTCGCCCGAGAATTCCCGAGGGGTTTGTATGAAGAACTCTTCGTGTACTTCGTATTGTCTGTGCGATGTGTGTGTGGTGTGCCGTGGCTGTGATCGAGGTTGCCGAGGTTAGTTGACCAACTGTATTATTTGTTTTAAATGGGGTTGTGGAACAGGTTATATTATCACACAATCAACACAAGCTGGGTTGGGTGTCATGGGTAGGGGAGGATAGCTTTGCAGGAATTACAATTGGTGGTCGTGAGCTGCAGCATATCTAACGTAGCCGGGACGCTGTTTTGCATGCGTATAACCATGCCCGTGGAACTGTCGGGATTTATGCTTCTAATCAACTAATTACTCTATAACATTATGGTCTACCTTGAAGGAACCCTCAGGCGTTGTCCGCTGTCACCATGCCTATCGGTCCACTAGTAAGCCCGCGTACGCATATCCACCCAACCGAAAGTTGCTGTCTATCACTGACCGACTTTTGAGAACGTGCCTAGAAAGAGCTCCAGGCGTGTGAAAATGAGAGGTTTGCGCTGCATCACATCGTATGGAACCCGCAGCTATGAGCTCCTGCCCGTCCCTTAGGTGGGTATCTACCGTGCAGCAAATCGGCTCTTCTGCCGAATCCGATTCCCGTAGCGGAAAAAGATATACCTGTCCGTCAAATCATGTCAGTGAGAATGGTCACCTATACACCACAAACTATCATACATAGAATTTGGAGGTGAGGGGCGCAAAGAGTGCTGTTGTGACTACTGTAGAGCAGAAGTGCAAGAACAACGCAGTCCAACAGCTCAAAGGCGTTGGTATTGACAAGGACACAATTTGTGCACTTACGGAAACGGCGCCATGACAAGCGTCAGAAAAGCAAGCAGCGAGGTTGCCCAGTGATAACCCAGGTTGTTGTACACTAGAGCCAGCTGTTAGCATGTGGCGGTCAGGTTATGCTGTGTCATTGGACGGAAGTATTTATAATAATTATATATAGCTCGCGGGTGAATCGTAGTAAAAGTGAGTAATGTTCAGTGAACGAGTCCACTTCAGTGGCAGTAACACGACGAAAGCCATATATCACAGGTTGTTAACTTACTCTGTATTCCGAACAGTGGAAACACTCCACCAAATATGGAGCGAGCAAAGCTGTTCGCCGCTAAAGCGCTTGCTGCATAGGTCGGATATGCATCAACCAAGAATGTGAAGATCCCCGAGTATACAAGAATCGTCCTAAAGGATGAGGAACCCTTGTAAGTAACAGGAGCGCTACAATGGCCACTGATTCAAGGCGTGGAAATACATACCCAGCTCCGAATAACGCACTTCCAATGAGCGGGGCAATCCAGTGTACATGAGGGTAAATGGTCCAAGCAAAGATGAATAGCCCGATGGTGACAAGTGGACCTCCAGCGATAGCTGTATACTGACCGTCAGAGCAAGCGAGTCGGGCTGCAGACAGAATGACATATGACATACCTGGCGGAAGCCGCCACTCCGGTTGGAAATCATCAGACCTTCCCACAGCTTCTTGATGTTTCAGTTCCAGGCGGGTATAGTTGCGACGCCAGAACGGATCGGAGAATATAGCAAAGAGCATTCCGACGAACAGGCCCAGGAAGCAAAGACCACGCTGCCACAGCTCAAACCCATATACAGTTTCGAAGACCAACTGAAACGCACCGAAGAAAAGATAGAGTATACCCAACAGGATGGCGGAGAAGATGCAGAGGTTGAGGCACATCGGTTCTAGCGTCAAAAGCAGCAACGGCCTGTAGATTGACCGCAAGACGGTCTGCGCAACTGAGCGATTCAGCATCTCTATAGGTGCTATCCATCTATCATCCCCGGTTTCTTTGCGGAGCTGCTGTGCCTTTCGTCTCAAAAGCCTAAGAAATAAGTCAGAGGTCTAGATTCCAATGTGTTTTTCGGCCCTTACACTGGATGATAAGTCTCTGGTACAAAGAAGCAGATGAGAACTAATAAGACTCCCGTCCAGATGAGAAGCACATAAAAAGTCCACCTCCTGTTGAGAATAGGTGATCAGCCTTATTCAAGCCTGCAATATCAGGAAGCATACCATGTGGTGAATTGGTTGATGAATCCGCCAACCCTGCACAGCTCTGTCAGCGGATACAGCAGTGTTTTGGTGTTGTCGGAGACCTACAATGGGCCCACCTCAGGACCAATAAATGGAGAACTCGTGTAAAGCATCATTGGTGCACTTAGCTCATGACGGGCAAACAGGTCACCCACTGTGCCACCAGCGACACTAAGAAATGCGCTCCCAGCAATGCCATTGAGAAAGCGGCATACAATCATGGTCTGGATGTTTTTGGCCACGGCGCATGGTATCAGCCATATCAAGAAAAAGGTAAAGGAGCAAAGATAGATTCGTCTTCGGCCATAGAACTGACAAGGGCCGGCGAGTTAGCAATCATCGTGGGCGTGGTGCTTGGATAATGTACAAACCTCCGACAGTGGCCCTAAGAACAGTGGCCCGACAGCTTTGCAGTCATGTTAGTATCTCCTATTCCAAAGTTCTGATAGTATGGTTCTAACACACCAAGACCCCAAATAAAGAATGATAGACCCAAGGTTGCTATCTCCCGAGAGCAGTTGAACTCTACCATTATCTGGTCATAGGTGACCGTGTACATTGAAGAAGTGCAAGTCCTACAGCCATCAATCAGCACCAGACCAATAGCCGTGGCTTCAGGATCCGACTTACACGCATAAGGAGCCTGCTGAGCATATGATCACGATAAGCCAGCGTCTCACCGTGTTAAAGTTGCGCGGGTTGCTAGGGTCATTGTCGTCCCAACCGACAACGAAGCTTTCTGAAGCATCAGAAGCTTCTTCATCTTTGCTGCTCAGGACCCTCTCCGCAACAGCTTCTTCATCGGCAGTTTGATGGCTGTACCCGTCGTTTAAGCTCCAATTGCGTTCGAGGGGATGTGATGAAGCAGACTGGTGTCTGCGCAGCCGTTCTTCATAAGAGGAGGTTCGGGCAGTGATGGGGGCGAACATGCCATCAACATTGTCTTCTACCTTCTCTTCGTCTAAGTCTTCTCTGTCAGTTGGCTCTGCGCTTGAAGAGCGTTCACCCGTGCACACGTCGGTGCTTTCTTGTGAGCTTGCCGCCTGCTCCGTTGCAGACATGGCTGTCATCAAATCGGCGAGGTTCCTATAACTGTCCCTGCTCTTGCTGTCAGACTACTGGAAAGTGAGCAATCACAGGCTGGATACTAAGGATCACCAAGACCGACCGGAGAATTTAACCAGAGGCCAACCGATCTGCAGCCGGAGAATTAAGCCGTTCACCGGTCAGAGAGTTTGGCACAAAGCTTGTTAAAGCTTGGCTGTGACAAGAAGAATATAAGGAGGAGAAAAGACAAGACAAGCCCAGGACACCACACTTGAGTGTACTTGCGCGTTGGAGGGAAGGCAGTGAAAAGAAAACCTCAAGCAACCTTTAAAACAGTACGATCTTCACGGCCAATCCAACGGCAGGGGCCAGTACCTATGATCCGGGACGGCGATCAGAATATGGATCGTTCCAGAGTCACGGCAGGAGGATGAGTGGGTTAAAAGACTGGCGATAGAGAGGTAAAGTCGGTCGAGCTAAGAAAATTAGTTCAGGTGTTGCTGATTGCTTGGGGGAGTTTGTCTCGCCCCTCGGCCTCGGGGGAGAGCCGAGTGGGCTCCAACTGAGGGAAGAACACCCCGAGCTGCGAGCTACTACTATCAACTCCCAGATGCTGGTCTGCTAGCGTCTTCGGTATCAGTGGGCATAAATTGAGGCGTCAGTGTTCTGGAAATGGAAGAAGAACCAGCGCCGGTGAGAGGGATTTAACTAGGACTGCTACTGAGGTACTATCTATCTATTATTATATCTCCAAGAGTATAACTGATCTATGTGGAAACCACCCCCAGGTCTGTCTTGTGTTTCTCCGCAACGGTTGCGGAAAGCTTTCCCCACGTGGGACCGCCGCCACCCGAAAGCTCTCCCTGAGTCCCTGCAACCGAATAGTAGTACTGTCCGAATACTGCAGAGGATTGCGTACTTGCTACATGATAAGTAAGTTGATATTGATAGTATCAATTTTTAATTCTTTTTGATTGAAGCACAATCTGAGGGATACATCCCATGCGCATCGCTGGGCTGGTTTATTCGAGTTCTTCTATTACACTAAGCTACCTATGATCCAATTCGCCCAACGATCAACAGGGCATCAATCCCAGCCCTCCAGCAGAATCATAATAGCCGCCTTTTCAGTCCCGGAAGAAAAAATTCAAGTCCAACAAATGAAGAAGAATAAAGAAAAGAAGAAGAAGAAGAGAGTTAAGAGAAAGTTAAAAGCCAGACCCCTAAAACTCCAAAGAATACACACAGGATAATCGCCCCGTACAAAAGCCAAGAGATTCCCGGGGCAACCCTGCCCACACGAAAACAAAATTTCATAGAGAACGCAACTGTACATAAACACGACGCCGGAGTCATCAGGTCCTTTAGGCGGTGGCCTCAACGGGCTGCTGCTCTGCCTCCCCGCTGGCCCCTTCCTCAGCCCACGAGCCCCAGAGGGCTCGCTTGCCACGGATCTTGAGAGGTCCACCCACGGTCTCCGGTCGTTGTTCAACTTGTACAGCGTCCTTGGTGGCCAGCACGAGGACCTCGAAGAACATCTTGGTGGCGTCCGCCTTGGATGCCTTCTTCTCTGGAAGCAAATCCTGGAATTTCACGCTCTTCTTCTGCTCGGCCGCAGATTCACCCAGGCGCTCCCGAAGGATGTGGACGGCGTGCTTCGTACCGATCGACACGGGACCACTGTCGGCCACGACCGTGTCGTCGGCATCTTCCAATGGTTGGTTCATTCCTTCGTCATCACTCAGACGCAGAGCCTGGTCCTCCTCGTCACCGGGGAACTCGATTTCGGAGCGTTGGAGCAGAGTCGAGTCAAGACCAACTCCCTCATCGACCGGCACAATGGCCTCTTCTTCGCCTAGCTCCAGGGCCGGCGCAGTGGCCGCATCCACATCCATGTCGGCGATTCCACTGTCGCGCTTCCGCTTCAGCTCGCCCGCCTTCCGGATGGTATCGAAGGAAAGCAAGTCACGCAATTCGGGAGCCCAGCCACGTCCTCGGCCCGCACCGAGCACATTCGATACAAAGTCTCCGTTCTTCTGCATGTTCATCAGGGTCAGCAGCACGGGGTCCCGGGGCAGCCATGAAGAGGGCTTCATGATCTCCTCGCGCGTCAAGTATTGTTCTCTGACATCCTTGACCTTTTGGTCGGTCTCCTTGTCCAGTGCCATGAGAACGACCTTGCGGCGCTTTGGCGGTTGAGCATGCTTGGCAGTAACCTCATCATCTTCGTCATTCACGTCATTCACGTCTAATTCGAACGCTTGAGACTTTTCAAGGTCGTTTAGATCATCGTCCGCCATGGAGCTCAGGACACTCTCGCGTTCCAGCTCATCGTCGGCATTGGGGGCAGGCTCGTCATGATCATCGCCGAGGTCCATGGCGTCATCCGTTTGCAGAAGGTTATCGGGTAGAGCGTCGTCGCCCAGATCCATCTTATCCAGGGGAGCATCATCTTCACCAAGGTCCAGTTGCAGGTTGTCGACATCGTTGAATTTGCCCCCATCGCTGAAAAGATCTTCCTCCACGGGGCGGGGAGCCGGGGCATCTCGACCCACTTCCATGCTGAAGTCATGGCCGAGAGGTGTTTCATCTTCTCCCAAATCCAAGTCGACCAGGGTGTGATCCTCGAGGCGCGCAGGTTCTTGCGATGCGGAGCGGCGCAAGCCAGTATCGGGGAGCAGCTGACTACCGAAATCCATCGAAGAACCAGGCCGCTTACCCTCGGGCTCGAGGTTGAGGGTTTGCGGCAACAGAAGGGAGGAATCCAGATTCATAAACAAGTCGGATTCCGTCAGTACATCGGGCAAAGTGATACCGCCAGGGGCAACGACCGTAGTGGTCAAGTCATTGTTGTTCGTCAAACGAAAGGCCTATGTGAGGAAGAGTAGTCAGCGACGGAGGGGCCGGAAGATGCAAGAGAGGGGGATCAAGTAGCACCGACCATTTTGATCTTCATCAAGGCCTCATTGCAGTCATCCAGCAGATAGCGCGCTTTGCGGCTGTAGATGCGAACCACACCCAGGAGCAGTTGACCGCTCAATCGCAAAGCCATGGGGGCTTGGCCTTGGTCCACAATCGCACTGACACTACTTTCAATGTCGGATTGTAAGATGTGCGACTTGGAAAGCTTGCGCTCCAGGTTGGCCGACAACCAGACGCGGGCCAGTGGCCCGGTCTTCGACAACAGGGTCTCCGAGTAGAACATGGTGGCGGGGAGAGCAGGGGAGATAAATCAAACCAAGAGCTAAGTGTCGCAAGAAACAGATCCAAGAAGACAAGAGACAGTGCAGTAAGACGAATACCCCACCCAGAGCGGTGGCTGTTTGGTGGTGGTGGAAGTCCCGGGCAACCAAAACGCCTGGGGACGCGCCGTATCCAGAAAACAAAAAGGATCAGCGACGGGTGCTCGGCCCCCTACGGGCAGTGAGCGAGGGAGGAGTCCACAGTATGGTTCCCGACAATCCGATGACGGGTAGCTTGGTTGATGAATAAAGGATCGCGCAAGATGCGACCGTGAAGAGACAAACACGCCCTACAACGGATGGTTGGAGGGGAAACAAGAAAGAAGCCAAAAAGGGATTGGCGATAGTGGGATGCGAAAACGGGGGGGAGTGGAGGATAGGGAAGAAGAGAAAAAGAGAGGGGGTTGGGGAAGGTTCGAAGTCGCAAAAGGTGGGAGGGAAACAAGAAGTGGGAACTTTGGGAAGGGAAAGACAGAAGAGCGAGAGGCAGAGACGAGAAAGGCGCGTCGACCGGCCAGCAACAGTGATTGACTGCCAGGTTACTCAGGCTGGGAGGAGGTTTTGTTGCCCAGCCTCCTCTTCTTCTGCCCGCCTCTGATTGGTGCGTATTGTTGTGGCTGGGGTCACGTGGAGCAGTCTAGCTTATGTCATTTCAGGACCACCTGAGATGAGCTGACTCAGCATGGTTATCAAGCTCACGCGAACTAGTCCCGATATGGACAGCTCGGAACAACACGTCATCCGGTAAGGCTAGGCCGCATCGGGCAAGGCATCATCAGCCGCACCGCCCAAGGATGAAGCCGTCAATAGAAAGAAGCAAAGAAATCCAAGGCGAAATCCAATGTATGAAGGAGAGGAGTCGATTGAAGGTTACCTGCTCCGAGTCATGATCAGGGTTTCTCAATAAGACAAGGTTTCGTTGTATTCTTATCGACAAAGTACTAACTGCTGACCGGGTAGGTTTTATTCTCTTCCCTCTGTCTACTCTGCCCCCGAAGTCTGGCCCAATCCTCCTCTCCCTTCCCTGGTCGCGCCGTGTCCACTTAGCGACTCTCCCCCCCATCTGGGCTAACCAATTGACGATTATTGATGCAGTTACGGCCAGCTCGCGTCAAACCACCAGGAGAGACTGTGGCTTTGCCTTTTCGCCGGCCTTGTCGATTTTTCCCCCAAAACAATTACTCTCACATCTCATTTCCTCTACCCCCTGAAAAAAGAACACCTCGCTCTCTTCGATTTTTATTATTCCTTCCTTACTGTTCCCGACGGGATGCTAGCAATTGGTGTCTGATATACCTGGGCTTATTTTCCGTTTCGACAAAGCATGAGAGATGTCAAGGTCCGCAACGCCCGCGCTCCCTTTCCATAATGCCCAGATCCCCGATTCGAGACCGAGGTCGACAACCCCGGCGGACGTGCGCTCCAGTCCTTCCCCTTCTGTAAGTGGCTTGCCCTGTCCAACTCGTTGTCTCTCTTGCAATCTGTCCCCTCTGCCGTCTACCTCCCGTCGGCGCAGCTAACCCGAGCGCCTTGCGCGGATAGACGTCTACCTCGACATATTCGCTCTTAGATCCGCAAGAGACCGCGGAGCGCTTACAGACCTCCCTCGTCCATGGCCTTAATCCCGCCGAGGCCGAGGTGCGCCTGGCACAAGAGGGACCCAACGAACTCCCGCACGAAGAACCAGAGCCCATCTGGCTCCGCTTTCTCAAGCAGTTTAAGGAGACCTTGATCCTCCTCCTTTTGGCCTCCGCTGCGATCTCCTTTTTCATGGGAAACTACGACGATGCAGTCAGCATTACCCTCGCCGTCACAATCGTGGTCACCGTCGGATTCGTTCAGGAATATCGGTCGGAAAAGTCTCTGGAGGCACTGAGTCGTCTGGTGCCGCACCATGCGCATCTAATTCGCGATGTTCCCTTGAATGGCCCTCCAGTGGCCGGCACCATTCCCCCGGCTCCTGGTGCGGAGATGGAGTTACAGGAGCTGCGAAGCAAGAGCCCGTCCATTTCCACTGCCGTCAAGGCTTCGACTACCGTGCCCGCCACGGAACTCGTGCCAGGCGACTTGGTCCTCTTCACCGTCGGAGACCGCATTCCGGCAGACATAAGGATCACTGCCGCCACGGATCTCTCCATCGATGAGTCCAACTTGACAGGCGAAAACGAACCGGTTGTCAAGTACCCCGATGCCATTCGCAGCCCCAAGCACCTTCCGTCGCACTCCCCTAAGATTGTGAGCCCGCCTCGATCGCCATTTTACGACGCCCCGGCCAGTGGCGCCGTGGGAGCCGACATCCGCTTGAATGAACAACACAACATCGCTTTTATGGGTACGCTGGTTCGGTCGGGATACGGACAGGGGATTGTGATCGGAACCGGTGCAAAGACGGAGTTTGGAAGCATTTCCGCCTCCCTCCAGGAAATTGAAAGCCCGCGGACGCCTCTCCAGCTGTCAATGGACCGTTTGGGCCAGGAATTGAGTTACATCTCGTTCGGTGTCATCGGACTGATCGTTCTCATAGGTTTGATCCAGGGTCGCAAGCTCCTCGAGATGTTCACCATCGGTGTTTCGCTCGCGGTGGCTGCGATTCCGGAAGGTCTTCCTATCATTGTCACCGTGACGCTGGCTTTGGGAGTGCTGCGCATGGCCAAGCGAGGAGCTATCATGCGACGGCTGCCGAGTGTCGAGACGCTAGGCTCTGTAAACGTCGTTTGCAGTGACAAGACCGGTACTCTGACTCTGAACCACATGACGGTTACCAAAATGTGGCACTTTGACTGCCCCGAGCCTTTTGAGGTCCATAATGATATTTCCTCCTTGACGCCTGGGCCTGCAGCGCGGACCGTTCTGCGAATCGGCAACATTGCCAACAATGCCAGACTATCTCGCGTGCATGCTAACTCTCCAGCCAGCGCCTCCTCTGCCGCGGTCTTGTCCTCCACGGACGACAGGGCTTCTGGAAGTATCCGTAGCAGATGGGTTGGCCAGCCTACTGACGTGGCTATCCTGGATTTGCTGGATACATTCGGCGAGGACGATGTGCGTGAGCGTATCAGCGCCCGTGTCGCGGAAACTCCATTCAGTTCTGAGCGCAAATGGATGGGTGTAATCATTGGCAACGGCACCTCCGGTGACAATGTGGCTTATATCAAGGGAGCTCTAGAGCAGGTATTGACCCGGTGCGATACTTACTTGACCAAGGATGGCCGTGAGGTTATCCTGGATGAACCACGGCGCCAGTCGATAAGGCACGCAGCCGAGCATATGGCGGCAGAGGGCTTGCGGGTCTTGGCTTTCGCCAGTGGAGCAGTTAGAGACACTTCGAGAGGAAGAGCGTTTGGCAGCAGATCGGGTACGCCCGTGTCAAAGTCCAGCAGCCAGGGTGATGACGATGACCGGTACAATGGACTAGTCTTTGCGGGCTTGGTGGGCATGAACGACCCTCCGCGCAAGGACGTCCACAAGTCCATCCGGCGTCTCATGGCTGGAGGAGTGCGGGTCATCATGATCACGGGAGATGCGGAGACGACCGCTGTGGCCATCGCGAAGAAATTAGGAATGCCGGTCAGTGACGCTCCCGGATCACGGCCTGTCATGAATGGGCATGAGATCGATCGGATGAGCACCCAGGAGCTCGCGCAAGCCATATCCTCGACCTCGGTCTTTGCGCGCACCAGTCCGGACCATAAAATGAAGATTGTGCGTGCCTTGCAATCCCGTGGCGATGTAGTGGCTATGACCGGCGATGGCGTGAACGACGCCCCGGCACTCAAGAAGGCGGACATTGGTATCTCGATGGGCAAGCTGGGCACAGATGTCGCCAAGGAGGCCGCGGATATGATTTTGACAGACGACGACTTCTCGACCATCTTGCGTGCCATTGAGCAGGGCAAGGGCATCTTCTACAACATCCAGAATTTCATTACCTTTCAGCTCAGTACCAGTGTTGCTGCACTGAGTCTCGTATTGCTGAGCACCACCTTGGGCTTCAAGAACCCGTTGAACGCCATGCAAATCCTATGGATCAGTGAGTTTATTTTCCCTTGCATGTCTGGAGCACTGCTAATTTCGACATTTAGATATCCTCATGGATGGTCCCCCTGCGCAGTCGCTAGGAGTGGAACCTGTTGATCCGTCCATCATGAACCGGCCACCCCGACCCCGAAATGCCCGCGTTCTCACAAGGCCGCTCGTCCAGCGGGTGCTCACCTCCGCGATGATGATCATGCTCGGCACTCTGGCCATCTACATCCACGAAATGGGCGACGCCGACGACACCGCCAACCCCGGCGTGCACTCCCGCGTGGTGACCGCCCACGACACCACGATGACCTTTACATGCTTCGTGCTGTTCGACATGTTCAACGCACTGACGTGCCGCAGCGAGGGCAAGTCGGTGCTCCGTGGCGAGATCTCTCTCTTTGGAAACAAGATGTTCAACTACGCCGTTCTGGGCTCGCTCGCGGGACAGGCGTGTGTGATTTACCTTCCCTTCTTGCAGCGCATCTTCCAGACGGAGCCCCTGGGCTTTGGACATTTGTTCCGGCTGGTGTGTATTTCGAGTACCGTATTTTGGGTTGATGAGGCCCGCAAGTATTATATGGCGTTGAAACGACGGGGCACGGTGGGGGTAGGATACAGTGTCAATGTTTAATAGATCAGGTTATAGGCTATATGTATAGATGCTTTTCCTTATACTTTGATACCAGTATCGACGTTTCAGTTGGGCGATAAACAAAAACATAAGGTAAGGCCAACCTGGTTAGTGTCCGTCCGCCTTGTAGAGATGCGCTGGAAGTGAGAAAAAAAGGATGCAAAAAAAGAATGACCTACGCAGGACTCGAACCTGCAATCTCTTGATCCGTAGTCAAGCGCCTTACCATTGGGCCAGCAGGCCAACTGTTGAATCACTAGTTAGTATTACAATCTATAAGCCTATGATAATACAGCAATCCCCCTCGCTTCCACTAGTCTACTGTATACAATCGCTGGTCTAAATCAAGTCAACAATACTCCATATGCATGTCATAGCTTGTGTCCTAGCGAACAATATAGAAATCGAGACTCGGTCAATTCAAATTACTAGGTATTTAACTGCGTACTATCATACATCGATAAAACCATAAATGTCATTGGGTGGTTTCGACTGACACTACAACTACATATATATATCTAGACATTGCCGTAAACCGGGTGGCAGGGGGTTGAGAGGCCCGACACCGTGGCACCGATATGTCTCAGATAAGTAATTCAGGTACCAGTGAACCAACACAGAGACCTACTCGGATATCGTGAACAAGAAGCTCCAAAAGTCGAGCTCATATAGGTCAGGTGGCTGACGTGATTTAGCTCCCGGATTCCTCATCAGCTTGCAGCGGTCAACTGCAGAGAGAAGCACACCAACTGAGGTATCATATCCAAGGATACGACATGTCGGTTTAGAACCAGGAAAATATTATGAAGAACCGAAATCATGTAGGCTTCTCGAAGAACGGGCGCATGAAACACCGGGATCCCGAAAGGTCGGGGCCGAAGTAGGAAGAGGCCTGGTTTCAACGCCGACATTCAATTAAGGCTCAAGTGCCCAGCATGTCAAAGCGAAGACGCTTCTCAACAAGCACTGCAATCCAGCAGAAAAAAAAAGCCGTGGCAAGTACTTAAGAATAGGGTGGTCACTCCCATTACGGCCCATCACCAACCGGAACAGCATACCAGCGGCAACAACATCCGTTCCCGTCGCCTCGGTATGCTCAACCCGAGCCCAGATCGCAGAATTAATCCGCAAGGGGCGATTGGCCCGGCCCGTGATCCCCCATGTCTAATGGATCTCCGGAAGCAGTACATTCTCCGGATCGAAAGAATGATCTGGGACGGACTCATGACCGTGCATCTGCAGCAGACGTCGAATTAGGGCTGTCTGGACAATAAATGTTAGGTAATGGCGCCTGGCCATTGGTCCTTGCAACAAACAGGCGACAGGAAAAATCATGATTGGCGCGCGCCCGTGACCGTTGACGATTTTAGCTCCAGTGATGGGCTCATCGTCCACAGTCCGACCCCTCTCTGGTCCCCTCAGTCGATCATCGTTGTAGCTTGCCCCGTGGCATGGACCGGGACCCGATGCTGTGGTTCCCCAAGGGTCTGTGAGGGCACGTGGTCGACATGGATGTGTAGTTTATTTTCATGTCATTGTAGCACTCGGTCTTTCACTCGTGGCATACACACGGTTTATTGTGCCATGTTTATGGCATGTCTGTGACGTCTGTGATGGATAAGGTCATACATGGCCACACACGCAGTGAGTATAGAGCCCCCACAAAAGGAGTAGTCCAAATAAGCATCATTAAGACTAAGACGCAGGAACTAGTAAGGAGTCAACGATCAGCAACCAGTTTAGTCACACGATATGCAGTAACATCCAACCCACCTGATAGAGAATACTATCACCTTACTCGACAAGAAACTCCAGAGATAAGGGAGCTAGTGCAGCGGAGACGGGGTTAGGTTAGTTATATGGGGACATCAGATCGAGCACATGGAAGGAATCCTCATTCTAAAAGAAACTAAAGATAGGTACCAGGTACTAGTGTAGTCCCTATCTACTGTGTCTCTTATCTCGTTCTACTTCCCCCTGAACTGGGCACTGGGGATAACATCTACTTATGAACTCCTGCTAGACCGGATTGGGTAACGGTGTTATCAGCACCGGGGGAGCACAGGTCCGATGTAGGATGATCTATCTACTATCATCTCCCGTAGAATCACTCGGGACTTCTGTCGGGTGTGCTGATAGGCAATTCGGGTTGCCTAGTGTAGTCCCACCCCACGCGACTGCTAGTCTACTAGCCATGCTTTTGCATGCCATTTGTCCGCCCGGGGCTGGGACTGTCAGACGTAAGTACGATATCATCGTATGGGAAAGCAAGCAGAGTGACATACCCTCCGATCTGAATAGCCAGTAGAAGCAGTAGACTATACACCACCAAGTATTTTATTATTTCCCCCCACACTCACTCATCTCTAAGAATGCGAGGTAAGCACCAACACACCGCACCGCGGCATCCTCACCATCGGAATCCTCCGAGCCAAGAGCCAAGCAAACGCAGCCCCGACTCGCCAGTCATTCATCCCGTCCCCGTATCTCCTACCTATCTAACTGCTACTAGACTAGACCCAGCAAACCTCCGAACCGGCGACTGCGCGACCCAACCTCGAACGCCCGCCCGCCCGCTTCAGGCCTACCCAATTCCTGAAACTCCCGAGCGGACATCGGGAGAAACAGGAATGACAAGCGGACTATCATTGGCCAAGCTTCGTCGTTATCAGCGCGGTGGAGCCTTTCGAGGCTGAGCTAGGCCGGATCGGGGTCCAGCGGGACCCACCCCGGATGCAGGTGGCGTGCAGCTGCCCTTATCGTGACCTCCTGTCCAATCGATTCGGAGTGGTGATGAGCTGAGAGAAAATGGAACTGATAAGAAAGGTTCAACTCTCAGGTTCGTGGGTTCCCTTGAGTTTTCCGTTTTCCACGGAATAGGCTTCTTGGTCGTGGGGAATACGGATGGATGGATGATGGATGGATTGAGCATGAAACGTGAAGATCTTGTGGTTTGCGTCTTGGCTCCAAATTGGCAGTTTAGTACTTACACCTATACCGAGTCAAGATAGATAGATGGGTAGTCAACTAGGATATCCCTTTCATTTCTGTTTTTGGATGATGTATCGGACTGGTTTTATCCTTTCCGTGGTTGATCATACTCTTCCTTACATGAAAAAGGCATTTCTGCATGTGAGACGAAGCAGGGTGCAAGCATGTGCCTGCCTGCCTGCTTTTCTGCCTGTCTGCCTCAAATTCGAGCCCAGATCAAACACACGGTCAATGATCCCTATCTATCTACTAATCTGGAACCGATTGCCCATTCCTTTGCCGGCCCAACTCGGCAGCAGATAGGGCTCCAGGCCGCGAGTATGCGCTCTGTAGCTCTGGAACGTGTTCAGTCTGTTATCATTGGGCTTGAAGGTATGCGTGATAGATAAACAGCCAGCTGTCGGAGTTCCGCGTGCGCGCATATCGAGTAGATACATAAAGTAAACAGAAGCCCCAAGCCCGCGCCCCCAGGATTGCTGGTGCTTCCTCTACTCTTTTTGCCTTTTTTTTTTTCCCTCTCTGCATGCGGAGAGATGATGATCCAGAAAGCAGCAGACACTGCGGTGGGCTGAGCTGGTCTATGCGGTCTTACAGTCCACTTACTGTCTGTCGCGTGGGCATCATCGACCACATATGATACCATATACCATACCGTATACTGCGGATTACAGCTTACTATACAAGCAGGGAAACAGCATGGAACCTAACCGGGAGGCTATACGAACACTCTCCCCTGGGACGAGTTTGCAGATTCAATGGGTCGGGGCCTGGACCGACGTCCTTCCCTGTCCATTGGAACTTGAACATGACGAAACCTTGTGTTGAATGAACACCCGATATGAATTGAGTGTAGATGATGATGCTGATGCTGATGCTAATGTTGCTGCTGCTGCTGCTGCTTATGATGATGAAACAGATCATTCCAACTGGCTTAACCGAGGATAGTATACCAGGACCCAACCGGGATCAGAGTGGAAATATGACGGGAGGTTTCGCCACCGAACTTATTTGGGAATTTCTTGCAGTCCCTCCTCAATCGGCGGCGGTCTTGGCCGAGGGCGGCAGTTTTGCCACGGACCCAATCAAGGGCCAGACAGGCAATTCACCTTTGCAATCACTGCAGACGAAAATGATTGTCAGGAAACTGGGAAATACAATTGATGTCTATGTGTGTATGGTTGTGAAGAGCTTCCCACGATCTATCGACTTTGACAAGTGAAGCACACGCAGCAAGGAAAAAGTCTATCCTCCTCCCATCACCAACAGCAGCACCAGCATCCATTCCTCCGCCGTTCGCCAGGAAACGCAACCAGTGGGTTTTGAATGGGTTCTGGTGGATGATCGTCGGGCCCGAGTTTATTTTATGCCATTTGATTTTTCACCTTATCTCTCGCCCGACTCGGCGGCCTCCCATTTGGGTCTTTTTCTTTTTTTTCTCACTTATCTTTATTTGATTTGATTTGATTATTTTCTGGCGCCTCCCTCGCGTGGTGGAAAGAGGATAAATTATTTTCTCATTATTCTTTTTTCTTTTTCCTTTTTTTTTTTTTTCCTGACTATTTACTGGAGATTTGAATTTTAGACTTTTTGTTTCCCTTTTAATTTCTCTGTCTTCAGATTCTCACCCACACGAGGCTAATCTGGAATGAATTGAAAAGAGTTTCGAGGGCATATCAACTTATCATCCACCCGCCCAAAGTCATCACTAATAGATATTATCGTCGGTCGAGGTGCTCCACCCGCGCCCAACGTTTGAGCAAAGTTTAGGGACTTTTTCTCTTCTGCTTCTTGCCTGGGCATTGACACCAACCTATTATCGCTGCTATCGGGACGAATTGGTAAAAGCGCAACCTCGTCGCAGGTTTGAGGTCCCACTCCGGTGCCTTTCCAGAATCTTGTCTGCCCGGCCGCTCCACTCATCGGCCTTCTTCCTGCTTCATTCCTCAAGTCAGCGCACTCTTATTTATATAGTCGACGCCCTCCGCGCCCCCCGTGGCGGTTTTCCCTTCTCCACATCCGGCGGAGTCGACAGTCTGCAGAGCATCCTTTCCCTCTCTTTCTCTCCCTCACGGCATTCCGTCTTACATTCCCGCTGCCGGTCTCTCTCTCCCTCTCTCTCTGTCCCTCTCTCTCTCTCCTCCTAATACACGCTTCTCCTCCATTCCAATTATCCCAAATCCTCCTACTCTGTGTCACCTCCCTTTCTCTCTTTCTCCTTTCCGCCCTTGCAGATACTCTATTTCGCCAGTTCCCGTCTTCGATTCTCGATCCCGATCTCGCTTCTGCAGTTCTCGCCGCCACCCACACCAACTACACCATCCACATCCACCACCCGCCTGTTCTCGGCCTGAGAACATTCCTCGGCGGTGGTGACTCCATAAACGCCCGTTAAAAGAACAGTTCGACCCGTCAATCCCTCGTGTTACCTTCGATAGTCTTTGTTTTTTCACCATGTCGGACAAAGCAGGCGTCTTTATCCCGCAATATGCGTCCTACAACTGGACGGGCGCTCCCTCCGACTACGAGGCTCTCACGACCAACGAAATCGGTGGCGATTCCAGTTAGTTACCCTGCTTTTGTTGGTCGTTTTGGCTTCCCCATGACTTACCTGCTGGCTAGGAACGGAAAATCTGAACAAATGGTTTCAACCGGGTGACCAAGCATTCATCATCGTGTCCTCAGCCATGGTGATGGTTATGATTCCTGGTCTGGCCTTCCTTTACTCCGGTCTCGCGCGCCGCAAGTCAGCTCTGAGTATGATCTGGGCTTGTATGGCCTCGTTCTCCGTCGTCACCTTCCAATGGTATTTCTGGGGTTATTCTCTCGCCTTTTCTCCGACCGCAACCAACGGCTACATCGGCAACCTGCGCAACTTCGGTTTGATGAAGACCTTGGCCGATCCTAGTCCGGGCTCTCCACTGATTTCGAACCTTCTCTTTGCTTTCTATGAGGTATGTTACGATCGACAATCGAGACCTTTGTAATCAATAGCTGACAGGACCGGAATAGATGCAATTCTGCGGAGTTACGGCAGCGATTATCATGGGAGCTGTGGCGGAACGTGGACGCATGCTCCCCGCAATGGTGTTCGTCTTCATTTGGGCCACGATTGTGTACTGTCCTCTGGCGTGCTGGGCATGGAACTCGAACGGTTGGGCCTACAAATATGGAGTCCTGGATTACGCTGGTGGCGGTCCCGTCGAGATCGGGTCTGGTCTGTCGGCACTTGCCTACTCCATGGTTTTGGGCCGTCGCCAGGAGCGGATGATGTTGAACTTCCGCCCGCACAACGTGTCTCTCATTCTCCTGGGAACTGTCTTCCTTTGGTTCGGATGGCTGGGATTCAACGGTGGCTCGGCTTTTGGAGCGAACCTTCGTGCCACCATGGCTTGCTGGAACTCTAACTTGACCGCTGCCTTCGCCGGCATGACCTGGGTTCTTCTCGATTGGCGCTTGGCTCGCAAGTGGTCCATGGTCGGCTGGTGCTCTGGTACCATCTCGGGCCTCGTTGCGGCTACTCCGGCTTCTGGTTTCGTTCCTCCCTGGGCTAGTGTGATCCTGGGCGTTGTGACCGGTATTGTTTGCAACTACTCCACCAAGGGTAAGTCACGCTTTTGCTGGGCAGTGATCCCGTTCAAACACTGACTGAGTTTACAGTGAAATACTGGATCCGTATCGACGACTCGATGGATGTGTTCGCGGAACACGGTGTTGCGGGAATTGTCGGTCTTATCTTCAACGCCCTCTTTGCGGACGATTCGATTGTTGGACTGGACGGTGTCAACACTGGATCAGGACAGGGAGGCTGGCTGATCCACAACTACAAGCAACTCTATATTCAGATCGCCTATGTCGTCGCTACCTGCGCCTACTCATTCGTCATGTCCGCCATCATTGCCTATGCCATCAACGCCATTCCCGGTCTGAAACTGCGTGCCTCGGAAGAAGCCGAACTGCTGGGTATGGACGATGACCAGCTGGGTGAATTCGCCTACGACTACGTCGAAGTCCGCCGTGACTACCTCGCCTGGACCCCTCAGCAGCACAACCAGCTTGAAGACGGCCACCAGATTCCCGCCGCGGCGCGGTACGGAATTGGCGAGCACAGTGAGATGATGCTGGACGGCCACGCCCCGGTTGGTGTGGACAGCCGTGGCTGCAGCGAGGGTGACTCGGGCATCCAGGAGCTGAAGATGCAACCTGCGCCGCGACAGGTAGCAGAACACCACGCGCCGCATGAACCCGAGCCGGTCGAAGAGCCTATCCCGACGACTCAAATCAACGAGAAGGTGACGACTTGAGCCGGACCTCCTCATCTTTTCTAACTTCTTAATGTCTTTGTGTGCTTTTCTTCAATCCTGTGATATCCAGCGATGCCTTTCTTATTAGCCCGGCTGAGCCATTTGTTGTTTTGTACATGTATTATTTTGGCGGCGATTTGGTTTGGCGTTTTTAGGGACGAAGCCCGCGGGTTATGTATATCTACCTGTTGGGTGGATTGTATATATTAGGTTATAAGCGGGGGGTTATTGTTTTTCTTCACTATTTACGTGTCTAGATCTTGCCTATGGAGTGATACCAGCACATGCATAGATAGTCAATTGATTCATCCATAACATATAACAACTGCACTATAGGGACATATACATGCCTAGAAAATCGGTCAATTTGACGTAAATGACAGCTAACTGCGCGTCCCAAGGGTCCTACCCCGGAAATCCTACCCCATACCCCACAGTAACAAACAGACAGACTACCTAGTTACCACCCGGCATGCATGTGCTGGACCTCTCCAAACACAAGCCCTTGCAACAATAAGGTGTCTTATACAAACATACAAATTCGTGATCAGGAACACTAAATCTTTCCCCGAGCAGCGTACACATTAATACCACACTTATATCCTGGAATACATGAATAGGTAAGTAAATAAGGATATGTTTCCACGAGTGTATTATGTACTTATGGTTCGCATGGCTCTTAGATTAATTATATGGGTGGTGTGCAGTATGTATAATCTAGCCCTAAGTACCCCACCCGAGAAATCCGTATTCTCGACAGTCCATGGCGTGATTTTTGTGAGAATGAACCAACAAAATACTCATGCAATTTAGCGGTGAAAATTGATAGAACATAGCTTGGTATGTGTAGTATGCATGTATACTATATACAAAGAAAAGAATGCGTATGTAAATTTTTTTAACAAGACGCTGTCAGGTGGGGGCGCTAATGTTATTGTTGATGTAGAAAGGTAATACGGAAAAAGTTAACTCTCTGCCGAGAAGAAAGTAGTAGATAGATAGATAGATAGACAGGGAGTATGGAAAAAAGTGAAAAGTGAGGGATTACACCCGTCTCACCATCCCTCTCACTCTCATCCTCTCTTCGCGACTCAATTTATCCACCACTTCAGCTGTCTCTCCACCACGGAGGACATCTTCCCACTCATCTTCGTCCATGCCCATGACCAGGACCATCTGCAGACACCGCGTGAACGCTTCCCGGTGCCGGTACCGACCTGGTGCCGCTTGCGTGCCACCCACGTCGACAGCAGCGCTGACCACCCCGGATACATCGCGTTCGAGGCGGGTGGCGCCCAGGGCATTGACACGGCCGTGGTAAGACCAGAGACGCTTCTCCAGGAGTCGAGAGAGGTAGGCGATGGTGACGGTGAGGAGACGGTCAAAGGCGGATGCGGTGAGGATGCGGCTGAGGGGCAGGAGCAGCTCGGTCCAGGCGGCGGCGAAGCGCGGACGGACGAGTTCTGCGCGGCTGGTAGGGTCGTCGTCATCTGGGACGGCGCCATCCGCCATGTAGTCCGGATCGTCGGAGTCGTAGTCGTGGTAGATGGTGCGGGTGGGGTCGGTGTCTTCGCGGGGTTGATACTCGATGTCGCGGAAGGCGTCGGAGAGGATGGGGCGGAGACGGTGTTTAATGACGTTATTGAAGACGACCTGGATGCCGTCTGCCAGGAGGTCGGTGACCTTGGACTCGAAGGAGGCGGAGAGGGATTGGAGGGTTTGTGTGGCGAGGCGGGCTTCCTCGGGGACGGGGAAGAGCGAGCGCAGAGGGTCGGTTTCCTCGGGCTGGCCATCAGGGCCGATGGATTTTTTGGGCTCGGTATGGTTCTGTAGGATGCGGCGAACGTAATCGACGGCGACGTCAAGGTTGTTGATGAGGACGAGGAAGGAGATGACGAGTTGCTCGGGGGGTTGGCCGCCCTGGACAACGGCGCGGGGGTAGCATTCGTCACGCATCTTGCGCTGCGTCATGCCGATGAAGTCGGAGCCGAGGACGCGTGAGAGCGTGGGCACAACGCTGGTGACGACGGAGATTTGCGATGTGACGAGAGACTGCTGCAGGACCTTGTTGACAATGTACATGATGTCGTCGACGGCGGATGTAATGTGCGGCGGCTCGGATTTGAGCGGTCTCTGCGGGTTCAGGGTCAGGCCAGAGGGCTGTTCGTCCAGCTGGAACGCCTTCTCGACCGACCGGCGGAAGAAGAATGTGGTCATGGTGTTGAACGGAGCGGCCAGGCGGTCGTTGATTTTCTTCGCTAGAGTCGATTCCCGGAGGAACTGCGGCAGGGCGAATTTTTGGTTGTCACCCTCTTCCGGGGGCTGGGCTGGGTCAGTCAAGACGATCAGAATGGTGTTGGCAAGAACTTACATTGCAGGTGTCGGCCAAGAACCGGCAGTACAGGGACCAGCGACCAAGCATGACGGCCATCTCGTTGAGAAGCCCGTCAATCTCCTTCATATCCACGCCCTCATCATCGGCCGCAGCGGCATCCCGTACGGCAGGCGAGTTGGACCGGGGCGTTCCGCTGCGCTGCGGAGGGAGGAAGCTCTGCACGAGGAAAGTGAAAGCGTAGGACTTGGTGTCGGTAAGCTTTCGGTCGACATGCCGCTCGTCGCTCCAAGTGTCCAGGATGATGCCACCTTGAACATCGGCCTCCAGCTGCAGACGCTCAATAACGCGATTCATCTTGCGCGGGCCGTAGTGACGCTCCACCAGGCCGCCGTGACCATCGATGATCTGGGCGATGTGTTCGAACAGCTTGGTCAGCGCATTGGCGTAGAAGAAGCCGTCCTTGCTTGGCGAAGCCCCTGTGCCGGCATTGAGGTTGGATCGAGCTCGCGCCGCCACGCCTTGACAGACGTAGCGGCCGTAGACATCCAGACCCACCTCGGAGCGACCGATGAGGGGGAAGAGCTTGAAGAAGCGGGTGATGCGGGCACCGTTGTTCTCTTTAACAGCCTTGTCGAATTCGCGCAGGAACAAGCCACAGAGCGATTCGGCAGCGTTATCAAGCGTAACATTCGGTGGATCGGGCACCTCGGCCGTCGGCACCATTTCCGCGGCAAAGGCCCCCTGCGCGACCTCCGGGGGGATCTTGGAGGCCCGGTTCAGATAGCTGGCAGCAGTCTCCCAGTCCTGCGGCGCACCCATGGAGCCTGCGACGCCCAGCACACAGGCTTTGAGTTCCGAAACCTGTTCCACCACTTCCAGGGTTGCCTTGACGCGGGATTGTTCTAGATCGAGGCGGCGGACGGCGCTGGATATGCGATCGGCGGTGGTTGCGGCATCGGCCAGCATGCCATGGCTGATGGCACGGGTGGTGCTGGTCTGGGAGCCGAGATGGGCGCGGAGTAAGTCGAGTCGGCCCAATTCGCGAGAGAAATCCTTCTGGGAGGCCACAAGGGCGTCCAGACGAGCTGTAACGGAGGCCTCCTGGTGGTGCAGGTGCGACAAGGTGGCCTTGATCTCGGCAACGGAGCTGGCATTGAAGATGTCGGGGGCGGGATGCGAGGGAGGCACCGCATGGCCATTGGCCACGCCGGCCGAGGAATTGGACATTGTCTGAGAAGATCAGACAAGGGCGAGATGGGCCGGCGATATAAACCCAGTTTGATCAATCAGTGAGATAGAGGGATATAATAAACAATTGAAGGGAAGAGGAAGGCCATCTGGCACTCGGCCCGCAGGCGGTGAGCAGCCGGGAAGCTGCCTGAGGTGCTGCAGGTGCCTCAGAATGATGGCCACGGAGATGAAGTGTGAGGAAGAGAGAACAGGCTGGAGAGCTGCTTGATATTCACGACATTTTCTTACCATTGACTATAGAATTGACATGGCAAGGGATAGATGGATTCAGACGGATAGAAATCACGGGACATAAGATATAGATACCTCAGGCCGCCACGGGGACAGGCAATTCTGCCGATTGCTGCATTCGACGTCATCTTCAGATTTCCAGTCGCACTTTTCTCTCCACGATTTCGACGGATTCACCCTCTGTCTAGCAGTTGAACCGCCTTACTTCAAGCACCTTCTTCTTGGTGACAGGGACTGGTCATATACCGCCATCATAGGTCGCCGCCGCAAACCCCGACACCAGCACGCCCGACCCCGAACAGGTCGCCGGCCACGCACCATGGGCAACGAATCTTCGACCCTGATAGATGAGAAAACCCCCCCGTCGGTGCTGGAGGCCCGTACCATCGAGGCGATTGCCAAATATGTCAAGCAAAAACCGGTGAAGCGCGTGGTGGTGATGGTATGGATGTTTCCCTCCGATTACCCCTCCCCCGCACCGTGTCAGATCGAATTCTACATCCTCAAAGATTGAGATAGATGGGGGTATAGCTAACAGACAATTATATGTATAGGTCGGAGCTGGCATTAGTACTTCGGCCGGAATTCCCGATTTCCGGTCGCCAGATACCGGCATCTACTCGAATCTCGCCCATTTGGACCTGCCCGATCCCGAAGCCGTCTTCGACATCAGTTTCTTCCGTCAGAATCCCCGCCCATTCTACGCTCTGGCCCGGGAATTGGCCCCGGGTCAGTTCCGACCCACCATTGCACACTCGTTCATCAAGCTGCTCTACGACAAGGGAATGCTATTGAAGCATTTCTCACAGAACATTGACTGTCTGGAGCGGCTGGCTGGGGTACCGGGTGATAAGATCGTCGAGGCCCATGGAAGCTTCGCGACACAGCATTGCATCGACTGCAAGGCGGAATACCCCGAGGACTTGATGAAAAAGGCTATCACTAAGGGAAAGGTCCCGTACTGTACTCAGTGCAAGGGGCTGGTGAAGCCCGACATTGTCTTCTTCGGAGAGTCGCTGCCGGCTGACTTTTTCGACAACCGGGACCTTCCCGAGCAGGCGGACTTGTGCATTGTTATGGGAACCAGTCTACAAGTGCAGCCGTTTGCCAGTCTGCCCGCATTCGTTAGTGATGGAGTACCCCGCGTGCTGATCAACATGGAGCGAGTGGGCGGGCTGGGATCCCGCCCGGACGATGTCCTGGTGCTGGGTGATTGCGACACTGGGGTGAGGCGATTGGCACGGGCGCTGGGCTGGGGGGAGGAGTTAGAGGAGCTGTGGGAGAGGACGAACCCGGACCCGGCCGTACGGGCGGCGGAGAATGCATCCCCACAAACCCGGGAGGAGCGGCTGCAAGATGAAGTGGACCGGCTCACGGAGGAGGTTGATCGCACGCTGGGAATCTCGCAGGCGTACCAGCAGCGAGTGCGGCAGCATCTGGAGCGACAGTCGGGCACGCACGCGGATGCAGCGGGTAGGAAGGAGAAGCAAGCCGAGGAGGAGAACGACCGGATTGGGGGATTGGCTCATGTCTTCCCGCATCTGGCGCGAATGCAGGAAGGGAGGTGAAGAGAAAAAGTAAGAGCGATCACATGGACGAGATGAGGATGGAATGGATGGGAAAGGTCCGGGCGAGATGGCGTTGGGTGGCTGGAACGGAGGGGATTCTGAGTGGACGAAAGACCAGGGAGATAGTCGGTTCCTGGAGCTTCTTGGGATTTCGACGGGAGTCAAGATGATAAGGGGGGGAAAGCAAAAGAATAAATTAATTGGGATGGATATAGGATAATGATACACATGATGTTTGTAGTCAAACTTGTTGTTGATTGATGATAATAAACAAAAGAAGAGAGGAGGTTAAATAGTGACGGATGAATCAATTGATCAATGTGAAAGAGTAAAGAATGCGGGATGAGGAAGCAAGCAGTACAGAGTGCATACATGACATTCTTCCGCAGCAAAATGTCTCCCGCAAACGACATGACAGCTCTTAGCTTCATGCTATACTTATCTAGACACTGACACGTAGAGCCTGGACTACAAAGTACTTAAACTCTCGAGATACTTTGATGCAAGAGGACAAGACATGAAGCGGCGAGACACCCAAAGCAACAACCGGTGAAGGCGATCCCTCCCCCTCCACTGCGGGGCCCAACTTTAGTTAACTATTATTATTATTATTATTGTTTGCTTCCACGCTTATGATTCTGCTGCTGCCCCACGTCACTCCCCCTCGATCTTCTTTCATCCCGGTTTCTAATTCTAACTCTCTCTGCTCCATCTTCTCCTTGACTTCTCTACATTCTTCTTTTTGATCAACTATCCTTCTCTACTACCTCTTTCTCCATCTAATATCTATTCACCGTCATCATGGTTGGAATCGGTCCTAAGCGTCCCCCCTCCCGCAAGGGTAAACTCATAGCTCTCCTCCTCCCACTTCCCCCCTCCATTTCTCGGGATGCCGATCGCTGACCCGATGGCTTCCCTCGTGCTTCTCCAGGTTCCATGGCCGATGTTCCCCAGAACCTCTTGCAGCAGATCAAGGACTTCGAGGACCAATTCACCGTCGACCGCTCCAAGCTCAAGCAGATTGTCAACCACTTTGTCAAGGAATTGGAAAAGGGTGCGTCTTCCACACTTTACCCGCTTCCAATGCGGCCCGGAATGCATCACTCCGACTGACTCTCTTTCTTCCATGCAATAGGTCTCTCTGTCGAGGGTGGAAACATCGTAAGTGCTTTGGCTCTCGCAATGCGGCATTCGACTCAATTCGTTTTTATTTCCTCCGTTCCCGACTAACGCTTCTCTTCCCCTCTCAGCCTATGAACGTCACCTGGGTTCTGGGATTCCCCGATGGCGACGAACAGGGTACTTTCCTCGCCCTCGACATGGGTGGCACCAACCTGCGTGTTTGTGAGATCACCCTGACCCAGGAGAAGGGTGCCTTCGACATCACCCAGTCCAAGTACCGCATGCCCGAGGAATTGAAGACCGGTACCGCCGAGGAGCTGTGGGAATACATCGCCGACTGCCTGCAGCAATTCATCGAGTCCCACCACGAGAACGAGAAGATCTCCAAGCTGCCCCTGGGTTTCACCTTCTCCTACCCCGCCACCCAGGACTACATCGACCACGGTGTCCTGCAGCGCTGGACCAAGGGTTTCGACATTGATGGTGTCGAGGGCCACGACGTCGTCCCGCCGTTGGAGGCCATCCTGCAGAAGCGCGTACGTCGATCCCCTCACCCCCCATGATGTGTAACCCGAGCTAATCTGGTATGTCTCTCTAGGGCCTGCCCATCAAGGTGGCTGCACTGATCAACGACACCACCGGAACCCTCATCGCCTCTTCTTACACCGACTCCGACATGAAGATCGGCTGCATCTTCGGTACCGGTGTCAACGCCGCCTACATGGAGAACGCCGGCTCCATCCCCAAGCTGGCTCACATGAACCTGCCCGCCGATATGCCCGTGGCCATCAACTGCGAGTACGGTGCTTTCGACAACGAGCACATCGTGCTGCCTCTGACCAAGTACGACCACATCATCGACCGCGACTCCCCCCGTCCCGGTCAGCAGGCCTTCGAGAAGATGACCGCTGGTCTGTACCTGGGTGAGATCTTCCGTCTGGCCCTGATGGACCTGGTGGAGAACCGCCCCGGCCTCATCTTCAACGGCCAGGACACCACCAAGCTGCGCAAGCCCTACATCCTGGATGCCTCCTTCCTGGCAGCCATCGAGGAGGACCCCTACGAGAACCTGGAGGAGACCGAGGAGCTCATGGAGCGCGAGCTCAACATCAAGGCCACCCCGGCGGAGCTGGAGATGATCCGCCGCCTGGCCGAGCTGATCGGTACGCGTGCCGCTCGCCTGTCGGCCTGCGGTGTTGCCGCCATTTGCACGAAGAAGAAGATCGACTCGTGCCACGTTGGTGCCGACGGCTCCGTCTTCACCAAGTACCCTCACTTCAAGGCGCGCGGAGCCAAGGCTCTGCGCGAGATCCTGGACTGGGCTCCGGAGGAGCAGGACAAGGTGACCATCATGGCGGCCGAGGATGGATCTGGTGTGGGAGCTGCGCTGATTGCGGCGCTGACCCTGAAGCGGGTCAAGGCCGGCAACCTGGCCGGTATCCGAAACATGGCTGACATGAAGACCCTGCTATAATGACCTGGCGCACATAAATATGAATTCTTTGGTGTGATATTTTATTCTCTGGTGTTGAGACGGCGGTGGACGGAATGAAAATAATCGATTACAGTTGTTATGAAGAATTGGCCCGGCCTGGTCTGGTCTGGAGCAATCCTTGTACTGATTAAAAAGTAAGCCGTAAGCCAGTGAATGTGTAACTCTCTTGTTCCTATCGACTAGACCTGCCACACTACCATCCTGTAGACACAAAACCCCGCAGCAAACAAGCCCTGAGCAATGCAAGCGGAAGGCAAAAAAGAAAGAATGTGCACGGTCACTCAGCTGGCCAGTGTTGATTTGGTTGCACAGGAAGAATGGGGATCCCGATAAAACATTCCTAGCGGGATAGACGAAGAATGCTTGAATCTCGTGGACAGAAAAGAAATAACCCGACAACTGATTTCACCTGGAACTGGGTCGGAATGCACATCCCCATGAATCCTTGCATGTATCATGCAGGAACCATCATGGATGAACCTTGTAGATACGTACCAGCAACAGTGTGTTTACACTTTGTTAGTCCTAGATGACATATGATGATGATATAAATATTTGCTCTATCTACCCTACCCAACCCTACCCTATCCCTTCCCTCTTTCCCTCATCTTTCTTCTCATACTACCATTGAAGTCCCTCACTCACTCACTACTTACTCCCTACCAAACCCCCTCCATCCACTACTCTACCTAGCATACACAGTATCTCCCAACCATGAGACTCGATACCCTCCTAACAACAACCCTCTGGGCCACTACAGCCCTCGCCGCAGCCAAGCCCATCATAGAGAACCGAGACCTCGCCCCAGCGACACCCGCAACAGCAGCAATGCACACCCCCAACGCCGCAGCATCGGCTACACCTAGTTCTCGGGCGTCGGCTAGTGCCTCTGCGTCTGCGTCGGGTGCCTCGGCGCAGTATGAGACGAGTAATGAGGGTGATGACGATGATGATTACGATGATGATGATGGTGGTCACGACGATGGTGACTACGAAGATTATGGTGATGATGGATATGGAAAGGAGGATCCCAAGGGGGGTGATGATGGTCAAGGGGACAAGGATAATAGTGATGTATGTATATACCCTTCCCCCCTACCCTCCAACTTCTCTGTGTCTGACTATTCATTGTGTATGTGTATGTGGATGGGTGCTAATGAGTGTGACTTGTGCAGCCGCTTGATTTCGTAAGTATCACCGGTGTCCTTCCTGTTGAGGATTGCGTTGAAAAAGGGTAAATGCTAACGAGGGGTTTTTGTTTTGGGGGATTAGTTGTCGGGGATTTTGGGATTGGTATGTATCTTTCATCTGCTTGGTTACTTTTTTGTCTTGTGGGGTATGGATGGCTAACTGTTGTTTGGTGGTATAGCTCGGTGGATTGGTTAGTTCTCCCAGTCTTTATATTGTCTTTGTTTTGTCCTTACAAGAAGGAGACAGAGAGAGGAGGAAAGGAGTATGGTTGGTATTTATTATATGAGAATGGTGTACTGACTACTCGTTAATGGTATAGGGTCTGCGGTAAATTGATTGATCAACACGGGCAGTCTGCTTCTACACACCGTCTTCTGACGTTTCTATCTCGGTTCTATCTTCCTATCTTGTTCAATTGACGATTATTTTCTGATGAGATTATGCGGAGAGTGACGGAGGTGTTCATAGGTTACTTTGCCTGCTTTTACCTTGTTTGCTTGGATATGGTTGCTTATTTAGGGCTCGCTCGTATGTATCTGTTACACGTCACATAACATGCCATCAATATGATTGAATGAATCTGCACTGGTATTCTACTCTACACTAACTCCACGTAATATGCAGTATATAACTTTTATGGCTACTGTAAAGTACCAAGTAGGAATAATTAATCACCCCCTAATCTCCCACAACCTGATCCGTCCCTGCTCATTACCCACAGCCAACTGCTCCGAGTTGGGCGAGATAGCCACCGACGAGATGCGACCCAGAGGCGTATTCGACGTCGGCCAATTGCGGTACACCGTGCATGTGGGGAGGTGAACTGTCTATCGTCAGCATTCTTTCTACACAGTCTATAATCAGGGAAGTTAGGGGATGAGGCTCACCCATTCTCAACGCATCGCGCTTCCACCGACTCGCCATAACGAAGAACTGTCCATCCGGCGCAAAGACCAAGTGGCTGATCGGCGTCGTGAGTTGATCGAGCGCCCGAACCGGCTCCGGGTTACGAGGAATCGCCGCCTGACCAGCCTCGACGTCTTCGCCCTGCGCCGCGTACGCCGCAGCCCATTCGCGACGATCATACACGTTGACCACACCACTGGAACTGCCAATCGCTACCCAGCGGTCCCCGCCCAGCTGAGTGCGGCCGGACCGACCACCCAGACTGAGCACCGTCGTGCCAACGGCACCGGCGTCCATCCAGCGCGCGACGACCCGGTTGAGACGGCCGTCCCATTCGGACACTTCACCGTTCTTGCTAGCCACTGTTAGACCCTCGCCGTCGCTCCACCAGGCGAAATCAGCCACGCCGCCGCGGCCGTCCACGCGCACCTGCGCGATCCACTGCGCTGTGCCGGAGTCCAGGATGTTGATAAGACCGCCGCCCTTGCGGGAGGTGCCGACCAGACCGACGTAGCGGCCACAGGGGGAGAGCTTGAATCGTTCCATGGACTTTTGCTCCTCTTTACGGTCGGCGGTGCCGTTGACTTTGTCCACCTTGCCGGTCTCCAGGTCCCAAATGTGGAAGTAGCGGCGACGGCCGGAGGCGAAGATGCGGTTGCCGGACGGCGGGTGGAAGGCCGAGGTGTGGATGGGGGTGTTGCGGATGTGGAACGAGGTGAGGAGCGGGTTAGGAGCCGGGGAGGAGGGGGAGATGTGGTGGAGGAAGAGTGTGGCTGCAGGTCCGGAGGAGAGGAGCAGCGGGTAGTTGGGGTGGAACATGAGCGAATCGACCGAGGACTGTATACTATGTTAGTTTGAAGTGACGCGCAACCTAGCAACAGAAAACATACCGGCTGGTCTTTGCCAACGTCCTTGAGACGCTGGATATCCACAACCTCCTGGCGCATCTTTCTGCGGCCGCCAGACGTCTTTTCCTCCACGTTGACAAGGTCCGTAGCGTTCTGGAGCAACTTAGCCAGCGGCTGCGTGGACGTCGGCTCCTCATCATCCGTATCCATCTCGTCCGCATCAGAATCGTCCTTCTGTTGCTGCTTCTCCGGGTTGGCCCAGTCGGGCATCGGGTTCAATTGCAAGTACTGTCTGCGCAGGCGCCGAATATACTCCTTTCCGCTAATGACATCCTCCGATTCCGCAACACGCAGCTTCCTCAATCTCTGGTGGCTCGCCAAGGAGATCGTAATGCGCTCATCGTCACTATCATGCCACAGCGCAGGCATGCCGGACTCCTCCTCACTGCCCTCTTCATCCGACGGCACGGCGGGCGCCGCCTCGCTGAGGTCCGTAGAAACCGGTCCGGCGCCAGAATCAAGGAAGAAAAGCTACCACAGCCCATTCGTTAGCATCCAGCAGAGTTACGGAAAAAAAGAGAAGAAAAGATAGAACAAACATCAGCATCATCCATCTGCGACAGATCCTTCACCTCATCCTCGTCTCCCTCCTCCGCAGACTCCTCATCGCTACTCTGACCCGCAAGTACTAAACTGCGATCCTTCTGGTTCTTCAACGCGCCAAGAAATCCCTCATCGTCGCCGAAGAGCAACGCCTCAAGCTTCCTCTCGGCATCGTCCTTCTCCGGCACCGAAGACTCGTCGGAGCTCGTTTCATCGTCGGACATGTCGATGTCGCTGGCTTCGCGAATGGGTTGGCCTGGTTCGAAGGGGGAGCGCGCGGCCGTTTTGACCTTCTGGCGAGACTTTTGCTTAACGGCCGCCTTCGGCATTGTGAGATAGGTATTCTCTGATTGATCAGAGTTTAGAAGAGAATTGAATGGGTGGATAGAGGGGGTGGTGTATATCGCAGAAAGCGAAGCCGACAATAATTTTCTTCGGCGGCCGGCAGATGTGGGCGGTGAGGGGTGCGGTCACTGCGGTACATTGTGCCTGGTATTTCAGGCAGAATTATCGAAGTAGGTTGCTACTCAAAAGGAACCTTAGAGGCGACCTTATAATTAATCATATTTTAGGCTATACGTATGCGTTGCTGGTGTATAACGCGCAGTAGACAAAACAAAAAGACATACAAACAGCTGAAGTAAAATCATGTACACGCCATCCTGCCAGAACCCTAAATGCACCGATCACTACTCCCATAGAACAATCACTGAGAATATCACCAAACGCCACATAACACACGTGAGTGGAGATCATATCAGTCCTTATGTTGGGACGTAAGCTTGGTGGACGATGACAAATCGCCATACTCGCCGTGACTACTACCCGATCTGACTGACGCGGCAGAGCTGTGCTCAACTTGAGCTGGATTGTATTCGGCGGACTCGAACCGGACTAGGTCCTCTTTTACAGTTTCCGGGCCATCATCTTTCCCAACGGAGTCATCCTCCGACTCGAACGATGCGTCCTCATCAATGCCCGCCAGGAGCGCATGGCGGTGTTCGTGGGTGTCATGCTCCGCCTCTTCGAGAGTATCCAGCATTATCGGCTTCTTGATGAAGGTGTCGATGATGTAATACTGTATCGCATTCATAATGACGGGGAAAAGCAGCATGACAAAGATGATCTGCACTGCCGTGTTGCCTTCCGTCCATCGGAGAGCCCAATCTCCTACTTTAACGATGAACGGCAGCAGCTGGATGAGGAAGAAGACGCAAATCTTCATCCCCAGCAGTCCCATGAAATATATCACCGATTGCTTGAACCACCATGAGGCGCGCGGTGGACTTCCGTAATTGCCAGACTCGATAGACTCCGGAGGATTGGCGAGGGGCGTATACGAAGCTAAGCGGTTGAGGAGGTGAAGGATGAAAATGAGGATCGGGATGCCTAGCGTGGTCTTGAAAACGAACCATGTCAGCACGTACCCCGTATAATGGAGCGTAGAGATAAGCTTACATCGATTCCCAGGTTCAATATGTAGAAGGAGCATGGATTCGGTTTGTATTTACTCCGGATCTCGAGCTGGCCCGCAGAGAACATAGACATGAGCAGATTGGCGAGGTGCAGCATTGCGGACCCAAAGACTTGCTTCGAGACATCAAACGCCCACACCTTCACTGGTCGCTGAGGTCTCTCCCGCCAGCGCTTGTAGACAAGTGATAGCAGCGCCAATGCTCCGAGCGCAGCTTGGACGAGAAGCGAAAAGGGCCCTAGGAGCCTGCATTCTCCGGTGTCGTCTCCATCAGTGGGATCTGGACCAGCTAGATGAAAAGGCACAGTTTGCATAGTAGGTGATGGTGATGGTGACGGCGTTATGGAGGTGGTGGAGGCAGTAGTCAGACTACCAACCGCCGACGCACCGACACCGCTACTAAGGACTGCGATAGCCGTTGTTATGACTAGCCCGGCAAGCGATGTGAAGGCCATGGCGGCGATGTTGCGTCCAAAATACAGATAAAAAGCAAAATCAAGGAGAAGAGGCTATTGCGAGAAGATATTGCAACGAGTCCGAGGAAGTTTCAAGGCCAAGCAGCTGGTGGCGGTGATAATTGAGGGGAGTCCAGTGACCTGCGGAGATGCAAGATGGCGGCGTGCCTATCTTGCGAGGGATGTCCGTGTCACGGGCATATGGCCGGGGCAGACTTCGTAGATGATGGGAGTGATTTCAACCAGAATTAGGGGCGCGACGGTGAATATAGACGAAGAAGGCAGGTCCTCCTTAACCAGCAAGGAACCGGAACCAGCCAGGGTCTCAGGGTAGAAGCTAGGAATTAAGTGGGTTTCATGGGAAGATGAGAATGGGGCGGAGAACCAGCCAGCCTTGAGTTATGAGGTCAGGACCAGCCCGAGAACTCGAAGACTCTAAAAACACCGCCCCCGCAGCTGGGCCTCACTAGCGCCCGCCAAGCTCCTACCCAGCGGTCCTGCAAATTATTGCCCCCCAAGACATACCCTGAGTCTGATGACCCTGACTATAATTTTTATGTATTATTTTTTGTTGTAGAATGATTACTAGTATTCCGGAATCGCGCCTTCAACTACTCGGCATTAGAGCAACCAAAATATACTACACAAATTTTGGCACATTTTTTTTGTCATTGACTTTTATCTGCACTAATTCCAGGCGCACAACGCCCACAGCATCCAATTGAGCATCCGGTAGCGATCCAAACCATTCATCGACACTTGTTTTCGCACTGTGGGGCGAAAACCTCGTCTGTCATGGCCGGCCAACTCCCGAAGTCACAATAGATTCCTCTTAGCAACCCGCGGAGGCATAATCCTCCGGAGGGTTTCCACAACAAGACCAACGCTTAGATCATCAGTCTCTCGACCTTGTCCTTGATGGTCTTGATCTGGCCCTGGAGGTCACTGGCCTCGTTGGTGGTGATACTGGCCGCAATCACGGGGCGGGAAACACCGGTAGCACGGCCGAGAGCAAGCTTGCTGGGCACGAAGACATAAGGGGTGTTCTTGTCCTCAGCAAGGAGGGGGATGTGGAGGAGGATAGCGAGGGGAGAGGTGTCGGCAGCGAGGATAACGAGCTCGGAGGTACCACGGTTAAGAGTCTTGGTGGCTGCAAAGACAGTTAGCAGACAGACAGACAATGAGTGTTCTTGAGGAAGCACATACCCTCGTTAGCACCCTTCTTCAGCTGGCGGTAGTGACCGGCCTGCTGGACAAGGTCCAGGAGGTTCTGGGTAAGGGCCTCATCGGCGAGGGGCCAGGCTATAGAAATTGTCAGTATATGGCCATGAGAAAAACGAGACCTGGGATGTGCATACCGGCAGAAGTCTCAGACATGTTTAAAAATGTGGGTTTAACGTGTGTAGCGGTCTAAAGAGGCTCACGCAAAGGATCACTGCCGTGTTGCAGATCTAAATGCTGGGGAGGGAAGGTGGTGATTGTAGAAGCAGAAGCGCATCTGGACTGCAGCGAAAAGAAAATCTTTAGAAGCCCGGTGGGTGGGGCTGAGTCATGACTATCCGCTCTAGGATTGGCCACAAAATTATGCCTTAGTATCAAGGCATTTACAGTGTTTTGTGGCCTTATGTATAAGGCACTAATAATGACTGCCGAATCCAGGCTGATCCCCTCCTTTCTCCAGCGCCTGTGCTCCAGCTGTCATCCAAGATCGACCCCCAGTGGATCAGATCAGTATACCCCAGATACTGGTCGGTGCAGTATTCAGTAGGTTAATAGTTAGTAGTTCATGCTCTCGTAGAATAAATCTGCTTCCGATCGTTGTATTGTTTTGCACATCTACCGGTAGAGCGCATGTGTTCCTTATCTACAAATACCTGGGTGTCTCTTCAGCCTGCTGTGTCTGGCTTCGGGTGCCCCTTGGCGCCTGCAAGCCAACTGTCTAGGATCACCGGGTGCTTGAGTCGTCAGATCCAGACGTTCCAAGCATGTCACCCCGATGCTGCACCTGCGCTATTGTGACAATATCATTGGCGCTTGGATCTCGCGGCTAACGAGGCCGGGAGTGGATACCATTAAAGCGAAGCTCAGCAGAGACATAAACTACCGCACTAGTTGGCTAGCCTTACGTCGGCACTTCAGGGGGTTTCTGTAGATACTTCACTAGTCAATGCACGATCTTCAGGCGCTTGATCCACCCCCATGCAAAATGACGGCCGTTGGACGATCGCTAGATTTCTGTCCACTTCTACGACTGACGTGGTCTCTGCAGTAGGCTAGGGTCAGTTCCCCCCTTGATCGGGGTCACTGGGAACATACTTTGTAGCAAGTCAAGTCAAAACTCCTGTAGTAAGCAGTAATCTCAGAGGGGGGTGCCGCAACAGCCAAAAGGTGGCCGGCGATCGAAATGATTATATTGGTAACCTTGGAGCCGGTGCAACAAGCACCGACCCCGGCTTGAAATAACCCATTCTGTATCATTCTCCTGAACAAAAAGCCAGGGTGTCATTCAACCCGCCGGCAACCCTTTCATACCCATGAATGAATAAGAGCCATCAAACCCATAGGAGAGAAAAACGCCAGAAACCCCACGACCAACCCAGGATAATACGCAGCCAGATGCCGGCAAAGGGCATGCAGAGAAAGCGAACAAAAGCAATCATCACGTCATTCTATCCCATGTTGCTGTTTGAGACGCTCCAAATTCTCTTGCCTTTCCGCCAAGTCCTCTTTCGACCTAAGCATTTTCTCAGGCTGGTGATATAGAACTAGAAAGAAACGAATGTCAGCCATTCGGCTTGTCTCCATATATTCTCTGCTTCGTCTCCCCTTGACACGGGGTTACATACCGACGAGGTATCTGTTCTGGAAGTTGAACCCATTGAGCTTATCGCATGCCTGTTTGGCGTCATGAACGTCTTCGTAAACCACAAAGGCTGTGCCCTTCGAGTTGTTGGCGATTCCCTGACGTATTTGGCTGGAAGAAACAGGAACAATTAGCCATTATTGACCAAGAAGTGGGTTGAACGTGAGTCATGCGCAGATTTACCGGATGGGACCAAATTTGCCGAAGAGGTCAAAGAGTTGCTCAGCTGTGACGTTGTAGCTGTAAGGAAACAATCAGGTTAGCTCTTGCATTCTGGAAGACGATGGGCGCCTGTCGCCTGCTGGCTGTTGGTCGACAGGTATGCGACGGATGGTTTGCGAGTCGAGGAACGAATCTTGGGAAATCATCGACGTACTTGAGGTTCTTTACAAAGAGAATCCTGAAACCGGTCAGCATCGATGCTTTAGATATGATACTTGCCCGGCTCGTAGGTTTGCCAGCCAACAACGTGCCGAACAAATGCCTGGAATTGAAAGATGGCGGGCGACCGAAGAGGGGCAAGATTCGGCGAGCAGAACTTACCGATTGGCTTCGGGGGCGAGCTTCCGGCTCATTCTCGGGTGGGACAGTATAGGTCCTAGAAATGGGGTCGGGAGAGGTTGAAGATGAATCAGATACCCAGAGGGCCTGGAGTGAGAGGTGTATAGAGAGGGAAGAGAGAGGGAGAGGAGAAGAGAGAGGGAAGCAATATCCGCGACAAGCACGAGGTTCGGAAGGGAGCCTGCCTTGCCTAATTGGGACTAGCGGCTGGGAGGAGCCTCACTTTGTTGGTTCGAGACAGACGACAACAAGTCCGAGGCATTGAGACCGACGGACGAGGTCAGGGGTGTAGAAGATGCTGTCGGAGATGGAGGGGACAGAGTGGAGATATAAATCCTTATTTACTCATAGTTAACCAACTTAAAAACGTTGTCTAGATGCTGCGAAACACCCCTTGGTATACTCCGGACTGCAAGTAGTAGCGCTGCTCTCCGGGATGCTCGCCGCAAACGATAGGTTAGGATAGGGAGTGCCGGCCTGAGGCAGACTGGCGGCGCGCCCGCTTTGCCTTCCTTCGACCGGCCGTCCAAGCAAAGCCTCGCGCCTCTCCTGCTCTGTTCCGGTGCAGAGCTCATCTTCTCAATCTGTTTTTCTGGCGCATTCTTTAATCGCTTGTCCTCCAGTATTCTTCATCATATCCTCCCGCTCCCTGATTGACCAGTCTAAGACATTTCTTTTTTCGCCCGCACCCGCCGCGGTGCATACTCGGGGCTCTCTCTTCCCGCCGCTCTCGATTGAACTCCCAGTCGGCAGAGACTCTCAACTTCCCCCCCTCAACCTCTCCGCCGTGCGACTCTCCTCCGTCACCCTCTCCTTCCACCACCCCACCATCTCCTCGGTTTCCTCTCTGATTCACTTTCCATCTCATTGTTTACTGTGCGCTCTCCAGTCTGCCAGGAATGACTCTCTTTTTGCCTGCGGTGGCCTCTCTTTAGCCCGTGTGGTCGAACATCCCCGCTTTGCACCCGTCTGCCGCAAGCACGCCTGTTTCCTCCTCCGGGCCCTTTTCTTTCTCTCCTTTCCCTCCGATTCCATCCTCAGATCACACGATGATCACTGCTACATCCTTTTTGAATCATATTGGGAGCCGACCGCCGCGGTATCGCACTCCCTCGCCGCCGCGACGCGCCGTCGAGCCTATCTCGCCTTGCTCAACCTCCGACCTCCGTGCATCATGGGTCGACCGCAACGTCTCTCGGGTTGCTGCCTCCGATCGCGACCACTTTGTACCTCACAATCCTACACTGCACCATCATGCTGATGAGACAGCTTCTCATCGCTCTAGCCATGGCCGCTCCGGTTCTACCATCGACGCTCTCGCAACGATCGCCCTAGCGACGAGTCCTACCTTCGCACCTCTTTCCTACCGACCTCCTTCTCAAAACTCCACCCCCGCCATGTCGCTATTCCCCTCCGAGCCCATCGAATCTACAGAACGCCCAAGCAAGCGTCCGCGGTCGGAAAAGGATCCCTCTCCATATACCCAACACCGGACAGTGGCCGTGTCAGATGCAAATTCTGCTTCGTTGTTTGATAGCATGAAGACAGACGCAGAGCTTTTGCTGAATCTGGCACGGCCCACAAACTTTCATCCTCCCTCGCATCCCGCGAAACGTGTCAGCATCGACGAGTCGTTTTATCATTATGGGGACGAACAAAAGCATCATGTCATGGCGGATTCGGGCGGCGCGAGCTGGAGGTTCAATGACGAAAAATATGCATACAATGCTCCCGGGCCCAACAACATGCCGTCTCGGGTGAGGTCACAGTCCGACGGTTCAGCTGCTATATCACGCCCGGTTATCCATGGCATGCGACCCAATACAAGCTCCTCCACTCTTCCACCAATTCTATGGCAGGAGGAAGGGGACGCTGAAAACGACTATTCACCCACAAAGTTCGTCATAAATGGTAGGCCGAGCGAGACACAAGCACAACTATCAATGCACACCACCAACATGGCACAAATGCCGATAGAGCATTCTTCCAAGATTGAAGATGATACGGAGGAGTCTAACCAGGCTAGCTGCGCGGCTTGCAATCTTGTGCGGATCCCGATGGACACTGGCGAGCAAGGCGACGTGACATGGATAAGCTGCGATGGTTGCAAACGGTGGTTTCATATTGTCTGTGCTGGGTTCAAGAGTGACCGCGAACTCCGAACAGTGGACAAATTTATCTGTCGAGAATGCCGTCCTATTTATGGACAGACTACGTTCGTGCGCAAATCTTCTCGCGCTCGCACAGCTATTGATTATGCCGGCCTCAACCAAGGGCTTGTCAAGGCCGCTACGGACTCTCTCGAACATCACTACATTGAACCCATCCGACAGGGCAAAATTCAGTTCCTACCTGAAAATTTCCCACGAATGCGTCCTGAGCTGGTCACTGCCGAGTATTTCGAGCGAGGCAATGGCATGACGGAACCAATTGTCATCCCTGCGGAGTGGAACACTCGCGAGTCCGTTTCGATCAGTGATTCCGAGTTTGACACTCTAGTACAAGAGGCGCCTACGCAAGAAATGTTCGACGAGCTGCTGGATCATATTGTCGAGCAAGAGGAAGGCTACGAGCAAGTGATAGATTGTGGCCAGGATCAGTTGGACATGGTGATTCCTGAAGGCCTTACCGTTCGAAGAGTTGCGGAGCTTTACGGACCGGAAGAAAGAGTCGAGGTCATTGATGTCAAATCGCAGCAGAACGAAGACAAGAGGTGGACAATGCAGAAATGGGCGGAATACTACGAGAGTACTGGCGACAAGGTTGTCCGAAACGTCATCAGTTTGGAAGTCTCACAGAGCCCATTGGGCAGGCTCATTCGTCGGCCAAAGGTTGTCCGGGATCTTGACCTTCAGGACTCTGTCTGGCCTGACGAACAGAAGGCCGTCGGCGACTGCCCGAAAGTCCAGTTCTACGTCTTAATGTCTGTCGCTGACTGCTATACCGATTTCCACATCGACTTTGGAGGGTCCTCGGTATATTATCATATTCTGAAAGGCAAAAAGACCTTCTTCTTCATCCCGCCCAAGGACAAGCACCTGAAAAAGTATGAGGAGTGGTGTAATTCTCCTGCGCAGGATTCCACCTTTCTTGGGGACCAAACCAAGGAATGCTATCGCGTGGATCTGTCTGAAGGCGATACGATGCTGATCCCCTCGGGCTGGATCCATGCCGTCTGGACCCCCGAGAACAGTCTTGTCATCGGTGGGAATTTCCTTACGAGGCTGAACTACGGGATGCAGATTAAGATCGCGCAGATCGAGAAGGATACCAAGGTTCCACGGAAGTTCAGGTACCCGTTCTTCCAGAAGATACAATGGTATACCGCGTTGCGATATCTCGAAGATGACCCGCTACCGCAGAGCGTTCTTGACGCCTTTGCGCAGGACGAAAACTACCGCTTCCACCGAGCGTATCCGATCTACTACGAATTCGGCGAACGGACGAACAATGCGCCTGCCGGGTCGCCTTATCACAACTCGCGCTTCTATTCTCAAGCGGAACTGGAAGGGCTACCAGATCTTGCAAAATACCTATATCACACTGCCCTCATTGCTGGCGCCTATCTGACGGAGGGCGTGACGATGGATACCAGGAATGCGGTCAAACGCTCGATACCTAAGATGTCCGGGGAGCCAATCGATGCCGTAAGGAAGTTTGGCATCTGGGTCGCCTGGAAGCGTGGCAATGAGAGGGCACCGCATTGGACCCGCCCTGGCGTGGCTGAAAGCAATGCGAAACTCAGTCTCGCGGAGAAGAAACCCGCCGGAAGGCCCAGCCGTCGCTCAGAGCGTAATGCCGAGAGCCAGCGCACGTACGCAGAAAGACAGGCTGTACAGCGGCTTCCAGAGCCGGCTCATGACCCAGCAACCGAAATGAGCAACAGTAGTGGCCCTAGTGGTCCGCTGAATGCCGGAGCTGCTATGCCAGACGGCCCGTCGAGCAGTGGCATCAAAGAAGAGCCTGCTCCCAAATCGCGCGCTGCACCCCGTGGCTCCGGACTGGGCCCTAAGCGCGTTGCCTGCGATGCCTGTCGCAAGCGAAGGATCCGGTGTCACCACAAGGATGAACATAACGACGGTATTTCCAGCAAGCAAACGGCCGTGACCGCTTTCGGCCCCAGCAACCATTCGTTAGCACACGACGCAGCGTCTGCGCTGAATTCACTTGCCGCTATTGCATCGGAAGCAGGCTTTCAAGACAATGGAAGTGGCAGGAACCCGGATCGGTTTGAAGTCGCTGCCAAGTTCAACTCCGCCATTTTGGGTACGCCGCGTGCACCGGTCAATGGACTCGGACTCAATGATGCCAGTCCTGAAGGCGCCAACACCGGAAAGAAGGGCCGCAGCAAGGCCTGCGACGACTGCCGGAAGAGCAAGGTTCGTTTTCTTTCTCTCTTTCTTTCTTCTTCTTTTTCCCTCTCTCTTTCTATCCAGTTCTAATACTAACTGACAACAGCGTCGGTGTATCCACGATGAGTACGGCCGTATTGACCCTGTTAAGGCGCAAGAACGAGCAAAGCCGCGCGCTGCTGCTTCTGCCAAACGGCCTCGTATCAACGAAGAAGGAACTGGGCCGATGATCAACAAACGGATGAAGCAGGAGAGCACATCGCCTACGTCGAGGCCGGCACATCTCAGCAACAATCGTGAAGCTGGTGCGCCGGGGACGCAAGATCACCTGTCCGATCATGCTCATGCAGCCGTGGATCTCCATGCCCCGTTCTCGGATGCGCCGCTGGCTGATAAAGACTCAAATCGGCAGTCGGGAATGACCGTTGGGGAAAAGGAAGCACCATTGGGGCCAACCTCCTACGCATCACCGCCTACGTTCCAGACTGACACGGTCGATGCGAAGGAAATAGATTCTGCGCCTGTCTCTAAGCCTACTGCCACCCTTGTATCACCGCCGACCTCACTGGCCGACGAGACCGATGTTCCTCAGGAACAAGCAGACGGAGAAGGGGACCATGTGGTAGTCCTGCACACACCAACCTCAAGTTCCCGGCACTCTTCGCGCCAACCGCGCCAGGTTGATCGGTACATGCCTGAGACGCATGTTTCCAAGCCGACCAAGGGGACGACCCATACCCCCACCGCCCGTCGTTCTTCGTTCGGCGGTTCAAGCGGTGGTGTGCGAAAATCCACCCCAGGTCCTTCTTCAGGCTCCAAAAAGTCCGCATCACGCCCCTCCTCGTCCTCGCATGCCAAGAAGAGTTTCTGGTCAACCGACGAGAAAAAGGGCGACCGGCACTCTGCGACGTCAACATCTCCTGGGCAGCCGGGCAAAAACCCTAAGCGGGTTGCGGACGAGGAGCCGGATGCTGAGAGCCTCCGCTTGATCCGTGAACTGCAAGAAGCCGAGTTCGGGCTACGCAAGAGATCCACACGAGTGTGAGGGCGAGAAGGCAGCAGCGGATGAGTTTCATGTTTTTCACCATTTTAGACCACCTAGATCGGGCAACCGGAGAAATTAGGTTTGAGACGATCGGATTCGATCAATTGGCAGTGTTTCCTGGGATGTGGAGTTTGGTAGGGAAGGGAGTCTGCTGGCGATGATCGGTTTGGCTTGGTCCATCGATATGCTTTGGCCCTTGATTATTGTGATTCCCTTTTGGCGTCTCGTTATTCGGCCGGCTTTTGTTTCTATGTACCGGGATGTTTTGTTTCTTCTTTTCATAATCTGTACCTGGCGTTGTTCATGTGGCGGTTGGGGAGTTTTCGACCAGATCGGTCTGTTCGTTCCTTTCCTGGGATTCCCATTTCCTTATCCTTTCTGATTTCCCATTCGATATCAATTGCAGTTCTAACTCTGGCTCCGACCCTGGGGTCGGGTCACATCTTTTTACCTCTTCCCATCGTTCCTTTTCATCATTCCTTTGCAGTATTCTTCTATTACTATACCAGTATACCTAGCTCTGCTTCAGCGTTTACTCTGCCTCTGTCCCGTATTTCCTTCATCTTTACATTTTGGCAAGTCCTGCTCTGGTTTTCTGTTTTCATCTAGGTACTAGCCAGCTGCTGTGCCTGATTTGTTTGCTAATCACTGGATCTCGTGTATGTCTATCGTACTATCTACCTTTGTCGTAATCCCGCTAGGCAGTACTTACATCTGTTTCTTTTGAACCCGTACTGAGCGGTGATTTATGTAGAACCGTAGCGTCGTACTATCCTTTCCATTGCGCGGTAGACGCGCACGTGCGTTAACGAAGGGTTGGTAGTAGGGCTACAGTAAATTAGGTTGCAACAGGCATGACCTCTACAAAGACCCCTACACCGCGACAATGGAGAAACTAACGTTATACCTATCTATATCATGCATACTGTAAACGAACAAGGAAGAAATAACATCACTTACCCCCCCCTCAAGGGCTCTTCATCCCCCTCCCTCCCATCATGATGATTAAGAGAAGGGTCATGATGCTGATCGATAACCTCCTGCTCGAATTGCCTCTCAACCATAATCGTATTCATCCCCCGCATGGGCTGCATCTCCGTATCATCATCGTCATCATCCATGCTCTTCAAAGCCAAGATCTCAGAGCGATAGCTATTCCCGGCCCCGCTGCCATTATTCAGCTGAAGCCAGGTATTGTGATGGTTGTTGGCGCTGGACTTCGTTTGGCGCTGGGTGGATGAGGGGTGTGCGCTGCGTGAGCCGTGGGTGCGAAGAGTGCCCTTTATGCTGCGGAGTACGGCAGCCAGGGACTTGTAGATTATCGGGAGGTTGGCGCAGAGAATGCCGCCGAGGGGTTCCCAGGCGGAGAGAATGCCGAGAGGGACGCCGGCCCCTGTGTTTAGGTGAGTGGGCTGGGGTGGATGGAGAAGAAAAAATGGTGGTTGGCTTACAGGTGTAGTCGGAGGAGCCCTGGGTGACTACGACGGTTAGTCGGGCTGCGCTGATTGCGCAGGTTCTGGATGTTTGTCAGCTACTTAGAAGTTCTTAGGTACTATGACTGAGTACGTACGCTAAGCCGACGGAGAAGAGCAAGCTGAGGCCTATTTTCTTGTTTTTCGTGATCTGGAGGTGTAGGATGATGGGTAGGGGGAGGAGAAAGATCCAGATGTCAGTGACGAGGTTCGCAATGTTGGTGAAGTAACTGAAAGCGACAAGGTTGAAGCATGTGCCTTCAACGCTCGAATTCCAGAATTTCGCGATCGGGCGACACTCCAGCCCTAGGACAATTTCCATGGTCATGAGCCATAGAATTACCCAAACTACGGTTAGGATGATGACCAGGCGGAATTTCGGGGTGATGAAAATGCGATAATATAACGCCAACACGGAGAGCTTGGTGCTGGCGATGGCAACGTCGTAGAAGTGACTGAAGATATAGTCGCCCTACCATGGAAGTCCCGGATCCGTCAGCCATATGAAGGTGAGTGTCGGCTTGACTTGGTTATTTCCTTCATACCATCATGAACGTTTCGACTTCCTTGGTTGGTAGAGCGGCGACATGTCGACCAAACCCATAGGGAGGGCCTGCCGTGAGGTGGATTGTGGTTAGCTACACGGTCCAGAGATGTCAACGGGACGGGCCGGTCAAGCGCACCGTAAACCAATCCACTGACGCAGACGCCAACACCGATGATCTATATGGAGACATTCGAGTCAGGACGCGCCCTTAAGACACAATTATCCGATAAATGGCTCACCGTAGCCCAGATCATCACGTAGTCGTCAAAGGTCAAGCCATGCTCTGAGGAAGGCCGCAGTTTGATCCAGAGTCGCCACACGGTAGTCAAGATCTCAACAGGGATCGGGACCGAGTATGCCACCGTCACCTCGGTCACACGCGACTGTGCCAGGTATGCCGCTGAATAGTTCGCCCCTGCAGAGCTCATCTTGGGCGGCTACAGCATCCAACCGTAGGACTGTATCGCAGCAGCAGCCGCATCAGCAGCAGCAGCAGAATTCTCTGAGTGCCTTCCATTGTGTTTTGTAGGTGCTGCTGGCCTGCTTACGGTGGGTCTGGTAGGCCCCTTGCCCTTGGTTTCTTCAATTATTCATGCTGACAGCCTAGCCAGACTATCCTATCGGCAGTCAGCCCAGCTCGTGTGAGATGCCTGCTGCCAAGGAGAGCACGAAGGATAGACGAGGCGCTCTAATTGCGGTTTTTGGCCCCAACGCTAAGTTTCGGAGATTGAGCGAGTCATCCTTCAGGCAGTTGAGATAACGGACTAGCAGGCATTGTCCAGTAGGAAGAACCGGCGAGTTAGTTGGAGTCTAAACTCGATGGCCGGTACAGAACGAAGCATCGGACCGGCCACACGTGCTAGCCCCGTGATCGAATGGCGGCCGCCCAAATTGATTGCGGTCCACTCGCAATCCGCTCTGCTGCTCGCCTGCTTCCCACCGCTGCTCCGTCGGCTTGAGCCCGTCGTGCCATGCTATCCCAAGAAGTATTAAGTGCTGACTTAGTACCTCGCTGGCTTACACCATGCGCTAAAAAGCTTGCCCCTGAGCTGGATCTGGGCTCGGACGCACTGCCGCTTAATTGCCGTTGGTAGGACTGTCCATCCCTGCTTCTTTTTCCTAAATTTAACTGTTGTTCTGCAGGGAACCCGATTCGCTGAGCCGCCAACTTCATCTCACAGTCTCTGGTGAAGATGAAGCCCGGGTATTGCTTGCTGCTCGCTGCCAGCGCGGCACTCTCCTGCGCCAGCCAGCACCCCATCGTTGATCTGGGGTACGCGATCTATCAGGGCTCTTACAGTACCGCTTACGACTTGAATGTGTGGAAGAGGTATGTCTGAAACACGCCCCATTTGACCAACCGCGAGATAGTCTATGTTGTGGACATGGTCTGATCTAGCACCCAGTATCCGGTACGCAGCTCCCCCAGTGGGTAAACAGCGTTGGCAGGCGCCTGCACCTCCATTGCAGAACAACAGCCAGATCACATTAGCCGTCGACCAGCCCCCCGTCTGTCCTCAATCCGGGGCGGCAAAGACACCGTACATCTACGGCTTTAACTCGGGGCCTGGGGATGAAGACTGTCTGTACCTGAATGTCTATGCCCCCCCGAATGCGACGGACCTGCCCGTCCTGCTATGGATCCGTAAGCCTATCAATAACTGTGTAGCACCCTATATTCTAGCTAACTGTAATGCTCGATCGACAGACGGTGGTGGCTATGGGCTCTTCGGTGCCACCTATGACCCCAGCCCAATGATGAACACCAACAACAACGGGTTCATCACCGTGGAAATCCAGTACCGTCTGGGAGCATTCGGTTTCCTCGCCTCCGAGGAGGTCAAGGAGCACGGTGTGACGAACGCTGGTCTTCTGGACCAACGCTTTGCCATCCAATGGGTACAGGAGCACATTGCCAAATTCGGTGGTGATCCTAAGCGTGTGACCATTGGCGGCGAGTCCTCAGGCGCCGGAGCAGTCATGCTGCATGCGCTGGCATATGGGGGTCAGGAGTTCAACCTCTTCAATAACGTCCGTCTCTCTCAATTCTCACCTCGGAACCGAACTGACAGTCTCCGCATAGATCATCGCTGCGAGCGCCTACTCACCCCCAATCTTCAACTACCACGACCAGGTACCAGAGCAGTACTACACAGACTTTGCTGAAGTGGCCGGCTGCGGATCGAACTCCACTGCCATCAAGAACTACGCAACCACCTTTGACTGCCTGGTAGCAGCTCCCAGCACTCTCCTGCAGAATGCCAGCGCCACCGTCTCCACGTCCGGACTATTCGGCACATGGGCTTTCCTGCCGGTCATCGACGGCGAGCTGATCCAAGAACGGCCCTCTGTGCAGCTCGCACAAGGCAAAGTGAGCGGCAAACGCATTCTCATCGGCGTACGCACCCTCCAATTCCTTCACTTTCTCCCTAGCTCCACTAACAATCTATCACAGAACAACGCCAACGACGGCGTCCCCCTAAGCAACCCCAACGTAGTCACCCGCCCGGCATTCAACTCATACATCTCGTCCACCTTCCCCCTCTTCACCTCATCCGACATCGCGCTCCTCAACGAAGTCTACCAAACCGCCAACAGCCGACCCGCCGATAACAGCCCCCGCTACGACACCATCGGCACTAGCGGTCCCACGGCCATCAACCAATCCGAGATGGCAACAGGCCTCCAACAAACGGTATTCAACATCTACGCCGAAACGACCTTCGCGTGTCCCGCGCAATGGCTCGCCGACGCCTTCAGCCAAGAAGACGACACCCTTTCCTGCTCCGATTCCCAAACTCCTCGTCAAGCCTGGAAATACCAATACTCGGTAACACCCGCGTACCACGGCGCCGACCTCTCCGCGTACTTCAGCGCGGACGCCACCTGGCCCGATAAGGGATTCAGAACGGCTTTCCAGAAGATGTGGGGCCAGTTCATTATGGCTGATAATCCTGTGATTTCGATGGAAGATGCCACGGCTGGGAAATTGAATGCGTCGGTTCCTGTTGCGAGGTTTGGTCGTAAGAATAGTCATGGTAAGAACGGGACGAAGATGCTTGATTGGCCGAGTTATTCGCCCGAATTCCCGGTTATGATGGATTTGAACACCACGGGGGGGTACTTGGTTCATGATGTGGTGACGTCGAACTTGTCATATTGGATTCGGGAGGGAGATGGGGTTGTGAACCATTTTCGGTTGGTGAATTCGTCTGCTTGGGAAGGGGGAAGAGGGGCGAGGTGTGATTTCTGGAGGGAGGTTTCGGAGAGGGTACCTCAATAGAGATTCATGTCTCGAGAGGATCTCTCTTCGCGAGTACTGGGTTATTTTCATTGTGTACGCGCATATAGACTAGAGATAGAGTGTATGTATATAGTCATTCATTGAGTAGAGCTACTTGTTCACTAGGGAATGAGTAAAGCATGTGGCACACCACAAGTCAACCATGTAGAGGGGAGATTATAAACCAATCATCTATTCGTATCGCTAGACTCCTCGTATCTGACCGTAACTCGTCCAAATTAAATGCAAACTGCCAGAACACCATCATACGGCTCCTGGTCCGTGTCCAAAACTGTCATGATATGTATAGTGGTGTAAGGATATAAGGTAGGGTCATGTAACTCGTCCATCATGGGTTTGAGGGGGAATCTAGTCCCAACATGCGCCAGTGGTCTATGCAGTCGACCAAGGAGATGTAAAGAAAAAAGGAAAACGCCAGGGTATATCCACATGAGATAACACCGGAATAAGCAAATGCGCACAAAGAATAAGATAACGATACGAGGGGAAGTCGGGAAAAGAATAAGGATAAAGTAGGAATAGGTTCCGACCAGCATGGAGTGCACAAGTGCGGAACGATACCTCATGTTGTGTGCCACGGCTGGGGTTTGTCAAACAGCCAAGGGAGGACCCCCGTCTAGTCATGTTCTTTCTCATGTTCAGGCCGAGTACCCGCCCAGCGTTTAGCCCGCTTTTCTTCCCCAATGTAGTTCTTAATGACACAGACTTCCTCATCCCGCTGCTGACAGACCTTGTGGCGGTTGAGGTGCTTGAATCGCGGTCCCACTGGGCCGTTGACATAATGATACTGACCTGCGAATCGATACTGTCGCTGGTCACCTAGCGGATAGAACTTGTCGCCCCAATGGCCGTTGAAGTAGAACCACTCGATAGGGGCACTCGGGGTGGCGGTGGATGCACGAAGGGCATCCTTATCATAATCGTACGTATAGGCGTGGGCGTTCAGAAGAGGGTCCCACAGGGGACCGCGGTCGGTCTGATCGTGCAGCAGGCCCCAGGGCAGGATGTAGGCATGGATGCCCGGGGTGGCATACATGGCATGGGTGCCCATGGCGGAGTAGATCACGGGCTGCCAGGGATCCATGGTTAGCGTCGGGAATCCCCTGGACGGGCGGGAGGGGAGCAATTTATATCTCGACTTACCCGCTGGCCGATCTTTTCCACGGCCTCGTAACTGTATGCTTCTCCCGCCGAGTGCGCGCTGAAGAAAAGCGCCTTGGGCTTGCCGTCGTGAAATCGCACCAGACAGTGCTCCCAGTCACCCACATGGTTCCCGAACCGCACGTTCAGCACTACGTTGCCCAGATTGAAGCTGTAAAAATAGAACCAGAACGCATCTACGACGCCGTGGCCTTTGTCCATCACCAGCAGAATTGCCGGAGCATTACTGCGCCCGCCAGTCTTTTCGACGTGGATGGGCTCGCCGCCGAACCGTTTGCGCAACTCGGTTCGGACATCCTCGTCCGCGAGGTCCTCCGGGCGGAGATAGCCCAGGTCTTCAGGAGACCAACTGTCATCCTCTCCCTCCGATGATGAGAGACGGCCGGTGTCATACCACTGGGAGCGTTCCTCTGGCGTGTCCCCGGGAATAGGCCCGTCTATCCGGCCATCCCAGTCGGGCCAAGACAGCTCAAGGTCGTCATCGGGATCTTCAGGAATATTCTTCTCGCCCTCAATCCATGGCGGGCGATCCTCTACATTGTCGTTGCTGGTCAGATATACGTACTCACCCTCCTGCCACTCGTTCAGCTGATCGAGGTTCTGCAGGGTGGGATGCTCCTCATCCGACTGAATGGGGGTGTAGTTCAGCATCGGGGTGACGTGGTAGAGATGTTCGGCAATGTCTCCAGGCCAGAACTGTTCATGCGAGGACAAGTAGACCAACGGTGCATACTGGAAGACATACTCCGGAATTTGCCGACGCGAGCGTTCGGCTTCATCCCATGCGGGCTGCTGGGAGTCATTGAATTGCGCATCGCGCCAGGCGGCGTAGTGGGCCTCGCTTTCGGGCGACCAGGGTCCCAGAGTGGGCTCGCGCTGGCCGTAGCGGGCCCGCACCAGGCGGAAGTGGGCGGTCCCGCACATGCCGAGCCAGCGACAGGCCTTGCGATCCAGCCAGGACGGCGAGGAGGCAATCCAGCTCTGCTCGTCATGATCCTCAGCATACCAGACGAAAGCCGACGGGTTCACGGCCCGCGCGGCGCTATTGATCAAGACATAGGCGATCAATGAAGCGAGGGTGACAATGGCAACCTTGGTGGAGCGAATCATCTGCTGCGCGATGCCGGGAGAAGCTTCAAGATCGGAGGAATTGGAGCGCGACGAGGGAGACACCACTAACCCGGACTGATCACCGGGAGTGGAAGTGGTAGAAGGGGGGAGTGTGACCAGATTCCCAATCGGGACAGCAGAGGTAGGAGGAGCTACAGCGGCCAGGCTGTCGGCCAAATCGGTCACGGAGAAATCCTCGGGGGAATTTGCAAGAGGATGAGAGGCATCCGAGCCGAGGGGGGAGGGATGACAGAGCGACTGCGACAGCAGAAGCAGCAACAGCAGCAGCAGCAGGGAGGAAGAAAAGCGACCGAGCCGGGCATTTGAGCCCGGAAGTAAAGGAAGCGGAGGGGACACTATAAGAAGCAACAGCGGGCAGGCGCGATGACATTGTCAGTCAGCCGGTAGGGTCGAGAACAGCAGGAACGGGACTCGGAAGGTCAGAATGATGGTACAGAAGGGGACAGAATTGGGTAGTGATTGGCCATGAGTAATTGGTCATGATGGGACGATTTGGTAGGGCAGACAAACAGCAGGGCCGCGGGACGTGATAGTGGATGCTTAGGGCTGAAGGGGGGGAGGGGAAGAACAGGGAAATTCGGGCATTGGAGTCGCCGAGTCCAGCACAGGAATTTGCTGGAAGCAGCAAGCATAGAGATTCGGCTCGCACGGAAGCGGATTAGATAATGGATGATGAGGCACGAGTCCGAATGGGAAGACGACGGATGCAGCTGGTTTGGTTGGCTTCCGCCGGTTGCCGGATCGTCATAGTAAAAGAGAGAAAGAGAGAGAGAGCGAGCGAGCGAGACCGACGGTGAGGGAGTGAGTGGGAAGTGAGAGGGGAAAAAGCAGGACGGAACAGACGGAAGAAAAGAGGGGCCATTGACTGAATGAATGAATCAGGTGGACTCACTGATCTTGGATGGATCAATTGGGAGAAGAATATTGAATAATGATGAAAACTGAATTAGTAGTTTACTGTGCCTTGGTGTACAGTGTACTGTGGACTATCTAGATGGAATGGCCGAGTTCGCACTGCAACCGGATTGGAATGACAAAGAGAGTTGGTGATGATGCAAGAAGGGGGGGATGAAGTCATCCGGTCGATCATCCAGCAGGGACTTTCACAGCTGCGGTGGATGCAGCAGGGACAAGGACAAATAACCCCGTCAGTCAAGCTGGAGCTTGAACTGGAACTGGAACTGGAGCTGATGGAGGAAAAACAAGAAGAAGAAGGGGATTGAAATCGATGGATCCTCAGGGTCGCAAAGTCTAAGGGTTCAGTCCGTCAGCTCAGCCTCTCATGGATGCCTGAAGCGATGACAAACACGATAGTCAGCAGGGTCTTCTTCTGCCTCTTCTGCTGCATTCTATCCAACTAACAATTAATGCAGAGCAGTTATGGGAATCATGGATGATGACTGGCTCCAACAGCTTGCAGTGGAGTGATTCACCGCCAAGTCTGGATCGTCGGGCGCCGCCGCGGTTTAGTTGCCGCCCTGCCAATCAATCCAATCATTCTCTCCCAGCTCGATAATTCTACCATCATCATATCACTTTTAGTTGCTCACGGGTTTATCACCATCTGCATCCATGGCCCTCCCCACTCCCTTAATGCTGGATCCAGCCATGCTGGCGGATTCCAGCCTGGTCCACCCCGAAGACGATGATGATTCCGAATATGAATACGAATATCATCCCACCGAGACAGAAGTTCGTCCCTCACCTTGGCAAGTCTGGCTAGCATCCTGCCTTGGTTGCGATGCTGACAAAGTCTCAAATCTCACCATCACTAGACTGTCTATCTGACTCTCGATCTCACCTCCCTCCATGGTCCCATCCGCCCCCCTCGACGCCGACAACCACAAGATCCTTCCTCCCTCCCCACCTCCAGTCCATCCACGCCTTCCCATAGTCAATATCACGATGACCAACCCGACGCCGCCCTCTCCAGCACCGAAGCTGATCCCAACAACCCCTCCATCGCCGACCGTGTCCAAATCCTAGGCCTTCACACCCCCAACCCCATCATCTCCTATCAGAATCAAATCTTCAGCGGCACCTGGGCCGACCAAATCGGTACCGAGTTACTCATCGCCCGTCCCGAGGACACATCCTCCTCACCACCGCACGATGCAGACCCTTCCTCCTTCACTAGTAGTAGTAATCCAGTCCCTCCGCTCCGCCACACGCCAAACTACGACCTCCTCGCAGCCAACAGCGTGAAAATCCTCGGTCGCAAAGCGAACCTCATATCCAGCTCATCCTCCAACGTCTACGCTGCGGATTCTGCCGCTGCAGAACAACCCAGTGAAACCCCCACCACTGGTGTAATCCGTAAAAGCGCCCCGCAAACCAATCAAGCACGATTTTTAGACCGCCTCGCCAGCCTCAAACGCAGCAAAGGCGAGACCGATGCTGTGCGAACAACATTTAGCACAAAGCGGATGACGAATCTGGAGGATCGGCTACGTGGTTGGGCTCGTACCGATGAACAGCTGGCGCAGATTCAACGGTTGAACGAGCTGGCCTTATCCGGGGATGCGAACGCCATGGCGGAGCTGGAGGGACTTTATTCGCGGTTGGGCGGACAAGATGATGAGGAAGAGTTGGATGAGAATGAGGATGAGCTGGGACAATAGGAACTTTCTACTTCGTATCTCAATCTTAATCTCGCGGGCTTAGTTTGGTTACAAATAGGTTAAGCTAAGCTAAGCTAAGCCCAAATGCTTGAGAGGAGTGAGAGTGAGAGTTTCCTATCAGTGGAAATATGCTTCCGCGATACGAAACCACACACTGAACTTCGACTAAAAGAAAAGGATCAATCATAGTACTTATGGAACATGATTGATCTAAGGATGATCCAGACCCGACCAGACCTGACCTCCGGAGCGGATAGGATAGTCACAAAAGCCAGGTAACTGAGGCAGGCACGTCACGTGCCCTTGGCTTGAACATCCGATGCTCCGACCGATCGACCGAGGTCAGGGTGAACGACACATGCGTTCGTCCCACCGCAGAAATAAGAACTGTTCGGGCCGGGAGAAGCTTGCCAAAAGAACAGATCACTCAAGTCAGAATCCTCGGCGGGAAAGTTTCGACCGACCTGAATAGGGCAGTTGATGCGCGTTGTACGAACCGGTTTGCGGCGCAATGGCGTCAGCGGGATTCTTTCCTTAGCAGCTGCAAGGTACATCCTTGATTTGATGGTGAATCTTGGTTATTATTATTTTGGTAATCCCTGCATGTGATAGCGTCGATTTGATGCAGTAGATGGATTGTATCATACTTGGTTATATACTATAATGTCCTGTGTATACTATACTTCTTATGATGAAGGAGATACCAAATTACAGTAAAGACTCTATCATTAGGATCGAGTAATAGTATACACATCTATTCCCCTGTAACTTCAAATAACAAATAGCTAGCTAGCTACCCAATACAAAGACCTAGATAATCAAACCCGAACACAGAGACAAAATAAACCCATCAATCACACATCACCAAACACCCAGTTCCGTCCATCCATGAGATGCAATTATCCAAATAAAACCAAACCAACGCTAAACCCCATCCCATGAATATCAATTCAACAAAAAATAATAGAAATGGATCAACACCCATCACACCCATTCCCTAATGAACCTAACTTCATCCATATAAGAGAGGAATTCAAGCCCAAAACCTCCTCATCTCCACGGGCGAAGGAGGCGGTGGTGGCGGCAGGGGGAATTCCCAATCTAGGGGTGATTTCCCTTCTGTGTGATATGATGGTGTTGATGGAGAAGTAGGATGTGTAGTGGTAGTGTCGATGGTGATTGCCTTGGGGATATGTGTTGAGGCGGAGAGGATGGCGCGGGAGATGGTATCTTGGGAGAGAGGAAGGGAGAGGTGAGGTCTCCGTGTTGATGTAGATGTAGATGTTGTTGATGTGGATGTGGATGGTGGAGTTGGACAGCGGGAGGGAGACATTTTGTTGTTGTTGTTGTTGTTGTCTGTCTTCACTTTTTTCAGTGGAGGAAGGTCGGAAGATAGGTGTGAAGTTGTTGGATGTGTAAAGAAGTAGTAGTATATAGTGATCAGGAACAGAGATTATATACTAGTGAGGTATGTTCCTAGAGTAGTAGATTCATGTCAATGATCTGTGCCCTGCATGTGCATATGTAGAACATATATATAGCCGAGAGGGAAGAAGCAAAGAAGAAAAGAAAAATATCATATGTGATAATGGATGGGATGTATGCCGATATAGATCCTCCGGAGTAAAGATATCTTGTGGTTTGCTCCGAAAACCGCCGAGGTAAAATGAATAGATCAATGGATGGATGGATGGATGGATCCAGTTAATTGCTCATGAGGGTCCTCAGTCCCTCCTCTTAGCCGAGGATTATGTCCGTGTTGTATTGATTGTGATGGTGTGTTGTGCAAGGGTAAAAAAAAAAGGAAAGAGGGAATAATTGGCTTACCTCTCTCTCTCTCTTTTTCCTTTCTCTTTACTATTGTCTGTGTATTCTATAGCTTGGTTGTTGGTGCTGACTATAGTGGTGGATGGTGGATGGTGATGATTTATAGAAACTGCCTCACTTGTACAGAGCAGAGTGGAGAGATATAAACAAAAAAGTACCAGGAACCGAGTACTCCAAGAGAAAAGGCAAGTCTGAAGAGAAAGGATGGAAGAAGAAACGCAGGCAGAGCAAGAAGAAATACCCGCCTAAAATACCTTTCCTTAGTTACCACCACTACGACTCAGGTACACCTACCACTCTACTAAGCAATAAATAGCTACGTATTACCGAATAAAGGAGAGCGAGAAGGAAGGATTGGATGGAAGGATACATCCACCATCCCTTCCCGTTGCGAGGCGAAACCGACCAAAAAGAAAAGAGAAAAAAGAAAGTGGAAAAGAGAAAAAAGGAACAACCGCCTCACCCTTCCACCCTCCCCGGAGTCAGGCTACGGCAGATGGACCCAGAAAGTCGGGTCCAGGCCAGAACCACACATAACGATGGGAATACTACTACCCCAACTGCTTTGCTACGTCTGGGCAAGGCGGATGGTATGGTAGGACTGAGTGGGCATGCTTGGACGGAAGGACGGAAAGACGGAAACCGTCCCGGGGACTGAAATGAAGGAATGGTTTGACTTTTTTTTTTTTTTTTTTTGGGCTGGGGAAAAGAGCTCAGCCCGGAGAAAGACAAGATGGGGATGGATGGGGATGGGGATGGAGTTGGGGGTGGATTTGGGGAAAGCAAACCAGATGCACACTAGACTAGTTTACTGTTACGTGTGCAGATGTGGAGAAAACAAGGGTCAGTTTCTGACTAGTTCAATGGCTGGAGCTACTTCATGTGGTTTTAGAAACTGTTCGACTCTGTTCTCCATACTTACCACGACTACGGAGTACTTCCCTCATACCTTTTCTTTCTAGTGATCGACTTCGGGGCATTGAGCCTGAGTTCCGGGAAAGGCAGCGAGTAATACTAGATAGTTAAAACTAGTGTAGCTGCTGAGGAAGAAAGCCCGAGATTACTCCATCGTGCAGAATATCCGTTTCCATTCTAGATACGTGATTCAATACTCATTAGGGAGGTTTCAGTGGCGACTTATTACAAGTACTGTAGGATGGATGGAGCATGAATGGATCAGACCACGCAATCCTTCATGATGAATGATGTGATCTCTCATCCCCCCATGCCTTGGACACCTCACCTTCTAGAAACACCACTAACAGCACTAACCAGTCCTACAGAAGTACGAATTACGACCAAGTACTACTTTTTACCTCTTCAGATTACCCCACCAATCCTTCGATCCATCCATTCATCCCACAGGATTGCTATTTCCATTTGCTCCGTGGCAAAAAAAGAACAACACCCCAAACCCACCCCATCCAACTCATTTCAGTAAAAGCCCTGTCAACACCAAGCAACCCCTGCTTTGTTTTACTACTACCACAGCTTCATCTTGCACCCCCCCCCCCCCCCCCCCCCCCCCCCCCTCCCCCCCCCCCCCCCCCCCCCCCCCCCCCCCCCCCTGGATTCATTTCCAACCAGCCAGCCAGCCATCCAGCCAGCCAGCCAGCCATCGCAACGTAATCACCCAAATAACTTACCTACAAAGTACTACTCCATACATACTATCAACCCAACTACTTTTTACAAACATGGAGACCTCCACAATTACCCCATCCGTCCCCCCCATCCATCCCTCGTACCCGAACTCTCTCTTCGTGTAACACAAACAATCCCCAAGAAAGTAAGTGAGCAAGCATCAAGTACTTAAGTATAGAAATAAATAAAGAAAAGAAAAAGATACGAGGTATCTAGATACTCCGAAGCTCGAGCGAGCATCATGCATGCTCCTTCACGAATAAGCTCGACCCAACCTGCTGGTCAAGTTACTCCGGATGGAATGGATGAACCATTTCCCACCCCTATCATGCTATGCCCCGAAAAAGCATATAGTCAGTGCCACTAAAAGTACTATCTACTAGTCATGGAGTTGCATGATCGGCTCTACATGTATGTGTCTATCTCCACATTCCAATCCGGGCTTGCGAGGCTCTGTGCGTTGTTGGCTGGATACGTAAGTATGGGGTAAGTATCTAGCAGCTATCACTCCTCCATAATGTTGTAGAAAGTTATGTGGAAGTCAGTCAGCTGCGCCAGGTTGCAGTGGCTTGAGTGATGGCGTTGGTGCAGTGACTTGGGGGAATTCTTTACATACCCCCTATGTTGTATACTAGATGTTAATTAATGCATGAGAATATATGTGATTTATATCGTCTGATAGTAGTGCAGAGTTTATGATGATAGTGGATTGAGGATATCCTTGCCAAAGTGGCATCTAGTGAAGTTCTACAGATACTCTCCATAGTTAAGCCAAATATTTAAAGTAAAAAAAAATTGCATTGCATTATACAAAACCCGCCCAACCCGTTTTAGCCTTAATCCTCTCTGCCCATCTCTGATTATCTATACATAGTTACAACAACACCCCCCCAGGAGATGAGATGAGACATCCCCATCGTCGACCAACGCCAAACGCCTCGCAAACCGAATCAGTCAAAGCATCATCACCCCTTAGTAGCATCATTCCCCCTAGTCCTCAAACTTCCGCTTCACTCCATTACTCCCATTAACCTGCGCCGTACTGCCGGGTCTTCCCCGCTCCGACATCTGCGCCTGTCGCTTCTTCCACGCCGTCTTAATCGCCGGAGCTACCCGAATAAGATCTTCCTCCGTCACCCGGTCCTGAATACTCTCTAGCACCTTCTCCACCGTCGAAATATGATTCGCGTCCGCCTTATCATCCCGAATGCGATGGAACCGCCAGCGACCCTGCTCATCCTGAGCGCACTCCACAATCGCATCGTCCAGTGGCTGCTGCAACGCCTTCATGTTCTCCCACTCCTCTGGCGAGACATACATCTCCCCGAAGGGGCGGTACTCATTCGAATTGAGCATAACAAACAGATGAAAGATAGGCAAGGCATCATAATCGTAATACGGCTCCGTAACACCCTCAGCCTCATCATCCGAATCCGGTTCCAGCAGGGGAAACTCCAAGCGCATTCGAAAATCGATAGTATTCTCACTGGGCGGCTTCCACTTGAGAATATGTTCATCCGTACCGATGCGATAGGGGGTACTCCGACAAGTAAAAATCAGACCGTCATTACCATGAATCTTCTTCACCTTGGGGATAATATCCCGAAACATCATCTCAATGCCATAACTAAACTGCGTCGATTTATCCTCCACGGCAAAGATCCGATGCTGCTTCTCCTCGGGAAACCGATCGTACAGCGCATTATACGGCTTGAGCACCTTTTCCTTGAAATACGCGAGCCGTTTATCCAATGTCCGATGCATCAAACTCTGCCCATCGAGCACCAAGCAATCAAACACAAGATATTTGAGCTGCTGCGTGCCATCCTCGTAGGTATCATTGACCAGCTCGCCGTCGACCAGCGTATCGACATGGAAGCGCTGAAACGTGTCATCGTCCGGTAAGGGAAAGTGCAAGCCCGGGACGTAGCGGTAGTCGTTTTTGCGATCAATCAAGTAGTGAATTTCAGGAGTGTCGGAATCCGGTTCGCCCCGCGCAAAGTACATAAGACATCGGATTCCGTCGGTCTTTTCGCACACGTAGTAATCTTCTCGTTGGAGCTCGGTCAGATGCCGTGTCGAGAAACTGACGGGTTGCGCGCCGGGGAAGTTGAGGTTGTTGCGGCCGAGCAGAGAGGCGACTTCGCGACGGAATTGGTCGGCGAGGTCGGGATCGGCTTTGATGCCTACGGCATCGAGATCGGGGACTGAGTTGCCCATGGTAGTTGGACTAAATATTTCTGTATGGGGGGGAGGGGAGGAGGAGTGGGTGAGGTTGAGAGGAACAATGGTCTGGAGAAATGGTGGTCACGCTAGTGGTAGTTAGAGCTTCTCGCCCGCAGGCGCAGGGCGCAATAAGGTGTTCCGCAGTAGGTGGGTAGAAGCAGAATAGTATAGGGGCGTGGTGGTGGTGAGTTGGCGTTCGTCAGGAAAGTGAGAGCAGGCGCATTGAGGCAACGAAGGTAGCTTTGACTCCCATCTGCGGAGGTTCGGAGATACTCTGTGGCCTGAGGCATCACGTTGCCGTTCTTGTCGCCTGACAATGCGATACTACGGTGGAGAATGGCGTTTTTATTGAATTTCATGCACGCAAAAGTAAATGTAGTAGGCTATGCATTGATGTACTAACCAACAATCAAGGAAGGAAAACGGCTTAACATGCAGTATCAATTGCATTCTATCGATACGGCCAAAGAAGCACCGACTTAATTTACAATAATGCACGCCAGTAAGACTGAGCGCGGGGTATCTTTATCAAACAGCAAACCAAAAAGACCCAGAACCCTTCCAGAAACGCCATCAAGCATCGCCCAAACTCCCTGCCCGTAAGCGGGCTATATGTATATCCGATCCTGGGAGGCTTTCATCACTCGTTACCAGCGAGAGCTCTACGAGCTAGCCGCCACAGGCACCTTCTTGGCTTCAGATGCAGGTGTCTTCGCACCAGCATCTGTTGCATTCTCCTGCGACTCTACCGGCTCCGGCTCATCCACAGCCATAGGCTCGGGCACTGATACCTCCTCTACAGGGGTGAACAGGCTGCCACCATCCGGAAATGGAGAGGAGAGAGTATCCCCTGTCGAGAAAAGCCCACCACCCCGGGAACCGCCCAATGCATGAGATAGCATCTCTTTGATCCGCACATACTGGTACTTTTTCTTCGTCGAGATTAACGTATGAGTCACCATCGGGTATGGATGAGATCGAGAGATGGCCGCCATGACAGTGTCTTTCTCTTCATCCGAGTCGACAGGCCCATTATTATCCAGATCATCCTGCAGCGGAGCATTCGCATCGATAGCAGCCTCTGTAGATAACCAGCATTAGCACCGTCCCAATCCAGTCCAGACTCGGGCTCCATAAGCCACGGGACCACTTACTCTGCTGCCTCGCCTGGTTCTTCTTTTGATACGCCTGCAACAGCATATCATACGGCAACGAACGCCCCGGGACGGCTCTCTTCGCGCCCATCGAATGACTTTTACAAGTCAACGACCTAGCGCACTGCGCACCATTCGGCAAAGTAACACCACACTGCTTCTCAACATCAACAGGACCCTTCGGCTTCGGCACCTTGGGTTTCGGCTCCTCCTTCTTTTTCTTCTTCTTCGGCTCCTTGTCCTTATCATCCTCCCCGGCCTCCGTCTTGCGCTTCTTGCCCTTCTTCGTCCCATCCTCCGCCATCCCTTTAACAGCGGACTTCTTCGCACTCTTCTGACCCTTCATCGAATCGTCACCAGCCCCCTCACCCTTCTCACCAGCACCCACATCTTCATCACCATCTTTATCCCCCTTCTCCTTTGCGCGGTTCGCCGCATCTCTCGCCTCCTTCTTCTTCCTGGCCTTCTCCTGCTTCGCGCGAATACAACCACGAATATGTTCCACCGCATTCTGCTTCAACACCGGCCTCTTGCACGTCTTACAGATGACGGTCTCGAGATGATCTTCTTCGCGGGGCTTCCCCGTCGGGAACGCAGCCATAGTTTTTTCATCGATATCGGGTAATATAGGCGACGAGGAACCGGGAGATTCGGGCACTATAAACCTCGCAACCACTTCATCAGCATGACATGACACCAAACCACCCATCCCTGGGAGGTAGAATGAAAGCAGGGAAACAAACCATCACCCTTCTTCTTCCCAGACTTAGCAGCACTCGCCGCCGACTTCTTCAACTTGATCTTCCCAGGCTTGATATCCTTCTCGGCATACTTATACCCCGACGCATCGACCAGACTCCCCGCCGCGGTAGAAGAGGCAGAGGACGCTACAACACCAGTATTAGCATCGACCGTAGAAAGAAAAGGTGCGTGCCTTTGTGGTTGCCCTTAAATCATAGCGCGGGAACATTATCGGGGGAGAGGGGAGGGGGGTTGCCTATAACGGACCTCTGCCGCCGGTAGCAGTAGCCATGATTATGAACGAAACGACCGACCACCCACAACGGACACACGCGC